GTGCTCACCACCGACAGTTTATCTGAGCCCACGGTGCTCTCCGGCCGACAGAAATCCAGAGACAGCAGGTCAGCCGTGTACTGGTATTGTTGCATCCAATCTGTTAAGCGCGATAAGGTTTTAGTGACCGGCCATGGCCGTCACACCCCTAGCGGGTGGAGATGAAAGAACTACCCCCCTACCTTCCAACCCACATCCGAGAAACATAACTTTAATTACGACATGCACACAATAATGGCAATGGAGGGGGGGAATGCGGAAATTATATATACTGTAACACAGTCTGTCCCTCTGTCGTATGTGGACGGTGCATCGCGATGCCGCCCATTACCGCCACCCAGTTCACTGCCTTTGTCTGGCCGGGTATGGAGTCTGGGCATATGCTCTGCCCCGAATGGCCTGACGGCTGCGTGCCGCAGGCCCAACTGCACCCGCTAGCGTGGACTGCCTTCGTGGGCAGAACACGACTGGGTGAGAGCCCAGGCAGTCCTGGCAAACGTGCAAGAAACAGCACTTCGAATAACGGCACCGGTTGTCATTGAAGTTCCGGCGTCGTCGGACGACACCTGCGACATAGGCGTCCCGATCAGCTGTTGTTGAACTGGCAACTGTAGCTGGCGCCGGTCCGGGAGCTAGCTCCACACGAGCGGAGTCAGGTTATGCGGGCAGGTCGCCCCACCGTGGTCGTCGTCCAAGCAGTGCGGGCACCGCGGGAGGATTTTTGCCCTCCCCGTGAAGGCTTCGTTATACAGGCGACTGTTCGGTGTCGACCAGTTAAGGTCCTTTCCGGGGCAACATATCCCACCTGTACTACCGATCATAGGCGACCCAGTTTGCCCCCTCGTAGTAATGGGCCGCCCTCAGAACCGTGGATTGGTACGCCCATAGCTCCGGAACTTTCTCAGGAAATCTGGTCAACAGGAGAGCGGCCATCCTCCCATAACACTCCAACCAAATCCTGATATCTGTGCCTCGGGGCTTCGACGCACGATGGCTGGGTTTCGCATCCGCGGTAGATGGCTCATCTACCCACACATCGGCTTTCAACTCCGCCATCTCCACAAATTCCAGACCGAGGACCTTCTTCACCACCTTCGGAGGCAGCGATGCCGCCGGATTGTACGGTCTGGGAGCCGAAAGGACGGTCGCCGGCACGGACGGCGGGTGAACGAGCGCGGCTGACGAAGTCGGCCGGAGCCTGGGTGCCGCCGACGGCACCGTCCCCAGCGGAAACACAAGTGGTGGCGGCACCGGTGGTACTGGCGGTATAGTACCTGCGAAGAGAAAAACGCCATTGTCATGAGCACCCCCGCCGCGGGACTACCACCACTGGCCCGGCCAGCACGCCGGTCACGCACCTACGGACAGGCCACGGGCCCGACACCCGAGTAAACAAAACCTACCCTGGTAGAGACTACTCACCCGCGGAGGATGTCCCTGGCACATCCGCTGGCCCTGTCGCCGGCCCTGAAGCCGCGAACGTTACACAGGGCGGTTGAGTGAGGTCAACTCCTCTGTCCGCCAGATAAACGAGCTGCTCCGGAGTGAAAGATGGCGCTGACGGCGGCACGACCATTGGCGCTAGCGGTGGCGTTTCGGGTGTAGCTTCTGTTGCCATTGCTGGGAGAGACCGACTAGTTATCTGAGGACAGGGGGAGGGGTATGCTATCCTTCATCTAGTTTGTCCGACGTGAACTCGTCGCACAAATCCGACAATCTTGGCGAAATGGTTGTCCGTGACAACCTGAATCAAAATTCCCGCTCTGGTGCGCGCACGGCCCGCTACCCCGCGCATGCGCGTTACTGGGCTGGCTGGTTCCTTCCGTTAACTACGTTTAACTCCCTTAAACTTCATCGACGAGGACATCATCGATGTATGCAAAAGCGAAAAGGAGGCCCTGGAGAACCTGGTCCATGAACCGCTGAAACGTTTGAGCTGCGATCCTCAGGCCAAAAGGCATCCGCACGAACTCGAATAGGCCGAATGGGGTTGTGACAGCTGTCTTGGAGATGTCTACCAGGATCTGATGATATGCACGTACGAGGTCCAATTTGTAGAAAATGCTGGCACCTTGCAGGGACAAGGAAAAGTCATGAATGTGGGGGACGGGGTAACGATCAGGCACCGTCACTCGGTTCAAGGCCCGGTAATCCCCACACCGCCGCCAGTCACCAGCAGTCTTCTTCGGCACCATGTGCAGAGGCATGCACTGGATGAAGGACGTATGATCCCCAGTTGTAGCATGTGCTCAAACTCCTGTTTTGCTGCACGAAAACGTTCAGGTGCTAGTCGTCTGGGATGGGCTGAGACTGGGGGACCTGTTGTCTCAATGTTGTAAGTGACGTCATGCACGGTAGGATGCTCACTTCGACCCTGTCGCATGTGTGTTGGTATCGCGTATGTGAAAATGGCGACTGCAATTCGGGCTGGTAGCTAGTGTCCGGCTTTGTAGTTTTCCCAACTGCAAGGTTCCTTGCATTTCTGGGCCTCTTCACCAAACCTTGCATGATACCAACAGAGTGAGTCTGTGGACGGGGAACTCGATGGGGCTGGACTGTTAGAACGGCGTGGTCGGTATGAATTTCGACGACGAGATCGAGTTGTCAGAGAGGAAACAAGGTCAGCCAGGCGTGCTACCTCCTCCCTGAGTTGTTAGGGAATATAGGGATTGTGTGATGGGGTTGGGGGTGTCGGTGTGCTCAAATCTGTTTATTAACCATGCTTCATGTATCCCATCCCTAACTTGTCTCCCTTTCCTTTATGCCTCTTTTTTTTAATTCGCAGGATTTTGAATTTACTTGTCTCAACTCATTTTTATATACTACTATGTATATCTCTGTGAAAGGGGGCAAGCCCCCTATAAAAAGTATTGTATGATGACTGAGAGTAAGATCAAAGGAATTCCAGCTAGTCCAAACAACGTACACGTATAGTGAGCGCTTCCTGCTGAGTTTACGGGTAGTTATACTATAAAGAGGCCATACGATTTCCCCATACTTTAGCTGTATGTCAACTCATTTGCATAAACCACAATGGGTATATATGGTAGCTATACGATAGTAGGAAATTGCCAGCGTGTAATGCAATTAGGGGGCTTTTACACTCTTTGTGTGCTGCTGTTTCTTTACCAGAAGGGAGTGTTTTCAGGCTGGAATGGGCAGAAACTGCTCTAGTATATACGCGGTCTGAAAACTAGCTAAAAACTGCTTCCCGACGTGTAGGCTCCCATAGACTGGAACAGTATGTGACTTTCAGCTTTCTTGCTACTGCAACAGGCTGCATTCGAGAGCGCTAGGTATAGCGGGAGAGAAAGCGAGCCAGAGCGGCAGCTACAAAACTCGTGTGGAGTCCAGCAGCGAAAAAGTGACGTACCTGTAACGTTGAACTCTCGAAAAAATTACCATGGCTCCTGCACAACCGCCCAGCTTGACCAACTAAAGCGCTTATTGCAGCTGTCTCTCTCCGCTCCCGATCGATCGCTAGCTCTCTCCGTACACTCGAGGGTGTGCGTTAAAAAGAGGGCGTTTTGAAAGCTTTTGCTCAATCTCATTGATCAGAGCCTTACCGCGGGATGTCATCATACAAACACGTTATACGATGGCTTTGCTTGTGGTTTACTGGTTGTACACTCGGGCCTTCAGTTTTGATAGACCACTCGGGCTACGCCCTCGTGCCCTATCAAAACTGGCCACTCGTGTAAATCCAGTAAACCACGCACCGCCATCGTATAACCTATACATAATAGAGAAAATGCCTGTTGTCGCCATGGAAATGATGTAATATGCATGTGTACCAAGTTTCATCTCCATGTGTGCTGCCGTTAGAAAGTTTGAGGAGTGAAGAAGTAGTTTTAAAGAAAATTGCCTGAGGCTATTTGTTGTTGTGGTTATCATGGAAACGATGTAATATACATGCGCACCAAGTTTCACCTCCATGCGTGGTGCAGTTAGCAGGTTTGAGGAGTGAAGAAGTAGTGTTAAGGAAAATTGCCTGAGGCTTTTTCGAACAATATGCGGTCGTCACGGAAACATGTAATCGTCGTGGAAATGATATAATAGGCATACACACCAAGTTTCATCTCTATGCGTGCAACAGTTAGCAAGTTTGTGGAAGAAGTAGTGTTAAGGAAAATTGCCTGAGGCTTTTTAAAACAATAGCCGGTCGTGATGGAAACATGTAATCATCATGGAAATGATACATACCAAGTTTCATCTCTATGCCTGCTACCATTGGAAAGTTAGAGGAGTGAAGAAGTAATTTTGAAGAAGAGTGCCTGAGGCTATATGTTGTTGTGGTCGCCATGGAAATGACACATGTGCACCAAGTTTCACTTCCATGCATGCTACAGTTAGCGAGTTTGAGGAAGTAATTTTAATGAAATTGCCTGGGGCTTTTTCAAACAATATGCGGTCGTCTTGGAAACATGTAATCGTCATGGAAATGATATAATAGATGGAAATGATATAATAGGCATACATACCAAGTTTCATCTCAATGCGCTCAACCATTGGAATGAAGAAGTAATAAATTTAAAGAATAGTGCCTGAGGCTATTTGTTGTTATTTAAAAACGTGTTGTTGTGACTTTCATGTCGGCTATTGAATACATTATGTATATAAACTTTCGTTCACATAGCTCTTACTAATTGTGACTTACACTGTATGCCCATTAAATGGCCATTATAATGTATTTCCTGGGGCACTTTTGTTGACAGTAAAGAACATTGTTTACACAACACAAAAAAGTGTGACGTTGCACATATGGTTATCGATATTTACATTCCTACAAAATTTCGTGGCTTTATCTCTTTCGCTTTTTGTGTTATGCTGGTTGAAGAGAAGAAGAAGAAGATGAACAAAACTCCCCATCATAGCCTCATACATCTATGATGCTAGGTACCATGCCCATCCCTATATGCTAAGTACTACTGTACTTAGTGATTACATCGCACAAATTTCATTTTTCATATGTTAGAATCTACCAGTACCTTTTCATTCAGTTTTAGATTCCCTCTGGTTGGTGTTGTTCCACCCTCGGTGGTGAAGAATGTACCAGAGATGTCGGACCTAATACTTGTGACACCACCTATTTTCTCCCAGTCTCTCTCCCAGTCTGTTGGCGTGGTTGCTTCTTCTGACCATTCTCCTGCACATTCATTCAGTATGACTGAATCTACATACCAATCAGGTGAAGGTATATACCTTTATGAAAATCATGCGTCATAAACATGATATACAGAATCTTTATAAAGTTCTTCACCATTATTTTACCACCAAATGCTTTTATTTACCTTTGGCATGCATGCACAGCGAGGTACTTTGTTTGCTTGTTTTTCGGTCTTCTGTCTGTCTGTCTGTCTGCTTTTCTGTTCTGGCACTACATGCTACGAGGTTGCAAATCAATGGCATCAGAACACTGTATGCAATAAAGAGGCCATTATCCTGAAAATGTGGCATTTGAGAGTAATGGCATGAAACACGAGTTAAAAAGCTAATGTAATGAACTGGCTTACCTCAGGTAGTGTTTGCTCTAATTGAGCACTTTTGGATGGCATGAAGTTACTCGAAGGGTGACTATCAAGTTTAGCACTGTTCAAAAGGCTATTCACTGATGATATTAGCCTCGTGCAAGATGATAAACTGACAATTTCAGTGACCATGTGATGTTGCCTAGCTTATCAATTAGCAGTGGCTTTTTCATAGCAACTAGCTGCATCAAGAGTTTGTTCTCTTAATTGAACATACACACGTGCTACAATCTGGCAATGTGTTTTTCCAGTGTGAAGGTTAACTAAATGTATCCCAAATCTTGACAGCTCACCAGCAGGCAATTTGCAGCAGTGCCATGCCCCCACACTCCGTGCAACCTGATACTCACACGCAGAGTCCGCTACAAACAAAAATGCAAGAACCATCCAACTCCGCACCTACCACCCCACTTCACACCGCAGTTCTGTCCCCTGTCCCCACACCCTCATCCACAACTCCCGGTAACGTGGAAATGTCACCTAACAAACTCCCGATCTCACCATTAAAATCTCCTCGGGCTCGCCGCCATGTGTATGAGCCAGTGGCAGCAATGTTGGACAACCCCTTCATCAAGAAGTTTCTACCTGGGAAGAAACCATCCAAGCAAAAGTCTTTGCCTGATAAACTCTCTGTAAGTTAGGCAGTCTCCCAGAATATAGGCAGCCATCTTGTGAAGTAACCAAAAACGTCATTTGTAAAGGTTTAGGTGTAGGGATCCAATTTTACAGGCACTCTGCAGAGTTCGCTATTTAATTTTCTACACCCGAGGATTAGCACTGAGTTCCATATTGTTTTGCAGATATCGAAGACTCCTACTATAGAAGAGGAGGCGCCATACTCCCTATCTCCCTCCCCTGCACCCCCTTCTCCTCCCCATTCCCCTCTTCCTCCCCCTGCTATGCTGGAGTTCAGTGAGCAGGCCATGCAAGCAGACATGAGAACAAGAATGTCCAGTTTCAGTGGGCGTCCAATCAAATCCACTGGAATCTGTCTTCAATTTGGCGAGGATGACTCTAGCTCCGACAGTGACCGTGACAGTATTACCGAGTCAGGTTAGATCAACTCACTATTTAATTGCATGCCTTTAACTGTGTATGTTAAAATGATTGTCTGACAAGATGGTGCCAATGCTTTTATAAAGGCCTGTTTGAGCTTGATCAGAGCATAGTGTCAAGGTGTTAGCAGCAGGCTAAATGCAAGGGTAAGCTTAAAACTCTTTCCGCTCTGCTCAAGTCTAGTCCAATATTTGTGCACCAGTGTGTACAGTGGTCTAGAAGGAAGTAGTAGTGAGTACATAGGTTTTTAGTGCAAGGTTACCGATTTCCATACGTGGCACTACGATGTTTTTTACACTACATGATGAAGGGTGTGAGAAAAACATGGCATATGACTGAATATAGCGGAGAAAACCATATCCGGAGCAGTAGATACCCCTGTAACAAACTGCCTTGCAACCTCCTCTCCTGTTATGCCTTTTGCGAGAAGCATGAGACGGCAACTTTTTGTTTTATAGCTCAATCATCAATGTGCTGCATAACATAAGCTTGAAGTACGAATGGCACATGACTACGAAAGGTGAGCAGAGTCACACAGGGGGAAAGTGTTCACCTCTAGTAGTTTCCTAAGTCTGTCAATTGTAGAGAGAGGAATTCCAGCTTTTAGTAGCGTAGTAACCACATTCACACAGAAGATGCGAGTTGATGTGGGGAGGGTTTCGCCAGACGGGTGAGCTTCACTGTTATACTCAGCAGTTCCTTGGCAATATCCGTTTTTTCTTTTTCACAGCCAACCACTCTTTACCACTCACGTGCTTGACAGACTTCATTATTGTGCTTTTCTTAAGGGATATAACTCTTGGCGACTAGGGGAGCAAAAAATTTCTGTTGCTCATTGTGAAAGGCTCCTTTGTTAAGTCTGTACTCATTCTGATGTCGAAACGGTCATCGATCATTGGTTTTATGATCTCTCCCTCTTTTTTACAAGGTCAACCCTTCTCTTCCTTGCCAGGTCTGCGGGTCTATATAGGGCGACCTAGAAGTGAGGTTACAGAGATGCTACCACTTGCTGTACTATCACGTCTTGTACTGTCTATCTCTGAGTCAGATATAATTATGTTCAGCAGACTATGCCATAGTAATGCAATCGTCAAGCCATGTGATGTATCTAATTAACCGATGTCCTTCAGCTACTGTGCATGAAAGCAAGGAGGTTCCTGTGATAGTGTATATACATATGTATTATCACTCAGTACGGTAGTACTTAGTATACAAGTAAATAAAAAATCCTGCGGATTAAAAAAGGAGTGCATATAGGGATCGTATAAAAAGAAAGGGAGACAAGATAGGGATGTTGTTTGTGGAAGCACAGAGATGCTAGCGAGGAGTTAGGACTCCCACAGGTCATTACAACAGCCCTATATCGTCGTACGGTGGGAGTACCTAGCATCATAGATGTATGGGGCATGATAGGGAAAGTTTTCAATCTTCTTCGTAGGGTGGGAGTGGGAGTGATGAGAGAGTCTGTGGAATATTGCTATAGGTAATGAAGTACTTACTAATTACCTTTGATAGATTTGTCATGCTACATTTCCATGGAGTACGCATTTAGGTGGAAGTGTAATCAGCTGACCATAACATTGGATATACATGTATATACATGGAAACATGGAAAAATTGTGTAATGCAAGAAAACAAAATTCAAGTATGCAAGGTTGGCTGATATATTCACGAGGAAGTCGTAAAGCACCGATACGACGATATAGGGCTGTTGTAATGACCTGTGGGAGTCCTAACTCCTCGCTAGCATCATTTTTATATACTACTACGTATTATCTCTGTGGAAGGGGCAAACCCTATAATTAATAATAGAGAAAAAATGCCTGTTGTCGTCATGGAAATGATATGCATACCACGTTTCATCTCCATGTGTGCTGCAGTTAGCAAGTTTGAGGAGTGAAGAAGTAATAGTGCCTGAGGCTATTTGTTGTTGTGGTCGTCATGGAAATGATGTAATACACATGCGCACCAAGTTTCACCTCAATGCGTGCTATAGTTAGCAAGTTTGAGGAGTGAATAAGTAATTTTAAAGAAAGGTGCCTGAGGCTATTTGTTGTTGTGGTCATCATGGAAACGATGTAATACACATGCGCACCAAGTTTCATCTCCATGTGTGGTACCGTTTGCGAGTTTGAGGAGTGAAGAAGTAATTTTAAAGAAAAGTGCCTGAGGGTATTTGTTGTTGTGGTCGTCATGGAAACGACGTTACACACATGTGTACCAAGTTCCATCTCCATGCGTGGTACCATTAGCAAGTTTGAGGAGTGAAGAACTAATTTTAAAGAAAAGTGCCTGAGGCTATTTGTTGTTATGGTCGTCATGGAAACGATATAATACACATGCGCACCAAGTTTCACCTCCATGTGTGCTACAGTTAGCAATTTTGAGGAGTAAAGAACTAATATTAAGGAATATTGCCTGAAGCTTTTTCACCCAATATGCACCCAATATGCGCATCACGGAAATGATATATAAGGCATACATACAAAGTTTCATCTCTATGTGTGCTGAAAAGTGCCTGAGGCTATTTGTTGTTGTTTACAAACATGTGTTGTTATGATTTTGATGTTGGTGATTGAATACATTATGTGTACAAAGTTTCGTTCACATAGCTCTTAATACTGACACATGTGATCCCATTATAATGTATTGCCCGGGGCTATTTGTTGTTGTTTACAAAAATATAAGTATGACCAGTCTGTTAGGGTGACGGATATCTACATTCTTACAAAATTTCATTACTATAATTATGTTGTTTCATTTTTGAGTTATGGGTGTTGAATCTGAAGAAGAAGATGGAGAAGGAGAAGATGAACAAACTCCCTATCATAGCCCCATACATCTATGATGCTAGGTACCATGCCCATCCCTATCACTAAGTACGGTAGTACTTAGTATATAGGGATGACGCAGGTTGTCCTGCATTATGCCCATACATTTGAGATTTTCATGTTTCACTTTCAGATCCAACTTTTGACACATCAGACTAATTTGTATCATCACAAAGAGCATGTATCCAAGAAATGGCTAAAATCGCATAATCGGTACTTGATTTATTAAAAAAAGCCCCTTAACAACAAACAACAACAAACAGCCCCTTGTGCCTATAACTTGCTTATTGTGGGTCCTCTAACAATGAAACTTGATACACTGATTTACAACGATGAAAGTTCATCGAAACACAAGTTTGTAAACAACAACAAACAGCCTCAGGCAATAAATACTTGTAAATGATGTTTGTGCCTGTAACTTGCTTATTGTTGGTCCTCTAACAACGAAACTTGGTACACTGATTTACAACGATGAAAGTTCATCGAAACATAAATTACAAGTTTGTAAACAACAACAAATAGCTCTCAGGCAATAAATTTTTGTTAATCATGTTTGTGCCTGTAACTTGCTTATTATGGGTCCTCTAACAATGAAACGTGGTAGCTAAGAGTTCATTGAAGCATGAATTACAAGTTTGTAAATAACAACAAACAGCCTCAGGCAATTAAGTGCTGTTTTTCCTATAACTTTGTACACTTATCTACTTTGGAAGTGAAATAAATATGTAGATGACGACTAAGAGTCCGAGGCAATAAATACATGTTACTCTTTATATGGACATTATGCCTCAATGCATGTGCATGCCGTAAAAAAAGGAAAGGAGACATGTAAATAAAATATTCTGCAAATTCAAAAGTGTGGAATATAGGGATGCCATAAAAAGCAAGGAGACAAGACAGGGATGACCTGGGCATGTGATGCAGTAGTACAATGGGATGGTTGTTACATCTTCAAACTGACATTTCTTGCTCATGTAAATTTTACTCCACACAAGCCCTATATTGTCGCAAAGCACAATCGTATGAAGTGCAGCTAGACTCGTTTCCTATGCACGTAAGACTGGTAGCAAATGCCCTCTCTGACACGTCCTCAGTTTTGAATCGTGACTGTGTTTACTTCAAGTTCGCCCAACTAACCGGTTTTACAATGCTGCTTTCCCTACAGAATTCGTTTGCCAGTCTTCACACTATTCAAAACTCATGTCATGAGTAAGAGTGGCGACAATATAGGGCTTGTGTGGAGTAAAATTTACATGAGCAAGAAATGTCAGTTTCAAGATGTAACTATCATCCCATTGTACTACTGCATCACATGCCCAGGTCATCCCTGTCTTGTCTCCTTGCTTTTTATGGCATCCCTATATTCCACACTTTTTTATTTTGCAGAATTTTTTATTTACTTGTGTACTAAATACTACCATACTTAGTGATAGGGATTGACATGGTACCTAGCATCATAGATGTATGGGGCTATGATAGGCAGTTTTGTTCCTCTTCTTCTTCTTCCTGTTCGACCAGCGTAATTCAGAAACCGAAAGAGATAAAGCCATGAAATTTTGTAGAAATGTACATATCGATAACCACATGTGCAATGTCATACTTTTTTGTTTGTAAAAAATGTTGTTTACTGTAGACAACAACAAAATTGCCCCAGGAAATACGTTATAATGGGCATACTACATGTGTCAGTGTAACTCACAATTGGTAAGAGTTATGTGAGCGAAAGTTTGTATACACAATGTGTTTAATAGCCAACATCAAAATCACAACAATACATGTTTGTAAATAACAATAAATAGCCTCAGGCACATTTCTTTAAATTCACTTCTTCACTTCTCAAACTTTCGAATGGTAGCACGCATAGAGATGAAACTTGGTACGTATGCCTATTATATCATTTCCATGACAATTACATGTTTTCATGACGACCGCATATTGTTAGAAAAGGCCTCAGGCAATTTTCTTTACAATTACTTCTTCACTCCTCAAACTCGCTAACTGTAGCACACATGGAAGTGAAACTTGGTGCGCATGTGTATTACATTGTTTCCATGACGACCACAACAACAAATAGCCTCAGACACTTTTCTTTAAAATTACATCTTCACTCCTCAAACTTGCTAACGGCAGCACACATGGGGATTAATGCATATCATTTCCATGACGACAACAGGCATTTTTTCTCTATTGTTAATTTTATAGGGGCTTGCCCCCTTCCACAGAGATAATACGTAGTAGTATATAAAAATGAGTGGAGACAAGTAAATTAAAAATCCTGCGAATTAAAAAAAAAAGGCATATAGGGATCAAAAGAAAGGGAGACGTTTGTGGAAGCACAGAGATGCTAGCGAGGAGTTAAGAACTCCCACAGGTCATTAAAACAGCCCTATATCGTCGTATCGGTGCTTGACCACGGAGTAAAATCTTCCTCGCATAAGTATCAGCAACCCTGCATACTTGAATCGTAATCAATGCATACTGAAAACGCAACGCAAAAAAAGAAAAAATAATGCGCGAAAAAGGAAAAAGACGGTGGGATTCTGAAGTAGGCTAAACGTTACCTATATTCAGGATTACGTAGGCAATTGCGCCCCTAATGTGGACCCCAAAGAGTTAAGTAGTACAGTACTTAGCAATACTCCTTCACTCCCACCATACGACGATATAGGGCTGTTGTAATGACCTGTGGGAGTCCTAACTCCTCGCTAGCATCTCTGTGCTTCCACAAACACCATCCCTATCTTGTCTTTCTTTTTATATGATCCCTATATGCCTATTTTTAAATTCGCAGGATTTTTAATTTACTTGTACTACCGTACTTAGTGATAGGGATGACACAGGTCATCCTGCATTATGCCCATACATTTGAGATTTTCAATGTTTCACTTTCAGTTTCAATCAGGTCCAACTTTTGACACATCAGACTGATCCCTATTGTCACAAAGAGCATGTATCCAAGAAATGGCTTAAATCGCATAATTGGTACTTTATTTATTCAAGAAAGTTAGTTTTCAAAATTATTCTTCTCGTTGTTGTCGTTCAGTTTCAATTAGCGTATACAAAAACCATGTAAGATATTGAGATGAAACTTTGCACAGATATTGGAATCCATGACAGGTCGTGCAAGAGAATTTTAATTTGTTTGTAAACGATGTTGTTTACAAGTAAACAACAACAAAAACCAAAAAATAGCCCCAGGCAATACATTATGATAAACTGTGCTAACTAGGTAAAGCTAATACAAACAACCCCTGGCAATAAAAAGCTGTTAATGGTGTTTGTGCCTCTAACTTGCTAATGGTTGGTCCACTAATAATGTAACTTGGTACACTGATGTACTATGATGAGTGTTCATCGAAACAGAAATTACAAGCTTGTAAACAACAACAAACAGCCCCAGGCAATAAAAACCTGTAAATAGTGTTTGTGCCTATAAATACCTTGTGGTTGGTCCTCTAATAATGAAACTTGGTACACTGATTCACCATGATAAATACAAGGTTGTAAACAACAACAAACAGCCTCAGGCAAAAAAGATTTTTAAATGGTGTCAGTGCCTATAACTTGCTTATGATGGGTCCTCTCACAATGAAACTTGGTGCACTGATGTAATGTGAATGACGCAAAACATCTGAGGCGATAGCTTAAGGCCACTTATAAGGCCAAAATATCTATATGCACAACATGCATGTGAATGCAGTAAAAAAAAGAAAAGGAGACAAGTAAATAACAAATTCTTCGAATTTAAAGAGTGTGGAATATAGGGATGCCATAAAGAGCAAGGAGACAAGAAAGGGATGACCTAGTGAACATGATGCAGTAGTACAATGGATGATAGCTACATACTTTGAAATGACATCGCTTGCTCGTGTAAAATTTCCTCCACTCGAGCCCTACATTGTCGCGAAGTATGAGTGTGCTCCCTTGTATGATGCACAGCTACGATATTTCATAAGCACATTAGACGGGTAATACCATCTGCTTGGTTTTCAGTTGTGACTGCATTGTGTGGAGTCTAAGACTTCTACATTTGCCAGTTTTACAATACTGAGTTCTTGACCATCTACATACAGAATCCTTTCACCATGGTCCTCATATTTCACTTACCCTCCCACTTCACTAAACAAACAGTGAAGGTGGCGACAATATAGGGCTCGTGTTGAGGAAATTTTACACGAGCAAGCGATGTTAGTTCAAAGTATGTAACCATCATCCATTGTACTACTGCATCATGTTCACTAGGTCATCCCTGTCTTGTTTCCTTGCTTTTTATGGCATCCCTATATTCCACACTTCTTTAATTCGAACAATTTTTTAATTTACTTGTTCCCCATTTGCTAACCTATTTTCCCCGCATAATTCTTTGTTCTTTCAAGCACCCGTTTTGCTTAAATTATTCTAGCATAATCTACAAAGGCCTAATGGTTGAACATGGTGAGAGTGGACATGGTTAATTTTCTCACACGTAGAAAGCCATGGTTTTTTAGTGCTGTGGCCGGCATTTTTTGGTCCAGAAACTTAAGTGTCGGTGAGTGACGGATATGTTGAGGACCGATTAAAAACCCGGCCCGTTTTAAAGCCATCCGATGGCTTTATAACGGGCCACACGGCTTTAATCCCTGCCAGCTGGCTTTAATTCCGGCCCGATAGTTATTAAGCCGCCCCGACGGTAAGCCAGACGGTTTTCAAGCCGCGCCGACGGTAAGCCCGGCGGTTTTTAAGCAGACGCTCAGGATGACCATGTCGTTCATTACCGCGTCGTTCATTACCGCGCAACGGCTGTTCCAGCCAACGGTGAGCACGGTCCGTGCATATGGGGCCGGCAGCAGTGTGGCAGCAACTGTTGTTCCCAGCGGCAGCAGAAAAAACGAGGACGGGCTGGGCGGGTGATCGCTGGAGCTGAGTCACGTACCGCCGTGCACACGTGCGCGATCGATCTTCACATAGGATCACTGCTAGGCGGACCGCATCGTTTTCTCAGCACGTGTGACAGCTAGCCCTGGGCATGGGCGGGACGAGTGTCAAATTCGCGGCCGACTGCTGAGGTAGATCGCAAAATCAGGGCTGGACAGTAGCGACTGGTAGATAGGTGGCTTCTTCCTGGCGGCCTTCAATCGGGCTGGACAGTTTTAAAGCCGTCTGGACGGCTTCTATACGGCTTTAAACTGGTCTGGACCGCGTAAAATCCGTCTGGACGGCTTAAAAACCGGCTGGCCCGTTTTAAAACCGTCTGGACGGCTTTAAAACGGGCTTCTGGTTTTTAATCGGTCCTCAACAGATATACCAAACACTGTAGCCCAGTAGGTATATACTCAGATCAAAGGCACCGACAAGGCTCTTAGATCCGCATATCCCCACTGTGTTGAATGTCATTGCTAATACACCCTGGGGTCAGGCATGAATATCATTAATCACTGTGGTAACGGGTGTATTAGCATTTAATTACCCATGGCAACAGGAGTATTTTGTATAAACCTGTGGTGGGGCTAATGAACCGTTTTCAAACGTGAAAACGGCCAGTTCTTCGAGGCTGGTTTTCTATACATCATGGCAGCCCAGTACACAAACCGCAGCGAGCGAGTCACAGCCAGAGCTTGAAGCGGACCCAGTGATGCGACCGCCGCTACCAGCGAAAATGCTACGGCAACGCTACGCTCGGAAAGCAAGGAAACAAGACAGGGATGACCTTGCGATTAGCAAGTTCATGGTTGCTCAAGCCAGGATGCCAAAGCCAACCACGAGCTACACTATGAGCACTAGAAAATATCTCCACAGTCCGCACAGCTTTTCTCTAGCCTGGGCTTACCTCCCCAGAAGTAATAGGTCATTGCACTGTAGTTGTACGTATTGGAAGCATCTTACCCAAGCCACGACGCCTTCGCTAAACCCTCCGGTCTCTCACGATACACAGGAATTCAAAAGTGAACCCGCCAAAACACGTTTTATGCAACCGCACTCAAACCGGTTGTGGGTGGCTTGCGGTAATACGCCCTCATGCAGGAATGCACTCAGGCGTGTAATATGCATGCCACCCTTACCGGCCATAATTTTATTGCACAAACTGCAAATCGCTACGTATGCACTAACCTTCTTAAAACACAGATGTACCTGAGAGACTTGCACTCTCCCAGAGTCTGTCGTCGACTGGGGGGTTTGCAGGAGGCTCAATAGACTATTCTCCAACTGAGATATCTGGCCTGCTCCTTCCTCCCTCAGTATCTCCTGACATATTGGCCCCTGGGAATCTCAGGAGGGCAGGTGCAGTTCATACATAAAACCTTTAAAATACCCTCATAACAAGTCATGCATATTGACAGCATGAAATGCCCTGTAACTGTATAATATCGCCATGTCTTTTGTGTTGTGTGCATTTAAGATACCAAGTGCAGCCTTTATCACAAAACCTTCAATCCTGTTTCATTTTGGGAGAGTATTGCTGGAGTAGTAAAAATCAAAGCTGCCTTCCATTTTGCCTGCTAAAATGTAACGCCATCTTTTGCCTAGCCGTTGGCTAAAGCTACATAGCTGACTATTAATGCAATGAATTGGCACAATTTAAGAGATTTTCTTTTTGACTTCCTGAGCCCACAAGGTGCACATAGCGAGCAGATCAGGTCGCGGTAAGCCCAGTACGATTACACATATTGCTTGTTCTCACAGCATATTATCTCTCGAACGATCATCGCGCATGCGCAGCGAGGGTTACTGTAGTCGTTCGTGTGTGTCTCTGAGCTGTGTCTGTCTGTTACTCTCAATCTCACTTCTCAAGTGTTCGTTCGTCTCACAAAGGATACGACCTATTGAACGGGCAATGAAGGTCAGGAATATTTGTGGGGTTTTCTCTGAAAATGCTCCGTTGCAAGGCTAGAGCGCGAAAAAGCCAATATGCAAATACACAATGGACCGGGATGGCTTACCGCGGTGGGATCGATCCGCGTATTTCGGAGGCACCATAAGATGCAACGCAGGACGTGTATCGCCTCTCGCATGCTTTCTAGTTGTGTAGTTAGCCCGCGCCAGACTCTGCGCGAGCTTGGCAAGAGACTAAACCCCTGGAAGTAAACACTTTATTGAACTGTGAACCAGAAAAACCGAAACTGAACCTTACCATTGTAACCAAATTGTGATCTATCGCAGTGTCAGCTATTGCAGTTGTAATATTATCAAAATGTTCCATATTACAAGAATTGTTGATGACACTAGCTGTTGAAAAGTATTTCCAAAGTAAAAGTCATATTTCAGTACTGTATTAACAACTTCTCTTCCCTTTCAGCCTCTGCACATGGTTCTCTTTATGTGAGGGTGGAGAATGGTGAGCCAGCAATCATTTCTCCAGACTCCCGCAACAAGTCATGCAGTACTCACTCTCTCACATCTCCTATAGTCCGGGGATTATATAACTCCTTCAAGTAAGATTGACAATCATGCATAAATCACCTGCTTTGTGCAAATGAGCCAACACCCATACCGTTTTCAGCTATGTAATATGAACAGATAAAATGTAATTTGCGTGAAATCCTATAGGGGCCCACATAATATTATGAGTAAGCTTCAAACTAGCACTCACCCGCTCGCCCGTGGCGGGTAAATTACGGCGCGGACGGGCGCTAACGTTTACACAAGTGCAGGGTGTGCTTTGTACTGTTTTGACAACCATGTGGAGGTATTTGGAAGTAGTACAGGAACCTCCAACTAAAAAACCTAGACAGTCAGATGAAGACACTGTTTGTGGTGATGTGTAATTGATTCTGTGCCTTTAATATATATTTGGGCAAGTGTGAAAGCTGTTGGGCTAGTAGAATTGAGAGCTTACTAGCCCTATTGGCCAGTTCGGGAAAATGTTAGATTGCACACCTGTATCAGCATTCACCATATTGTATTCCTAGCTGGCACTCATAGTTTTTTTGACTTTTTGTGGAAACATCATACTCACAGTGAGAGCCCAGTTCCTGCCAAGAAGAGGAACTCATCAAAGAAGAGACAAGGGTCAGAGCGTGAAGAGACAGAGCCAGAGTCACCAAAGTTCGGGGGAATATTCAGACAGCCTCCCACTGGGCAAAGGAGATTTGTGTACCTAGATCCTCGTCAGCCAAAGTATGGATTCCGACTAGAGGTATGGGTAATTTGCCGTTCCTTAATCGTAAGTGAGGTATCAAAGCAAGACAACAACATCCAGGACAGCACTTTTATCAAATGAAAAAAGTGGGCCCTGCCTGCTGAGCTACCCTGGTAAGTAGCTCAGATGGTAAACCAGTCTGCCTAGACTGCAGAGTGTCACGGATTATGGTTTTTACCTAGGGCAGCAAGTCTACAAAATTGCAAAGCGAAAGCAAACCCCAAATTACTCTGTGGGAGGTACGGTACCAGTCAAAAAAAATGCACCGTATTTCCAGCTTTTAGTGTAGAAACCAGATCTACACAACAGCACAATGTACACATGAAAAAGGGAGTAATTACTATTTCCTGAACTGTTTCAAGACCTTTCTACAGGTGTGTAGTTACAGATAAACTACAGTGAGAAACAAAAATCTACCCAAATGTGACTGTACTATGTACCTACGTATTAACCATACGGTAGGTGCATACAATGTACAGATAGGTGTAGCTACCCGTCCTACAGTGATAAAATGCACTTATGTAGCAACACTACAGCATACCTACGTACTACAGCAAGGATTGTACGTAATGTTACTACAGTGGTTAAACCAAACAGCGCCACATGTGTACCGGTCGTAAAAGGCCAAAACTTCATGCAAGCACTGAGTACAATACAATAGCAACACCTTTAAGTTTTGGAGTTGTAACACAACAACGGTGCATTTTTTTGACTGGTACCGTATGTGGGAATTCGTAACTGAGCATGTGTGTACGATAATGTTGTAAGACTGATACATAAATAGTGCAGTACAGTGTGCGGTTACATTGTTTCTGCTTTTTTCTCTGTGACCAGAGTTATGGTCGTCCGTCAGAGCTTGGGCAGGAGATCCAGGTCTTTGTCCAGAGTGTGAGTCCTGGCTCCCCAGCCTTCATGAGTGGGCTATTCCCAGGAGATACAATCCTGGAGGTCAATGGGGTTAATGTCCGCTCGGACCCTGTAGCTACTGTGGTGAAGAGAATTCAAGACTGTCCTCGCACAAGTGACAAAAAGTGAGAATGTTATACTACCATACGTCTCTCCTTAAACGTAATTGTGGGGATTGTTGTGTGTGCAACGATTGGTACAGTACTTGCTATTCTTATCTTCTGTCTGTCTGTCTGTCTGTCTGTATGCATACTGTTCTGGCAGTGGCCAATGAGCAATACGTAGAAACAAGAGGGATAGGTCTCCAGTCCAGCGCATGGTCATTGATCATTCTATCGTACTTTATTGGTCTATAGCCCTGTTTACACGGACAAAATGAAATTGGTTATGAAACCAGGTTTACAAATAGCATCCGGTTTATTTATCATTTCTAAGCGTGATTTTCGTTGGCGGCGTGTTAACATACAAGCAGTTTATAAAGTGGTTTACAAAGCCACGAGGCAGGCAAACGAGGTCTCCAAATGCAGTTTCTGGTCACTCCTGATCGACAACTATTTTTTTCCAAGGAAAACGAAAAAGGAGCTGCCCTACGTAGGTGGGATTTGAACACACAACACTTTGCTGTCTAGGTGAGCACTGTACCAACCGTGCTACCAGGGCTGTTACTGGTTCAAACCTCCAACGCAAGTAAAGGCAAACATCAAAGCATATTTATTTCCACGACGACCCCATGTTCCAACAAGTAGCCTTAGGCACTTTTATTTCCTTCACTCTTCAAACTTTGGAACGGTACTGTACATGGAGATGGAACTTGGTACGCATGCATATTACATGATTTGTAAACGCAACAGACAATTGCTTAGACACTTCACTCCTCGAACTTGCGAAGAATGGAGAAGAAACATAGTATGCATGTGTATTACTTTATTAAAATGAATGAAAAGCACTAAAGTGCAAACCCTCGGCGAACTGCTTCATTGCTTGAGATATATTGCCAGATTGCGCTTTACGCTTAGATGGGAAGGCATGGCCGCATCCACAAACTGCTCGTCTAACGTGAACTGCTGTGCTACATTGCGGACATACCTTGCTCAATTTATTGTCCATCGAGAACAGAGATCAACAATGATTGAGGAGAGAAACTAAAAAACCGCTTGCTCGTCCAAGGTCAACTAAGATAACCACGCGGAATCTAGCAGATGCGCATGCTCCAGCAAACGACATACGCGCGTGCGCGATGGATCGCTCACGTCTGATGCTCCGGCAAAACGAGACACCCACATACGCGCGTGCGCGATGAATCGCTCGCGTAAGCTTTTTCGCTTGGTTTCACGCCATTTCTCTGGAACGCAGTCGTTTCGGTAAAATCGCCACATTAATATCAATCTTCTCGTCGTTCACAACCAGTTGGTGCCACTCATTGGCCGCCTCGTAGCCTGTAGTGCTAGAACTCGCGTGGACAGACGGACAGACGGACAGACAGAACGACTACTGTAACCCTCGCTGCGCATGCACGCCGAGGGTTAATAAGAAAGAGCCTGAGGCTCATTCTTTAAATATCACATCTTCACTGACATTTCCGGCATTCAACACACCTGATAATGGTAGTATGCATGAAGATTAATGGTGTTCAGGGCGGTTGATTTTTAACAAGGCAGTCTAGTAACTGTTATAGAGGGCTTACCCCTTTGTAGTAGTTGGCGAGTGAAGCAAGCCTGCTTTTCTTCCATATATCTATAACGTAATTTGTCTTCCTTATATCTATAACGTAATGTTTACGTGGTTCCGAACTGCTCACTTTGCTCACCAAAAATGTGTTGTATTCTTGAAAATGAGAGGAGAAAAGTCAATAAAATTTCCTGTCAAATTTAACCCTAATCAAACCATCACACAATCCCTTTATAGTTAATTAAAAATCCTGCGAATTTAAAAAAAGAGACATACAGGGGATGGTATAAAAAGAAAGGGAGACAGCGTGTCAAATCTGTTCATTAACCATGCTTCATGTATCCCATCCCTATCTTGTCTCCCTTTCTTTTTATACCATCCCTATATGCCTCTTACACACATGCGCATCAAGTTTCACCTCCATGTGTGCTACAGTTAGCAAGTTTGAGGAGTGAAGAAGCAATTTTAAAGAAAATGCCTGAGGCTATTTGTTGTTGTGGTCGTCATGGAAACGATGTAACACACATGAACACCAAGTTTCACCTCCATGCGTGTTACAGTTAGCAAGTTTGAGGAGTGAAGAAGTGGTTTTAAAGAAAGTGCCTGAGGCTATTTGTTGTTTTGGTCCTCATGGAAACGATGCTAACAATGTGTTGATGTTGGCCATTGGAAAGTTTAAGGAGTGAAGAAGTAAATATACAGAAAAGTGGCTGAGGCTATTCGTTTGTTGTTTACAAACATTTAATTTTGTTGTCGGTGATTATGTCTACACAGGCTTTCAAACAGTATGCGGTCGGCATGGAAACAAGTAATCGTCATGGAAATGATATAATAGGCATACATACCAACTATGCGTGCTATCATTGGAAAGTTTGAGGAGTGAAGAAGTAAATTTAAAGGATAGTGCCTGAGGCTATTTGTTGTTTTTTTACGAACATGTGTTGATGTTGGCTATTGAATACATTATGTATACAAACTTTCGTTCACAGCTCCTACCATTTGTGAGTTTTACTGACACATGTAGTATGTCCATTATAATGTATTGCCTGGGGCACAGTAAACAACATTGTTTACAAACAAAAAAGTATGACGTTGCACATATGGTTATCGATATGTACATTCCTACAAAATTTCATGGCTTTATCTCTTTTGGTTTTTGTGTAATGCTGGTTGAAGAAGAAGAAGAAGATTCCCTATCATAGCCCAATACATCTATGTTGTAAACTATATTGTTTACGAACAAATAAATGTAACGCGTCAATGGAAATACGCGATTTAGACGGCACGAGGGGCCCTGAGCTGTAGCTGTCTGAGCGCAGCGAAGATGCTACTAGGCCGTCTCCATTGACAACCAGTATAACCTGTTTAAACGGAGGCCGTGCTGGCCGTCAAAATCGTCCAGGTCTGTCGTCTTTCGCGAGACTCGCTCTCGCTGGGGGAAGCTAAAAGGTCTTCATTTTAGTTTATTTTTGCATCGCAGAGAGCCCTTTCATCGAAGAAGCATCGGATATATAAAGTTTGAAGTCGTCGTGACTAGCTCTCAGCGACCGAGTGAGTTTCTTTGCGCGGAAGCTTGCCACACCCCCATCGAAGACGCCATTTTTAGGCGGGCGTCTCCGTGGAAACATGCACTTGGAAAATACAGGATTTAGAATCCACGTTTTACGAAATCTCATTGTTCAATTTGAATCTGCTGACGTCTAAGTATGACCGGTATCTTCGGGTGATTTCATTACTGTATTTCGTTTCGTTTTGGGTGTTGAAAAAGATGACCTCCCTATCATAGCCCCATACATCTATGGTGCGAAATACCGTGACCATCCCTATATACTAAGTACTACTGTACTTAGTGATAAAACATATCATAGTGCATTTTTTTATTGCACTCCTCTAATTCAACAAAATTATGTTTGAAAATACAACTTTAATGTGGACAAATTGAGTGTTTGTATTTTTCTCACTGTCAGAGTGCAGTTGACAGTGATGTTTGTGGATGGGGTAACAAGACTTGAAAGAATGAAGAAAACTGATCACTTGAGGGTATAAGCATGTTTGCAGTGTAGTCCAACCACTCTTCGTTTTGGGATACTGTACTTTACTACTCCTTCATTGTTCAGAACTCTAGCTGTATCTCAAAACACCCGACTTACATTGGCATTTTAGTGCAACAGTAATAACTTCTCTACGATCCAGTACCAGATGAAGATGAACCAGGCACAGTTGAGAGTGATGATATCTGAGGAGTCTAGCCACTTGGCTACTACAAGCCTCCCTCCCAAACGAAGTATAACACCAGCCACTGACCTTAAACCATGGTGTAGTCAGACTCCATCTGCAGGCCCAATCCTCCACCTCTATCCTTGTGATAGGTATGTTTATCTTATTTCATGTGCTACTGCAAGTGCACATTTAGAAGCCACATTTAGCATTAGTTTGTCACCTAGGCTCCAGTGCCACGTGGGATATGTCGGCACAGTTGTGACGTAATACAGCCCTAGGGTTTTACATTGCAACTGTGCCAACTTAACCAATGTGGTCACCAGGAAAAGTCCAGGCGGCAACTGATTTGTCGCCATTTACGTAGCGAAAGTTATCTGCTTCCCTGCAGCCTTGCACATGTTATTGCATGTACGGTACCAGTCAAACAAAATGCACCGTAGTTGTGTTACAACTCCAAAACTTAAAGGTGTTGCTATTGTATTGTACTCAGTGCTTGCATGAAGTTTTGGCCTTTTACGACCGGTACACATGTGGCGCTGTTTGGTTTAACCACTGTAGTAACATTACGTACAATCCTTGCTGTAGTACGTAGGTATGCTGTAGTGTTGCTACATAAGTGCATTTTATCACTGTAGGACGGGTAGCTACACCTGTCTGTACATTGTATGCACCTACCGTATGGTTAATACGTAGGTACATAGTACAGTCACATTTGGGTAGATTTTTGTTTCTCACTGTAGTTTATCTGTAACTACACACCTGTAGAAAGGTCTTGAAACAGTTCAGGAAATAGTAATTACTCCCTTTTTCATGTGTACATTGTGCTGTTGTGTAGATCTGGTTTCTACACTAAAAGCTGGAAATACGGTGCATTTTTTTGACTGGTACCGTATATACAAGGAACATGATGTACAGGATTTTTTACTTTCGAACCATTCGTTAAAATAACACCATAGAATGTGCATGTTGCAAATGCACATATTTAATATGCACGTTTTTAGCTCCTATACACATTGGCTGCATGAATATCAAGTACTTAGTATTAGAGATTTCAAGGGTCGCTCAGCCATGTGGAAAATCAAAATTTCACTTGATCAGATCTGACATCTGACATATCAGTCTAATCAGTATGGCAAAATACAGGTGTACTATATAGAAAGAAGGAAAGAAGTGTGAGAAGGGCTGCTGGAGCTTCACTTGACATAACAATTAATGACTAATTATCCGATTTAAGCCTTGGCATCCCTATATTCCACAATTTTAATTGGAAATTTTTTTTATATTGAAGGAAATGTGGCCGTATATAAGGGCTAAAGTTACTAAATATAGCACAAAACAATAGGGTCACAGTGCAATTAAGTTTTTAGTAACATTTCTAAATTATACTGACACATTCCCTTTAAATGACCCATGAAGTTTATACCTCCTGAACATAGATATATTTTTGCCTTTAGTATTTAGTAGCCTAATGTTTGTATTGCCTGAGACTGTTTATCATCGTGTACATATTTCTTTTTCATTGTTCCAACACCCAGCATAAACAGGTTTTAGCCAAATATGTTTTATTGCCTCAGACGGTTTGCTTTTGTTTACAAACATATATTTTTGTGTTGATGAACTCTTGTCGTTGTACATAAGTATACAAAATATTTTTGTTAGAGGACTACGTTAGTAGACAAAAATTAAAGAGAAAGCTGGATTAGGGGTACAAAAACTGTTAACAAGCATATTAAATTTTTATGGTGTGAAGAGTGCAAACTCCTGTGCAATCGCACAATTTGGGTGCACACCAATTAGGTTCATGTCTCCCTAGGCTTATGCAGGCCTTCTGCTACTTCAGTTTGAACACTGCAGCTCTAGGACATTTTTATCATTCAGCTGCATAATTAAGATCACATACAACTCTCAATCTCTACACCTCCTAAAACTGAACATAAAATATGAAGGGAGTTACTGGCTGCTTTGGAAAATGCTTACTTTTTTCTGGCTTTGTTGTAGTCGTGAATACCACATTTCTATGGCACTGGAAAAGTTTGGCATCTAGGTTTACTCGTGCCCATTTTTAGCATTCTGATCTAATTCTGGTATATAACTTAAACAAAACGTACTGTACAGTTTTTTGTATCTTCCGTGGTATGTGTCATGTTATCACAACCTTACTGTATACTATTCTCTACCTGCAGTGTTCTGAATGAGCAGGTGGCTCTATCGAGTGTCCACCCATCTCAATTGGGGTCAGATGTGCTAGTGATCCCCCTTTGTGTTGATGTCCGTAGAGACAGTAATAACGGTAATTATTTCCTGTTGCTAACTACGTAGGTTTACGTACTACAGGGCTGTAGTCAGTGAGCAGGGCAATATTGAAGTTGTAAACATCAGTTGTTAGTTGAAGAAGAGACAACATTGCACAGCTAGCTACATGTAACTTATCCAGACCTGTTACACACAACCAAAACCAGTTAATGCTTTGGGGATCTAGACATCATATATAGTAACTTATGTGAGAGAGTTCATGTAATCAGCTAACTAGCTTTAAGGTAGCCGAGAGAGAATCAAAGTTTACCATCACACTAATTTTGTCTTCTGTTGCAGTACTGACACAAATGTTGATGGATGGAGGGTCAGAGCTACTAGATGAGCTGTGCCTAGCAGTCTACTGCCCCCTGGGAGAGTGTATTATTACTAGAGGATACCTCCTACCAACCCACTGTGAGTTTTCTCTCGAATTTTTTGGTTATAAATGTAAGGCTTATCACTAAGTACAGTAGTACTTAGTATATTATAGGGATGTGCATGGTACCTAGCATCATAGATGTATGGGGCTATGATAGGGAGTTTTGTTCATCTTCTTCTTCCTTCTTCTTCTTCCTGTTCAACCAGCATAACTCAAAACCCGAAGAGATAAAGCCATGAAATTTTGTAGGAATGTACATATCGATAACCACATGTGCAACGTCATACTTTTTTGTTTGTGTAAACAACAACAAAATTGCCCCAGGCAATAGATTATAATGGGCAATACGTTATAATGAGCATACTACATGTGTCAGTGTAACTCACAAATGGTAAGAGCTATGTGAACGAAACTTTGTATACATAATGTATTCAATAGCCAACATCAAAATCACAACAACATATATATATGTACAAGTAGATTAAAAATCCTGCGAATTAAAAAAAAAGGCATATAGGGATGGTATTAAAAGAAAGGGAGACAAGATAGAAATGGGATACATGAAGCATGGTTAATGAACAGATTTGAGTATGCTGACACCCCCAACCCCATCACACAATCCCTATATTGTTGCCTGGTGTGCTACTCTTATAGGGAATGTGGCATTATATAAGGGCTAAAGGTTACTAAAAGCAAGCATTCTTTCACTGTGTCCCGGTTGTTTTTTAGTAACATTTATACTGCCACATTCCCTTTAATTAAACTCCACTTGGACTCTATAAGGGTGTTGGTTACTCAGTAGTGTATTGTAAGTTCTGAGTATTGTAATGGTGAATGTTTAATACTTCACCTAGGCAACAATATAGGGATTGTGTGATGGGGTTGGGGGTAATAGAGAAATAATGCCTGTTGTCATCATGGAAATGATGTGCATACCATGTTTCATCTCCATGTGTGCTGCCATTAGCATGTTTCAGATGTGAAGAAGTAATTTTAACCTGAGGCTATTTGTTGTTGTGGTCGTCATGGAAACGACGTTACACACATGCGTACCAACTTTCATCTCCATGCGTGGTACCATTAGCGAGTTTGAGGAGTGAAGAAGTAATTTTAAAGAAAAGTGCCTGAGGCTATTTGTTGTTGTGGTCGTCATAGAAACGATGTAATACACATGCACACCAAGTTTCACCTCCATGTATGCTACAGTTAGCAAGTTTGAGGAGTGAAGAAGTAATTTTAAAGAAAGGTGCCTGAGGCTATTTGTTGTTGTAGTTGTCATGGAAACGATGTAATACACATGCGCACCAAGTTTCACCTCCATGCGTGCTACAATTACCAAGTTTGAGGAGTGAAGAAGTGGTTTTAAAGAAAATTGCCTAAGGCTTTTTCAAACAAAATGTGGTCGTCACGGAAACATGTAATCGGCATACATACCAAGTTTCATCTCTATGTGTGCTACCATTGGAGAGTTTGAGGAGTGAAGAAGTAAATTTAAAGAAAAGTGCCTGAGGCTATTTGTTGTTGTTTACAAACATGTATTGTTGTAATTTTGATGTTGGTGATTGAATACATTATGTCTACAAAGTTTCGTTCACATAGCTCCTACCATTTGTGAGTTTTACTGACACGTGATCCCTTTATAATGTATTGCCTGGGGCTATTTGTTGTTGTTTACAGTAAACAATGTTGTTTACAAATAAATAAGTATGACCAGTCTCTTCTGGTGACAGATATCTACATTGTTACAAAATTTCATTACGATATGTTGTTTTGTTTTTGATTTCCTGTACGCGCCGAGACATTTGTAGTCCAACTAGCCAATCACAATGCTGAATTTCTGCTTTTTCATCCTGTACTAATGGACTGTTGTGTAAACTTTGGGCCAGACAATTTGCACTACGCCTAGCGCTAGATGTTGTGATAAGGACTTCCTGTCCAATACTGATACCGGTGCAGCCCGCAGCCCACAGCTCAGAATACAGCGTATATTCCTAGCACCGGGTTGTTTGAAGTTGGACTACAAAAGGCTTTGCCATGGTATGTGCTGCTGACCATGCCCATACATTCGTGGTTTGGAGCCTGCACACAAAGTTTCACCTCCAAGCGTGCTACAGTTAGCATGTTTGAGGAGTGAAGAAGTAGTGTTAAGGAAAATTGCCTGAGGCTTTGTCAAGCAATATGAGGTCGTCATGGAAACATGTAACGGTCATATAATAGGCATACACACCAAGTTTCATCTCTATGTGTGCTACCATTGGAAAGTTGGAGAAGTGAAGTAAAGAAAAGTGCCTGAGGCTATAAACATTTGTAGTCCAACTTCAAACAACCCGGTGCTAGGAATATACGCTGTATTCTGAGCTGTGGGCTGCTGGCTGCACCGGTATCGGTATTGGACAGGAAGTCCTTATCACAACATCTAGCGCTAGGCCTGGCTTCCAAAGTTTACACAACAGTCCATTAGTCATTAGTGCAGGATGACACAGCAGAAATTCAGCATTGTGATTGGCTAGTTAGACTACAAATCAGGTGTCTCAGCGCATACAGGAAATCCTCCTCGGCTGTTAACTATACCGGACGAGGGCAGTAGGAGTATCTCCTGTACCGCCTCGCCGCCTGTACGTTAACTAATACGTGGGGATGAATCTCATTAGTTCAGAACTGCGCTCCTGTAGCCTTTATAAACTCGTGATGCCAGAGAGAGAAGTTGCGGTATGCTCTGCTGATGAGGGCCGACAAGCCCGAAACAGCTGTCCAGAGCTCCCATCTTTTTCTCTTGGCATCACATGGTCTAATACCTTCATGTGTATTACATCGTTTCCATGACGACCACAACAACAAATAGCCTCAGGCAATTTTCTTTAAAACTACTTTCTCACTCCTCAAACTTGCTAACGGCAACACACATGGAGATGAAAGTTGGTACATATTACATGATTTTCATGCCCTTTCCTCCGCTGTTTCTGTTGCCCGGCGTTGCCTTGCCCGTTCCCGATCACGCAATCGGCGTTGAGAAAGCCGAGCTTCTTTCTGCTCAGGAGTCTCACTGGCACGACATTCTCTTTCCCTCTCTCATCGACGACGAAGAGCATCTTCTCTAGACCGATCCATAACTCTTTCCCTACTGAGGGGCGAGCGACGTACCAATGACGTACGGTGACATGCGCTGTTCGGCGACCCTCGACAACGTACGGTGACATATAATTAGAAAAATCGCGCCGTTTGGACCACTAGGTTAGCTCGCTTCCGCTCACCAATAAAAATGAGTGGAGACAAGTAAATATAAGAGGCATATAGGGATGGTATAAAAAGAAAGGGAGACAAGATAGGGATGAGATACATGAAGCATGGTTAATGAACAGATTTGAGCACGCTGACACCCCCAACCCCATCACACAATCCCTATATTGTTGCCTAGGTGAAGTATTAAACATTCACCATTACAACACTCAGAATTTATAATACAAAAAGTCATCTACTGAGTAACCAACACCATATAGAGCCCAAGTGGAGTTTAATTAAACGGACTGTGGCAGTATAAAAGTAGAAATGTTACTTAAAAACAATGGGGGGACGGTGAAAGAATGCTTGCTTTTAGTAACCTTAGCCCTTTTATAATGCCACATTCCCTATAAGAGTAACACACCAGGCAACAATATAGGGATTGTGTGATGGGGTTGGGGGTGTCAGCATACTCAAATCTGTTCATTACCCATGTTTCATGTATCACATCCCTATCTTGTCTCCCTTTCTTTTTATATCATCCCTATATGCCTCTTTTTTAAAATTCGCAGGATTCTTAATTAATTTAGTTGATAAACAGCAATAATGCTACTTCAATTCATGTCCATCCACTACAGCTGTGTTCCACTGTGTATTTGGTGACATGGAAGAAAACTTACAGCAGTGCATAGAGCACGCCTTGGACAATGGCTGGACTAATAAGACAGGCACCATTACATTTTGGCTAGAGGGATTCACAGCTGTAAATGGTATGAAACTTTATTACTATTAAGTGAATTCTGTGCATTTTTGGCGAGCCCTGCTGCTGTCCTTAACTGTGGATCAGCCAAACGTCGCACACTTAGACTATGGAAAACCATTTGTAGCAAGGCCAATTAATACAAAATATACAAGGAGACAAGACAGGGATTACTATGATGCAGATGGGGGCTGCTCACACACAGGTGTGGCTTGCTTTCATAACATATATTGTATATAAATAAGACCATAGATAGCCACTATGCAATCAAGGAGCTGGCAGAGTGAGTTGCCCATATGCTGTGTTGTTAACCCTCGGTGCGCATGCGCAGCGAGGGTTACTGTAGTTGTTGTGTGTGTCTGTTTGACATCTCACTTCACGAGCCATGAATCACTCCACAAACAATACCATGTATTCAGCGTCGGGTATAGGTTGCAAAGTATGTAGGGTTTTCTCTGAAACTTCTGTGTTGAATAGTTACGGCAGTAAACACGAGTGAAAACCAATGTGCTAATTAGAACTGGCTTTCCTCGAGAGGGTTTGCTTTCTCTGTGTATCTTGAAGGGACAAGAAGTCACAACGAAGGTTATGTATTGACTCATGCATGGTATCTACTGCTGTAGCTAGCACGTGTCAGACTCTCCGCGAGCTACCATTGGGAGACCACAAGTAAACGCATACTAGCCGAGCCCATCAATCAGCGGTATCGCACATGCGCAGTTCGCCAAGCTTTCGTGCTTTTTAATTTAGAGCTGAAAACACACAATGATTATTACACTAGGTTGGAGTCACAAGGTTCTGTATGTCATAGTAAAACTAATCGGCTTAGGCCAAATGTCTGCATGACAGTAAAGTCAATGGCTTTGTGACAGTAGAGGACTTGTGTGGTAGAAAACGTGCATGAGCAACTAATGCCTATGTGTATGTAGCCCCTGTACATGCACCAGTCGTCCCTGTCTTGTCCCCTTGCTTTTCATGATATCACTATTAATTTTTTTTATTTGTTAAATGCATGGTGTACAATAAAAAGGATATAAAAAGGCGCATAGACGTAGTATTAGTAAACTACTACTTAACTCTTCATAAGACACCAGTATATGAAGTTGAGAACCCAGCATAAGTGAGTTGTAGCCATTTACAAGCTTGTTATTAACCCTCGGCGCGCATGCGCAGCGAGGGTTACGGTAGTTGGGTTTGTCTGTCTGTCTGTCTGTCTGTCTGTCTGTGTGTCTGTCTGTCTGTGTGTCTGTCTGTTACTCGTCATCTCACTTCTCGAGTGTTCGTTCGTCTCACAAAGGATACCACCTACTGAACGGGCAATGAAGGTCAGAAAATATGTGGGGTTTTCTCTGAAACTGCTCCGTTGCAGAGCTAGAGCGCGAAAAAGCCAATATGCAAATAGGCAACGGACGGGATGGCTTACCACGGTCTGATCGATCCGCGTGCTCTGCGTACCTCAGAGGCACCAGAAGATGCAACGCAGGGCGTGTATCACCTCTCGCATGCTATCTAGTAGTGTAGTTAGCCCGCGTCAGACTCTGCGCGAGCTGGGAAGAGACCACGAGTAACAGCTAAAACTAAACCCAGCCCATCAATTAGTGGTACGGCGCATGCGTTTACTTACGCGTGCGCGTCACAATGCGCCGAGGGTTTGCACTTCAGTGCTTTTCATTATTTTTATGAACTCTATCATAGCACATCAGTGTGCAATGTTTCTTTGTTAAACGACTAAGCACTAGCAAGGTTTGGGTACTAGCACCATATCATTTGGTTGTTGTTTCCTAACTCGTGATTAGGAGACCTCGTCATGATAGCTAGATGACTAAGCATTATGGGAATATAAATTGCCACTGATCACACCTGGCCACTTCCTGACGGTATTGGTAAACGGCTGTACTTCAGTGCCTGTGGGTTAACCAGTACAAATCAGTTTCCATGTAGGATTGTAACTTTGCACACCAGTCTGTCCACACAGTGTCATAGAGTGTGTTCGCCTATGGCTGCAACAGGGAGGAAACCACTGCAAGTACACAAGAATCGTTTTCTCGGCAGAGACTAGCACAGACTGCACTAAAACGCTTCTTGAACGATACTTTCCACTGGCACACTACTACTTTAGTTCACAGACACCAGAAAGTGTAAGGAGAGCACCACGACACAAGGAAGATGATGCCCCCACATCTAGAGAGGTGAGTCAAAATGAGGTAATTCTCATCTCTTTTATTGCCCCTAAGAATCTATAATTAACCCTCAGCGTGCATGCGCAGAGGGTTACGGTAGTCTGTCAGTCTGTTACCTGACATCTCACTTCACGAGCCATGAATCGCTCCACAAAAAATATCACGTATTCAGCCTCGGATAAAGATGTGGGGTTTTCTCTGAAACTGCTGCGTTCGGGAGTTTAAACATGAGCGAAAAAGCCAATATGCTAATTGGAACGGGCTTACCTCGTGAGGATCCGCTTGCTCTGTGTATCTTGAATGCACAAGAAGTCACAATGAAGGGCGTGTATCGAACCCCGCATGGTATCTACTGCTATAGCTGGCCTGTTTCAGACTCTCCACGAGCTACTAGCGGGAGACCACGAGTCAATGCATACTAATAGCCCAGCTCATTATTTAGCGGTATCGTGCATGCACAGTTCGCCGAGGGTTTACACTTTAGTGCTTTTTCATTACCCTAGTGCTCACTTCAGTCTGTGTAAGCTGACCTCACCATTACGTCATATTGTTTGCTGTCACCTTTACACGTCTCTGTATGAATGCATTGATACACAGCTACAATGATTAGTCACTTATTCTATGATAGCTGTCATTTACCTCTTTACCCCACATGCAGGATTCTAGAGCAAGCAGTGAAGATCCCCAAGAGACCAAATCCTCTGTCCCGGAAGCCAACTATGACGACACGCTCCTTACCAGAGAGCACGCCTCTTCCTCTTCACCATCCCACACGTACACTCAATGCGCAGAGAATGGAATCAGATGTCTGACAGCTGGCCTTAAACTGACTTTTATAAAATGCACAAACAGTCATATTATACAGCCCTAGCCCTAGCTCAATGCATATCTAATAACGTCAATTAGCTGTACCTTTTTTGAAATACATTCTGCATTTGCATGGATACACATGGAAGTAGCAAAAATGCTAATGTCGCATCAGCTTATATTACTAGTTAAGTATAATACTACTTTATTGTGACTTGCGTGGGCGGATCAAAGCTTCCGCGCGTACTCTTATTGTAGACGCGTTCAATATGACCAATATTGAGCGAATTATTGAACTAGCAGCAGTATCGTACCCATAGCGTAGACAAAAACTGTTCTTTAGAGGCGAGGGATGACTGTTCTGTAGAGTCTGTAGAGGGCTGAGGCGACCACACCCCTTCATTCAGCTCAGTGGCAAGCGAGACCGCGGCCGCGGCACACCGACCGCCCAGAGACCCATGAAACGAGTTTCTCTGAGGGAAAAAGAGCCACCATCACGACCTTGTTCGATTACCGTAGCCTGGAGAACAGAGAACTCGCTCGCGAAGCCAGCGAGTGCGCATGGGTAGTAGGCTACGCAGTCGTATTTCTCTCGCTAGGAGGTCGACGACTGCTACAGAGTCACAAAACACATAATGTGCGTCCTATCGTTCTATACATGACTTACGGGAACTCGGGTTGTGGTCTCGAGACACTCGGCTGCGCCTCGCGCTGTATGAGTCTCTCGACCACACCCCTCGTTCCCATAAATCACGTATAGAACTCTAAACGCACATTATCTCTTACATAATACTACTACTTTTAGCCGCTTCTGTTGCACCTGCATGAATAATTTAAAACAAATCATTATCTCCACGATTTGTGTGGTCGATGGTCCTAGTGCTATGGCTACCACCTGAGTATCTCTACCATTGGTGAAATATAATCTGTAGTAGTGAAAAGATATCACCTTGCCAAAGAGTCACAAATTTGTGCCTTTTACATGAATAACAAATGTGAAGCAAAAAGATTGACAGGTAGCTACCCGGGTGAGAGGTAATCTATTTCTAGGCCCAGCCCCATTTTGAAAAGTGACAAATTTGTGACTTTATAATGAAGAATTCACAAATTTCAAAACGCTAGAAATCATAATGCAGGAAGTCACAAATTCACAATAAGGGGTCAGCAGGTGCTTAGATAAAAGGCAAAATTCACACAAATCATGGACCATGGAAAAGCCAGGACTAGGGGTTAGACTAAACAATTCGCAATGAGTAACTACCATAAACTGGATCTCCATCAATAATAGTTTGAGAGAAAGTTTGGATGAGTTGTCGCTTAAATAAGCAGAAATTGATGTATAACATATTAATGCCTAGTATTATAGCCATATATGGACTTATGGAGGCTCTGGGCATATATATATAATTATATATATATATGCCCGTTGCTTGCTAAGGGTAAAAGACAAAACTTGCAGGGCAGTGCCAGAATAGCACTGGCATGCCCACACACATAATATACAGAAAACTACAGTCACTCTAACTGTGTAATACACACATGAATGTGTCTGCATGTCAAGTTAACTTATACACTGGAGGAAGAATACAAGATAAGCATGCTCTTTTCCATTCAAGAGTCGGTTTAGGAGTGTCATCACTAGCCCCATTGATGACATACAGTCTTGAACGGCAGGCTTCCATCTGAAATCAATCAACGTGTGGTAAGTATCAAAACTATTTCTCCGTAATGAAGGGGGTGTAGGGATGTCACCTCATATGAATGAAGGGGAGCAAGATAATGCCTACACAAAAATAGAAAGTCTCCCCACATCATTCTTGTGTAAGTTCTTATGTTCCAAAATGCTGGATGCCTTAGGAAAAATATTGTCTAAATGTGTTAGTGTAGGTGTCTTCTTGTTCCCCTTAATTTCATCAGCCCCTCAATTCAGAGAAATGATTACTTCTTTCACTCATTTATATAATTTTGGGCAAGTCAATCCACGGAAAAGACAGTTAACCCTTTGCATGCCACTAATATACAAGCAGAAACCATGTAGAAAGTATTAACGCCTAGTATTAAAACCTCCATATTAATTTATCTTGCTGCTTATGGAGAAAATTGAGGTGTCCATGGCTGGTTAAATGTGAACAATACGGAAAGCAACTGTTAATCAAAATGCATGCACAGTTGTATGACGTACAGAGATTATGGTACCATTGGCAGGCATAGCTTGCTCCTGCTCGTGAGTCGTGAACTAGTATCACACACATGCAATACTTACATAATCACGGGGAGTCATTTTATGGTTGTAATGACCGTTCATGTTATTACGTGAAGCTAATCGGAGAGCTTCTTCATCTGTTAAGCCACAGTAGACGATGCACAACACCCTCGAATATGCTTCAACCCCAGGTTGCTCAATCAGGAGTGCCTGTCTTGCATTAGCGCCATGAAGACCCCCCAAAACATCATATTGGTAGACATCTTTGTGTCTCTCTCCACTTTTGTTTATATTCTTGCATACTACTGCCAAAGGAGGAGCACCAGGAGCAGCAGGGTCTGCTTGTAGACGTTTTTTAGTCCTTAACAAACACATTATCAACTTTACGAAGGAGTCGTGAAGAAGTTGGCTCAAACAGGAATTGTAAAAGGCCACAAATGCATAAAAACCATGGAATAATAATACTGCACAAATGAAAAGCACTGAAGTGCAAACCCTCGGCGCATGTGCTGTGACGCGCACGCGTAAGTAAACGCATGCGCAGTACCACTAATTGATGGACTTTTAGCGGTCTCTTGCCAGCTCGCGCAGAGTCTAACGCGGGCTAACTACACTACTAGATAGTATGCCAGAGGCGATACACGCCCTGTGTTGCATCTTTTGGTGCCTCCGAAGTACGCAGAGCACGCGGACCGATCCGACTGTGGTAAGCCATCCCCGTCCGTTGTGTATTTGCATATTGCCTTTTTCGCGCTCTAGCTTTGCCGTTTCAGAGAAAACCGTTCGAAATTTCTGACCTTCATTGCCCCTTCGGTAGGTGTTATCCTTTGTGAGACGAAAGAATACTCGAGAAGTGAGATGAAGAGTAACAGACAGACAGACAGACAGACGTACCCTCGCTGCGCATGCGCGCCGAGGGTTAAAAAGCATGTATGCACAGGTGTGTGCAAGACTTGTTAAGATGTCGTCTGGGGTTGTATATTGCAGCCATCTTTACTTAAGTTCGTTGTCTTTACAGTACAGGCCTTTTTTCAGCCATCCTATCATGTATATTATCTGCTAACAGCACATTAATGCCCATGCATATGGAAACAACCAATTTCTTACCAAATTTCTTTTCTTCAATGGTGTCATCAAGAGGACTACTGCAGTGTTTTCTGATTTGAAGAATTCTCAGCGCTGGGAGTATAGCAGAAGAAACAGAATTGGAATCAGACTGCTCTTCCAACTGCTCATCGGAAGAGATGCCGCAAGTAAGCTCCGCACATTGATGCTTGACGGAGGCTAGCTTAGCTGAGTCCTTGCCGCTCAAATCTCCCGCTAAAATCCTACGCATGCGTTTGTTTGCCATCTATGTTGCGAAATGCTGCAGCTTTCTGCTTTAGCGAAACACAATTATCCAAGAGGACACAGAACTTGACTACTGTGCATGGGTACAAAATATACTTGGCGTGTAGGGAAAATTCATTGCACTTGTATATTATTATTATTATTGATTGATGCACACACACCAGTAAAGGTGCAGAATAGACAGAAAAAAGAATAGAGAGAAAAGTGGAGAGCAGAACACGGCCTTCTGGGCTCTATCCCGTCGCCAACCGAGGGCTTAAGGGCTCCTGGACCGACCGCAGAGTACTGACCAAAATAACGATTACAAAGAGGACAAATGAGAAATGATACCTTCACAGGGAGAATGAAGACCATAAAGATGTCTGAGATGTCTAATAAAAGAAGCTGTAGTGAAGTCAGAATAGTTATAATCAGAAAGATGTTGAATGCCATATAAATTATTATACCCAGTGAAAGAATAAACGACTTGGGATGAAACTATAAAAACAGAACGAACTAAAGATGAGGACGATGAAACAGCAGTAGACAAAAGGGAGCAGAAACGACTGTACACCATAGAAGATATTGTATCAATCTGAGCAACACAATGGACAATAGCTGAATGAGAATTGTGGGGTAAGTTCCAGAGTTTACGTAATAGTTTATTCAAAGCGACTTCAATAACGCTGATGGAGGACGACGAGAGTGACCATAAAGAGCAGCCATACAAAGATAGGCAAAAGGACTTAAGCAAATAGCACTTCACAAATGGGTCAGCTGCATGAAAGGCACAGAGTAGATGATTGGCCTTACGATTCAGATCTTTGACAACTCTGAGAATATCACTACTGTCATTTAGATCAGATGTGAGAATGTGACCAAGATGAGTAACTTCATTAGAATAGCGCAGGACGTGGTTGTTGAATATGAAGACAGGAGAACTAGGTTGGGTGTGACGAAGACGAAAACAAATAAGCTGAATCTTTTCAGCATTAAACTTGAGACCATGAGTAGACGCATACGAAGAACATGTTTAGCAGAGTTCTAAGTGCCGATGCACCAACACAATGTCATCAGCATAACAAACAGAACCAGCAAACAAGTTGCCCCAATGACAACCAACACCAGAAGCAGCCAATTTCTGAAGCAAACCATCCAAATACACAGAAAACAAGACAGGAGAAAGGACACCACCTTGCCTGACACCATTAGACACTCTAAAAGATTGAGAGAATGACTGTTCCCAACGCACTTTCATCCTTTGGTTACTGTAATAGAAAGACAGAAAACGAACAACTGGGAGAGGTAAACCACGATCAATGAGTTTTTCAAACAAGAGACTATGATCTACGAGATCAAAAGCCTTGAAACTGAAGAACCATTATGAATGTAACGTGAAACAACATTCTTGACAACACCAGAACACAAAGTGGTAGAAAAACCAGGTTTAAAACCAAACTGCAGTGGACTAGAATAAAGATAGCCAGAATACTTAGTCATGATGATATTCTCCAATATTTTACTTAAGCAGGCTATAGAACGATAGTTTACACTGCAGGTGGCATCCTTATTCTTCTTGGATACTGGAACAAGAACAGAGTCACGAAGACACTGAGGCTGTGACGAACAAGTGAGCTGAAGAAGATGGCAAGAGGTGCCATAACAGCTGATGAAGCATAAATGAAGTGCTCGGAAAATATCCCATCCCCGTCTGATAGGATGAGAGAGAGCACGGCCCAAAGGATCATTACGTTATGCTTCGTGCGATTGCGTCAGAGGTCATGTATGACCACGCCCCTTTCATTTAGTAGTGCCGTTCTTTATACCAAAGTACAGCAATGAGATAAGCACATCACAATACTAACTGTTGGTAAGGCTCCCCATCTTTCCAGACAACCTCTAGAAACCTATACTCATTGACCCACAACGTAACTTAAATTATGTGTTCCCCTTCACTCACCTACAAAGCATGCTGTTTAGCTAGAGTGTTCTTTCCCACTCGTAACTATTTTCACGGGTCCGTATCGCAAACCACAGAGGGACGAGATCTCTTCGCCTTCGCGGATAACCAAAATATCATTTCCCCAGACTTCAAAGTTCCCACCTCCGGTACGTAGGCATATCGTAACGCATAAGCGAAACGGATGTCAATCTAAGCAAAAAGAAGCTAATGTTACCTGAATCCTGGGACTAAAGGAGGAAGAAACGTCTCTCAGGACATCCTCACACTTGTACTTTAGCAGCAAGTCGAAGGCGTTATGTGCGCAGAGCCTCGTTTCGCATTTGCGTTGGTTAACGCATAAGCGAAACGGATGTCAATCTAAGCAAAAAGAAGCTAATGTTACCTGAATCCTGGGACTAAAGCAGCATTACTGAATCTTTTAAAAGGCAATACTGTTCCAAAGAGAGAGTGGACAAAAAACATTGTTGCAGCTTATCGCATACAGAGGAGAAAGATTGCCAGCTTTAAACAAACACTTAATCCCATTAACTGGCGACATTGAGGAGAGAGTTCTTATTAACCCTCGGCGCGCATGCGCAGCGAGGGTTACAGTAGTCGTTCTGTCTGTCTGTCTGTCTGTCCGCGCGAGTTCCAGCACTACAGGCTACGAGGCGGGCAATGAGTGGCACCAATGGGTTGTGAACAACGAGGAGATGGATATTAAAAGAATAGAAGAATTCAATGTATACTGCAGTTGTAGAAGGTCGCTAACAGGTGGAGCTCAATTCATCCAGTGTGGGGCATGCCGGGAATGTTATCACATCGATTCTTGTGTAAGATTGACAAAAGTGTTATAAAATACCAAGAAGTGGTTATGTTACCTCTGTAAGTGCTGAAAGGCAAACAAGCTTTCTTCATGCCTACCATTTTGTCTCTTTCACCATGAAACCTTCTTCAAAACATACCCATGCCATACTCCAGTGATAATACTCATGAGTGTCATTATTAATGTACCATTCTTCAATCAAAATGAAAAGCACTGAAGTGCAAACCCTCGGCACATTGTGATACGCACGCGTAAGTAAACGCATGCGCAGTACCACTAATTGATGGGCTGGGTTTAGTTGTTACTTGTGGTATCTTGCCAGCTTGCGCAGAATCTGACGCGGGCTAACTACACTACTAGATACTAGCATGCGAGAGGCGATACACACCCTGCGTTGCATCTTCTGGTGCCTCCGAGGCACGCAGAGCACGGGGATCGATCAGACCGGGGTAAGCTATCCCGTCCGTTGTGTATTTGCATATTGGCTTTTTCGCGCTCTAGCTCTGCAACGGAGCATTTTCAGAGAAAACCCTACATATTTTCTGACCTTCGTCGCCCGTTGGGTAGATGGTATCGTTTCTGGGACGAACAGACATTCGAGAGGTGAGATGTAGAGTAACAGACAGACAGACAGACAGACAAACCCAACTACTGTAACCCTCGCTGCGCATGCGCGCCGAGGGTTAAATGGACCCCACCTTCTTCAGTCATGTGTGTTATGCTTCCTACATGTTTTTTAACTTTTCTGTATACATTCATGCCCGGGCGGGCCATTCAAACATGAACTTTGAACTAAAGACCGCTAAAGAGCCAGGGTGGCTCACTGGTCACCTATGTACTATTGTGCATAACAAAAGAAGAAAGATGACACGGAGTGGTTCACTTGTGGGTGGGAATGGGCTCAAGGCTGAGTAAAAATATAAAACTAGCGATAGTAAGGGAGGAGCATTTCTTTGTTGCCTTTTTAATGAATATTGTGGACACACAAAAAGTGATAATATTCTTCTTCAATTATGTCACAGACTGTACATAGTCGATCCGTTACAGGGAGCGGCCTGGGCTTATGGAACCTTCCTACGTCAATTGCCAGTGAATGTGAGCTGGTCCGTAATCTTGCCATGGCTGTGCGGTACTTAGGTTGAGGGATATGTAGAAGGTAAGGTTCCAATTCAATTTTCTGTAGGTCCCAACTGCACCTCTCTCACTGTGCTCTCTTTGTAGATATTCATTCCACTTCTGTAGGAACTGATCTTTCATTATGCACATTAGTTCATTCCGGAGGACAGGCTCACAGCCATCGAATTCTGATGTAAAACATGTCTTGTTGTACAGAGACAAAATCTTCCCCACCCAATTTTTAACCCTCGGCGCGCACGCGCAGCGAGGGTTACGGTACTTTGTGTGTGTGCCTGTCTGCTGTCTGTCTGTCTGTCTGTCTGTTACTCGTCATCTCACTTCTCGATCCGCGTGCTCTGCTTACCTCGGAGGCACCAGAAGATGCAACGCAGGGCGTGTATCGCCTCTCGCATGCTATCTAGTATAGTAGTGTAGTTAGCCCGCGTCAGACTCTGCGCGAGCTGGCAAGAGACCACGAGTAACCGAGCTAAAACTAAACCCAGTCCCATCAATTAGTGGTACGGCGCATGCGTTTACTTACGCGCGCGCGTCACAGTGCGCCGAGGGTTTGCACTTCAGTGCTTTTCATTGCTATTATTAGTTGCATTGTGAATGGAGAGATTTGCTGCGTCTTTTAGTAGGAGTGGGATATCCTCTGAAAAACGTTTGTCCCAATATTTTAGCAGTCTTTCTTTCCACCACAGATGAAGAGGAAGTTGTCCTCTCCTCGGACTGCCATGGTTGGTGTTGAGACCGGAACATTGAGAATATAAACTCTACTTTTTCAATGTCTTCAAAACCCCAGATCTCACATCGATAACACATGATTGGTATCATAAATATCTCACAGAGTTTGAGCATCACCGGGATGGATGTTTCAGACTTGAGTATAGGTGTAACAGTGGAAAAGAAGCCTTTCGTGCTTATTGAATTTACCATTTTTTGAGAACCAGATTCCAAGGTAAAAATATGTTTGTACTGTTTCAAGGATGAAAGTGTTTCCAAAGAAATGGCCCCTGATACTTGCTTCTTCCAAATATACATATCTTAGTTAAACCGTTGCAACCTTGTCTAACACCTTTCTGGCAGGGAAAACCTGCTGTAGTTTTACCCCTTGAAATTTTCACACATGACTTTGCATTAGCATACATACATTGCAACAAGATAAGCAATTGCTTATACCTAGTTGTGCCAGCTTCACCCAGAGAAGCGAGTGGTTCACAGAGTCAAATGCTTTTTTCAGGTCAACGTAACAGATACAGTGATATTTGTTTTCCTTTATAATGCTCAATTATAGTGTTTAAAATAAATATGCAGTCAGCAGTTCTTCTGTTCTTTCTGAAACCAAACTGACATTCTGCCATTTTTCTCTGCCCACTCCATTAGCCTTGTACTAATAATCGATGTAAAGATTTCCCCCATGCTGTTCAGAAGAGTAATTCCCCGATAACACGAGGGGTCTTGTTTGGAACCACCTTTATGTATTGGTGTAATAACCCCGACTGACCAGATTTTAGGGTAAGTGCCAGAATGGAGGATAAGGTTCAATAATGTTGGGGGGAGAGAAATAAACCATTCAGAACTTTATAAACATCCCCTGAAATACCATCCGGGCCAGGCACTTTATTTGATTTCAGACGAAGAATGGCCTGTTTGGTTTCTCGCACTATTATTATTGTCATCCAGTTCTGGGATATAAGGTGATGGAGTTGCAGACTGAGGGAGAGCTACAGAGCTGTCATTCTCTGATGACCTGTTTAGATTTGAGCTAGCTTAGATTTGCAAAGTGGAACAGAAAAGCTTTGGGGTCTATATTGGAAAATGGAGCCATCTTCCCCTTTGCTCTAGAAAAACATATCCAGAAAATCTTAGGATCTGTCTTTTGAGCACTCACAAGCATTTGGTAATGCTGTTTAGTTGCTGCTTCTCGCTTCCTTTTAACCATTTTTGTAGATCCTTTTCTCCCTGAAATAGTTTTATCGATTGAACTGAGAAATGTTGTTAAGTTTTTTCTTGTACTGTTGGCAACTATTTTTTGGGGGTTTTGCATTCTTCATCAAACCAGCTCTTTCTGGGAAATCTGCTTTTATTGGTTCTTACTCTTCTCCCCCTAGGTTTCCTTAAACTCTTGTTCATCAAGTTTGTTAATAGCTCTGTTATTTGTTCTGCCCCCGCATCACAATCAATAGACTTTGAAGATAGTAAACATTTTAGATGAAGAACACGTGTCACTACGTCATTCTCTTCCAAACTGCTGATGAAATTCTCCTTGTTCCATGTTAGGAGATCAGTGAGGGGGAATTTACATATTAGAGATGGCTCCATAGATGGCAGCACCATTGCTGCTTTGAGCACAAATTTGAGAGGGAAGTGGTCTTAATATGCTTTGCTGACCTGCATATTATATAATAACATAATCTACCACACTCGAGCCTCTTGGAGTATAACAGGTAAATTTACCTGGGCTGTCCCCTTTATGTCTTCCATTTAGAATTCTTAGACGTAAACTGATACAAAGATCAATGAGTTGTCTTCCTTGTGTGTTCACTGATATGTCTGCAGATTGTCGTGCACTTTCAAAATCTTTTTTCATAAGGTAGGGGGGATGGAACAAAGAAATTTGTATCTTTTTCAATGTAGTCATTCTTGCCAGTTCTTGCGTTCATGTCCCCACAAAGTAAGATATTTGTTGTTAGTAATAGTCGTTTACAAACTAGTTGTAGGATTTTGCATTATCTCTGTGCGATTTATCAATGTAGTGCGATTTAATGTACTGATACCAGAGTCACAGTTTGGTGTTCATAAGAACAGGAAACACATGGAATGAAATGGCTTTAAGTCAAAAAACAGCTTTATGTGTGCTTTGTGGACTTCAAAAAGGCCTTTGACAGAATAAACCACACACTTTTATGGCCATGCACAGTATTGGAGTTAGTCAGCGGATAATTGCAGTGTTACAATCAATGTATGCTTCTGCATCTTCGTGTATCAGGATATCCAGTAATGAAGCCACTGATCTGTTTAAGTGCCCAAGAGGAATCCGACATGGTTGTATACTGAGCCCTCTGCTTCACAGCAGAGTTGGAAAGAGAATAACAATGCGGGAATTGAACTTCTCAATGGTAATACGTAATATTTTGGACATAATCATGTATGCGGATGATGTGGTCCTCCTCAAGTGCTGCAGGTCTAAGGAAACACATCACCACCTTATCAGACTTTTCCCAAAGGAGGAAACTAGAAGTCAATACAGATAAAACCAAAATATGTGTCTTTGGTGGGGATAGAAGTTCTAATGTATAACAATCATATCCTGGAAAGTGTAGTCTGACAAGTATCTAGCGATATGGTTTACAAAAATGTGGCCAAAATTGCACTACCGACGATACTAGGGCTAGGGGCATCTGCCCACACCCCCCAGCTCTATGAAACAATGTTGAAGCTCCCTGTCAATCTATGGAGGAAGGAGAGAATACTGAAGTTCTGGAACAGATGATGCCCCTGCACTACTCAAAGCAGCAAAGTCCCTGTCACTGTACAATGCTAGGTGTGGGGGAAAGTGTTGGGTTTCAAATGTGGCTACTCTCTTGAATACTGCCAGTTATGCTACTCCATTCTCAGAGTTCTGTGTTTTTGACCGAAACACGCAAAACACTTATTATGTGCACATACCGTGACCAGTTTATTCTTTTGAACATAGCCTCATGGACAAGGGGGAAACAAACTGAGATAATACAGATTATCGAAGAAAGAGTTTGGCACGTAGCCTTATCTTTTGAATATAACCTTCAGCAGCACTCCGAGTATCTATGACTCCGCTTAGAGTTGGATGCCACAGTCTGGAAATTGAACGTGGGAGATACCATTAACCGAGGTCGGTCCCAGTGAGCCAAAGGCTGTGTCGCAAGTGCAAATCGGATTTATTTCCTATGCAAATGTTCAATGTATGAAAACAATCTGTAACAAGAAATACAAGCAATGTTTCCTGGATATAAGTTGCTTTCATCAGAGCAGAAATTCGTGTACTCACTAGGATCTGATGAGATGATGCAGTGGCAATTTATTCATACCACTTTCATATTACATTGTAGGTAGTTTGACTAATAGCCTTCCTGGCTCTTAGTCATTAAAAAAAATAATTATTATTATTAATGTCTGATCTCAGTTTGTATCATGTGATTTATTTTTCGTGATAGGTGATATTTAAGTGGAAGTTTCAAAAACCGCCTATACTACCCCTATGCACTGTGTGAATCTAATTTCCAATGCCAAATCTTCAAAAAAGACCACAAACCAGTTTAAAAATATACAACTGTTTCAGTTTCATACAGTTTTGGCACACGAAACCATGGAGTATTGTATAATACAAGTACATAAAAATCCTGCGAATTCACTTGACATTTGACTATCAATGCCTGAAAGTGCTCAATAGTTTTGGGTGTTGCTAGTCTGCTCACAAAGATGCATGCTAACATCACTACAGGTAATGTACGTGGACACTTACACAATTCCCTCTTCCGGGCAAATAGTTTGGTTTATTATGCAGACAATCAAGCTTTATTTTTGTGATTTGGAGCAGTAGAAGTGACTTATACAAAATATTCTGGGACACAAACATAACCCACACACATACAAGACAGGACACAAATGATCAAAATCTATTGCGGTTGAGCATTATTTAGAATGAAAAGGTCAGTTTTACTGTACTGTTCTAAGTAGTTCACATTTGGTTCTGAAGACTGAGTTGTTATTCTGTAAAACAGCTCTTTGGCAAAGAACCTGTAGTTTTGAGATACAAAGTTAATGTGAATAATGCAAACCAAGGTTCATATATAATCACTGTTAAATGATGGGATGGGCCATGGCACTCTAACCAGACGGACCCAATTTCTCACTTTATTTCACAGGCTAGCTAGCTGCATCAGTGGGTAGCGTTTAGGCTGATGCTAAACTGATATAAATCCCTCAAGTACTGCATACCTCCACGTTCACATTGTGCTTAACAAGCTAAACCAGGTTAAGGTAAGCCGGTGCTGATTATGCAGCACACGTATGTGACCATACACATAAAAACCAGCATAAGTCGGCAAAAATATTTTTGGACATTCTACCAGATGTCGATGTCCTTTTTGTACCTTCATCACAAATCAGGCATGCATGGATAGCCCGTTCCATTCCAGAGATAGAACTGTTTTGGCAGAATGCCAAAATGCGTGTGTTGTGTGTGCGTAGAACAATCTTTTCCGTATATGTACTCCATACACATAGTCTGGTGACATGCCCTTCCGCTGGTCTACAGGCTCCGTGGACGAACGAAGCTTTTAGAAAACTAGCCAGTAACAACGAAGGTAGCAGGTAAGCTTTAGAATTCAGATCGGTTTTGTGGTAGCTGCATTCTCTCCGGATTACGCACCCGCTCACACACACACACAAGTGAATCGACACAGGCGTCTTTGAAGCACTGTTACAGCTAAACCAAATGGCATTAAGGTGGTCCTCCAATGGAAAATGTGTGGTATTCACAACCGGTAGCTACAAATGCTTAACATTTTTGCCGACTTACATGCCTGATTTCCACCTGTCCCTAGGTTCACATAATATTGGCCTGTTTGCATGTTTTCACCCCATATCTCTTGACCGCAGTCATTTCAGGAAAATCACCTTTCTAGTTTTAATGCCGACATAGCTCCCATGCTGCTACTTACAGGCTGACTCGTAGAATGAAATACCAGAAACACAAAACCAAATACTGCAACCCCTGTTGTGCATGCACCCTGATGGTTAATAGTATTTTGTAGTTATTTCAGGGGTCACCATAGCTTTACCGTTGGATACACTACATATCTTCCCAGTAACCTAACAAGCCACACTATCCTGTAAAAAAGGCTAGGCTCTAAGTATAAGCAGTTTACCGGGAGTAGGTGTTGTCAAAAAGAATCTCATAGATGCCGTTTTGTGTGGCACAGTGGTAGCCAACAGTCGGGTGGGCATGGGTGCCTACACGAAAAGGTGGCAAGATGGACATCACCTTCTTCTCAATGGACTGCGGGGGAGAGGGGGCAGAAATGTTTTTCACAGCACAATAAGCAGGACGGACACAAGGCTATACAAGTCAAAGCTATTACATTTGAGTTTGCTAAGAAAGATGAGCATTGTGAAGTTGTTAAATGTGACCCGATGTGGGAAAAGTTCTTATTTGATTCTGAGAAAATTTGGCTTTTTATGTGTGAGAATATCTGCTCCACACAGCACTATAAGCGCTTCAATAATAGTGCATACCATTGGTGAAATACATTCTGATACAATATTGAGATAACTGCATTCATACGTTACACACATGCAAAGGGACGTGTACTTCTTGTTGCGAGACTATCTAGTAAACCACAAAACTTTCATTTTGGCAGGAACAATTTGGTAAGCGTGTTTAGTTTTTGTGCCTATAGAGTTTAAAAAGGCAAGAGTGAGCCCAGCGTGCTACTTTACTCCTAACGACAACTGTTGGTCAATTTCACATAGTGTGTCAAAAGTAACTTTGTTCACACAGCTAGGACTTGGTACTACAACGGGTGGCACTTTATTTCATACTTCTACATAAGTGGAATATCTCGTTTGTCGTTGCACAAAATGGAAACCTACACTTTTTTTTATATTAACCTATACATTCTACCACCTTTATCCTGTATATTGTCATGAAAAACTCTGGCCACTTTCTGTTCTCTTCGACTTGGTGCATGGGGAGTAGTATTATACAAATACAATGTCCTATGTAAACTGTTTTCCTGATACATAGCTTAGACTGGTCATTTGACTACTCTGTGCAGTGTTTATGCAGTAATGTGTATGCTCTCCCAATGTCATAATTCATGTACATATACATTGATATTAAGTGGGAAACACGGTACTGCACTTTCTTTCCCTTACTTCATGACTAGAAGGAAGAGGCTCCTGTTCTGTGGCCACTTCTGTTGCTTCAAACAACACCCCTGTACAAACAGACCATGGTACATGAAGCTAGACAGTAGTACACGTATTCTCCCTTTGAACGTACATATGCTGTACGTTCTCCTGTTTGAACATTATGCTACTCTCAAATACCTGTACAGTAGTAGTAACCAACCCTTACTCCCCAGAGTTTTTTTAATGGGCATGCAGTTTCCAGAAAGATAAAAAGAGTTTCCAAGGAAATTCAGAACAGGTAATAAAGGGAAAGGGTTACCCAATAAACCCACTTTTGCCAACCTGGCAACCAGCAACCACAGCGGATGGGCCTCAAAAGTAGTAACTCAAACATTAGTAATGGAAGTGGTTACTGTTACTCACAGCCCATGTTTGTAGCGTACTAGTAGTAAGTACCAGCATTCTGACTCATATGCACATAAACTCATTTTACCGAAACCAATGTCTCTCTTTTTGGTAGCAAACTCCCAAATGATGATGTCACCACACTTGACGCTATAGTGAACAACATGCTTTGTCTTGGAGCTGACCTGTACATCAGTGTAAGACAGGAGAGAAGGGGAGAAATGTAGGATTGGAACAAAATGTGTAAATACACAATGCTCACCCTCTTGATGCCACAACAGTGCACAAAACGCTGGTTGATACAGTGCTAATTAGCATATTGGCTTATTAACCCTCGGTGCGAATGCGCAGAGAGGGTTACTGTAGTCGTTATGTGTGTGTGTGTGTCTATCTGTTACTCTACATCTCACTTCTCGAGTGTTCGTTCGTCTCACAAACGATATGACCTACTTAACGAGCAATGAAGCTCTGAAAATGCTCCGTTGCAAAGCTAAAGCGCTTCCACCATTGTACGGCTAATGCCAGTAGTGGCCATTTTTGATCTGCGGAAAACACGCATGCGCATCGCCTCGACCGGGTCCACTTGCTTTGTGTATCTTGAAGGCACAAGAAGACACAACGAAGGGCGTGTATCGACTCCCGCATTCTATCCACTGCTGTAGCTAGCCCGTGTAAGACTCCCCGCGAGCTACTAGCAGGAGAGACCACGAGAGTAAACGTATACTAAATAGCCCAGCCCATCAATTAGCGGTACCGTGCATGCGAAGTTCGCCGAGGGTTTGCACTTCAGTGCTTTTCATTCACTTTGTTTATAACTTTTCAACAGCAGTGGTTTTATGATCAAGCTAGTGCTCAGCGCAGGAACCTATTGGTATCAATTTTTGCCCCGCTTGTTGTGAATGGTGGCAGAAAACATGCTAACAGACTGACACACCTACACAAACCAAATACCATAATCCTCGTTACGCATGTGTTTTGAGGTTTGTTACAAACTGTACACAAACAGAGCCATATTATAGAGAGAACAATAAGTGGCGGTCACCAGCAATCCTCGGACACCGTTGTAGAGAAAGAGAGAGGGCTAAGGTTAGATCTTGCCATATACACTGATAGCTAGTACAAGTAGCTATCCACTGGCAAAATATTTCTCGCTCTGAAGGGAGCGGTTGGCACACGAAGTTAACGTTTGAAGACAATTACTTGTCTGACACCCCTCGTTTCTTCTACAAACAGAGGCGCACAAATTGGTGAAAACATCACTGGGAACTATTTTTCCCTACCACCAGTGCAACAGTGATCGTAAGCATCGCTTTGCTTCTTCTGGAAACAAGCCCGTTTTTTCAAACAAGGCATCTACTCCTTGCAATGTGGGCTACTATGTGTTCCCTTAAATTTTTTTGCAAATCTAAACAGGTGTTGTTAACCAGCCATACTACTTGAGTGTAGTACAGCCACACACTTCTGAGAGCTAGTAATTGGTTCTATTATGACAGCTTATGCACACCTTTTAGGTGACTTCCTTGCGAATTTTGCATGGCCAATTGAGGCACAGCAGGAGAGGAACATCGCTAATTCCTCCTATCTAAGTGAGAAATTGGCACTTGGACCACATTGCACAACAGCCAAAACACGGCCACTCAGCCGGTCACCAAGTATTTATTTTGGGACCCCATATTCATGAGCTGCTTTCTGAACGGACCAGAGTGCAGTGCAATTGAGTGATGCAAGCAAGAGTATAGTGTGAAATTTACGACGCACTGCGCAATGTTCACGCATGTGCACTATCAAGTGTAAGATATACTACTAATGTGTGTACATAAACCTTGTGTCCGTAAGAAAACTATTTGCTGGAGCACAAGTCACACTTTTCATCACGAAATTTGAGTGACATTTTCAGCGGATGCATAAAAAAGGAGGTTGGTTACTATATTTTGAGTCACGGAATCTGCTGGTCGGCATTTTTTATTGTGTTCATAATCTTCTCTTCTTATGGCATACTATGCAGTAACCAATAATATTTCTTATTGTGACTTGCGTTGGCGGATCAAAGGAGCCGCGCATACTTTTATTTCCCATATTGTAGCACGCATTCAATATGACCAATATTGAACGTTCAATAATGAACTAGCATCAGCATCGTACCCATAGTGTAGACAAAACCTGTTCTGTAGAGCGAGGGATGACTGTTCTGTAGAGTCTGTAGAGGCGAGGGATGGCTGAGGCGACCACACCCCTTCATTCAGCTCCCAGTGGCAAGTGAGACCGCGGCCGCGGCACACCGACCGGTCAAACGGCCCAGCGACCTATAAAACGAGTTTCTCTGAGGGAGAAAGAGCCACCATCACGACCTTGTTCGATTACGGTAGCCTGGAGAACAGAGAACTCGCTCGAGAAGCCAGCGAGTGCGCACAGGTAGTAGGCTACGCAGTCGTATTTCTCTCGCTGGAGGTCGACGACTGCTACAAAGTCACAATAAAACACATAATGTGCGTCCTATCGTTCTATACATGACTTATGGGAACTCGGGTTGTGGTCTCGAGACCCATACAGCACTCGGCTGCGCCTCGTGCTGTGAGTCTCGAGACCACACCCCTCGTTCCCATAAATCACGTATAGAACTCTAAACGCACATTATCTCTTACATACTAGCTATCAGTGTATACAGTTTGGATCTAGCCTCAGCCCTCTCTCTTTCTCTACAATGGTGTCCAAGGATTGCTGGTGACCGACCACTCATCGTTCTCTCTATTATAGTCCCTTGTGAGTAAAGTGAGTGCATAACCAACACAACTCTGGCACCACAAAGTGACAAAGAGTGCACCACGAATATCACACAATTTGTTTAAGTTGAAGACTTGCATTATCTTGGCAAGTGTAGAAAACATACTTTGACTTGGACAATATTGTCTTTATCCTTATCGAGTTCTTGCTTGATCCACTCGCTGCTCTTCATGGTGGAGGCCTGCCTCTTCTGTTCCAAGCTCTCCAGAATGAACTCTCTGTTCCTGCTGCTACAGTGGCACAGTGTCTCTTCCAGACTTGGGGACAGTGACAGACCCTTCACTCTGGAAATCACCAGTGTAGTGAGGAAGGTGGAGGGCAAATGTTTGTTAGCTATGAGCACAGCTTGAAACTGAGTGAGGTATAGTGTATTAAGTTGCTTCATTCAAATTGGCCATGTAGGTGTGTATCTTTGGCCACTACTTCATATACATAAATCTCACATAACGGCGGTGTTCGTATTTCATTGTCTATCCATTGCATAGTCTAACCCTTACTCCTGGTATTCCATTGCCTATGAAGTAAGGAACGCACGTATCTTGCAAAGCTACAGTACCTATTGTGGAGGAGAGGTGAGGGTAGGTGATGGGACCCAAAATGGGTTGGGAGACTGAGGTCACTGCAGCAAGGAGACGTGTCTCCATACCGATGGAACCTCTTCAAGTCTCCATGGCTCCCTACACACATATATTATACATACAACATACATGTATTTTGATCCCACCACATTCCACCAGGTCGAACAGGAAATGAGATAATGGTTCATAAATGTATCAAATGCTGTAGCATTGAATACAAGGTGTCTTGGCACACAATGGGAATGGCATTTTGGCACAGTCCAGCACAGCTCTACCAAGTAACATTCTCTCGCCACCCTTTGCTAAATTCACTCTCTCACATTCACTGACTCACAATAGGCAGATAAAACAGTGTGTAGTGCAATCTCTTAATATACACACGTGTAACACACATGTATGTACATACCAGTGTGCACGGCCAGTGCAGAGTCCATGTCAGTCAGTTGGTTTAGCACACTGTCAGACTCGAAGCAGCAGCTGCTCAACTGCGAGCCTAGTGACGAGTTCCTGGAATGGTATGCAGACGAGGTGGAGGAGGAATGGAACGGGGGAAGGGAGGGTGTCTCAGAGACATGTCGGGTGTGTTTCTTGTAGGCAGGCCAGTGGATGAGCTCAAGGTCAGGGGTGTGAGGGTGTTGGTTGGTGCGGGAGTGAGGAGGGGAGGGGGGTAAGTTGACTGAGTGACATAGCAGAGGGGAGGCATGATGACTTGCAGATCGTGTAATCTGTAGGATGAAGTTGGGATGTAGAGTAGAGTAGAGCAATTTGGTGCACACTAATAGAGTAGACCAACAGGGTCGGTTGTATTTCTTGGCCTACATTTTTTTACCACAACAGCCCTCAAACTGACCAAAGAACACTGTACCATAATTACCAATTATGGTAATACCAATATGTACAATAAGGATGTCAAGAATATACATGTTGATCCTCCACAAGCAAATTTTATAGCCCAAACATCCAAGCTGGTAAGTTCGTGTTGCATTCTGGAACTGGCTTTCCACCTTTCAAACGTTTTCAATAATATGCACATGCAGTAGGAATTACATGGGCGGCTAACATCAAAGCACCTATGAATGCCTGGGAATAACATCATACTACATCTAACAGTACAGATGTACAATATAGCACACACTGTGTACATGTATGTGCATACTCAAAACATTGTTATACTCACCGTGTGGCGGTACTCAGGATGTGCGGGACCTGGTGGGTGTGTCACTCCCTCTCGACTCGATGGTGAGCTCGAGGTGGGCCACAGAGTACGAGGGTGTGGAGAGTGAGGAGGGAGGTGGGAGAGGGGTGGTGTGGGGAATGAGGGGAGAGGTAGGGACGGAAGGAGACCATAGACCTATTGGGCGAGGTCCAATCATCAGCATTAGTACACGTACATGTATCCAACATGGTACTGTCGTTGTCATCAACACTAACTCTAAGGTGTATGAGTGTGTATGCTGTGTGTTGAACAAGTACAGCTAACAGGACAATGGGAAAGTGCAGTCTGGGATGTGTCATAATAACACTCGGCGCGCATGCGCAGCGAGGGTTACGGTAGTTGGTTTGTCTGTCTGTCTGTCTGTCTGTGTGTGTGTGTGTGTGTCGACGCATATTCTGGCACTACAGGCTACGAGGTGGCCTATTAGCGATACCAGCGGCTTCAGAACTATGCGAGCTTGAAATATATAAGGGTGATTTTCCTGAAACGACTGCGTTCGAGAGATATGCCGTGAAAACAAGCAAAAAAAGCCAATATGCATAATCGCACTGGGCTTAGTGCGACCTGATCCGCTCGCTCAGTGTACATTGTGGGCTCAAGAAGTCACAACGAATGGCATGTATCGACTCCCACATGCTATCTACGACTGTAGCTAGCCAGTGTCAGATTCTCCGCGAGCTACTAGCGGGAGACCACGAGTAAACGCATAAAAATAGCCCAGCCCAGCCCATCAATTAGCAGTATCGCGCATGCACAGATCGCCGAGGGTTTGCACTTTAATTGTACAAGCACTCTTCCACCGTGCCAAATATGATGAGTACTGTACCTGAGGTGGTGCTACTGTGTATAGGATGTTCCACATTATCAGGACGGGAGGGGAGGAGGGGAGGACGGAGAGAGGAAGGGTTGTCCAGCTCTAGTGCCACATTCTCCAACTGTAGCACAGGTAACAGCAGAACATGATGATTATTAACCCTCGGTGCGCATGCACAGCGAGGGTTACAGTACTTGGTTCGTAAGTGTGTCTGTTATCACGTTTTCTGCCAAAACATGCAAGAAATCGGAGAAACAGCGATAGTCATTGCTACACTGGCTTGGTTTTGGAAAAAAGGTGTTTTCATAAAAATACTGCGTTCGAAAGTTATGGCGTGAAAAGCAACTGAACAAGCCAATGTGCAAATTAGCACAGGCTTACCTCGATAGGGTCCACTTGCTCCATGTACCTTGGAGGCACAATAAGTCACCACGAATGATGTGTATCGACTCCCGCATGCGATCTACTACTGTAGCTACGGGAGCTTAGCGGGAGACCACGAGTAAACGCATGCCCAGCCCATCAATTAGCAGTATCGCGCATGTGCAATTCACCAAGGGTTTGCACTTTAGTGCTTTTCATTTCACTTGTATTCTTTCCTAGACCTACACCTTAAATCCAATGCCTTGATGTCTCTACATTACAAAAGGGAGGTCATTACTAGTCAATCACCCATCCTCAACAAACTACAGTACCAAAAATCCTAACGATGCAATTTTTGCTGAGCCATACATATCTTGGTTTCTTAATCCCATCGTACCCTATCACCTGTTACGCAATCTTTGACACCTCTGAGCTAAACCCAACGGTTTATACCCACACTCATTGATGGGAGACATACTTTAAAGCTTGCATATTGTTATTAGTATAATTTGGTGCAACTGTAAAGCCTGCCGTGACTTTTCTCCGGCAAATACCATTATTACACGTGCATATTCACTCCACACACGAAATTAGATTCTATTAGTGTATAACAGTATCACTGTCCAAGGTTTTTTTATACATGTGTATTAAAACTTCCCCTGCTGCCGATACACGTTATGGGTTGGGGTCTTCATACACGTAAATCAGAGTTTACTAAACAAAGGTCACGAAGGAAGTTTAGAACACAATGTGTTATAAGGGAACAGAGCTAGCAGTTAAAGTAGATAATAGAAACAATAAACCATGATATTAATGAAGTACTAATGACCCATTTATGTGTCTGCGTGGGAGTGCTGTGTAATGCTGACACACACATATTGAAATTTACATTTCATGTGCATTGAAGCCGGAGTAGCGGAGTACTTTTTAGCTGAGGAGCAAGCCTGATAGCTGCACTTACTTGAGGTAAGGTTCGAAGTTCACTCACACCTAGAGTGCTATGGAGTACGCCCACTTTTGTGTACAGTATACCATGGATACTAAATGTTGAAATTTCAGTGCACAAGGCAACAACATGTAGCTACAAATTCTTAGCAATATAATTAAAAAGAGTCTCAGGAATAAATACATGTGCTAACTCTGACGGTAAACAACTCTGTTAACTATGCATGGCAAAGCACACACACATGCACGTGGTGTTGCCGTGCGAGTAAGTGTTAGTTTTGACTTCCTGCACTGTGATACAAATAATATACACAGACAGTCGGTAGACTCAATAATGGTGGTCTGAAGATATGTGTATGTTCTCTTACTGTCTCTGAAGTGGAGCAGTAATGTCTTGTGTCCTTTGTTACACTGTAAGTTCTGTGAGACAGAGGCAATAAAGATGGCGATGGGGGTGTGGGAGAGACACAGATTTATGGAAATACTACGAGAATGGAAAGTATACAAACAAACACACAAACCAGAAGTTACAACCGATGGTAAATATGGAGTCCCACATGCTTACTAGTGCAGCTAGCCAGCCTCAGACCCTCAGCAAGAGACCTCACAAAAACAGTGTAGTCATGCCCATTAATTAGCGGTGTATGTACAAGCCCATGCATGCTTATGGGTGTCAACACGTACACACGTATGCACATTGCCAAGGTTTGCACTTTAGCACTTTTCATATGGGACAGGTAGCGCAACTGCACATACTGCAAATACGCATGTGGAAACTCAACAACCAGCATTCCCTCCTCTAAAATGTGTTGTGTTCATTTTAGTATACACCATGTGTATCACGCGGTAATGTGCTGTGCTTAATTGGTGAGCGAAGCGAGCTCACTTTGTCACCTGAATGCGGGATTTATAACATTATTATACAATGTTGTGACCTGCACTATCGCTGGACAAAAATTGAACATCATTCCAAACACCCGTGAAGAATCAAACTGCTCTCGCTCGCCAAAAATGAGTTGTTTGTTCCAGTACTGGTGAATGTAAGAGCATATTCTGTCAGAGGTACTTGCTGAACTATAATATTCACAGTACAAGTCATACTGCACACTCTACTACAAGTTAACAGCTTGTTAATCTCCCATAGACCAGGCACTGTCTCTGAGAATATTCATGGCCTGATGATTAACTCCTGCGCCACACACAGAGACAAGGGCCATGGGGGTAGGCTGCACTATTTATTAGGAGATGTAGAGTAACAACTTTAATGCTCTATTCAACTTGGCAAGAACCTAGGAATGTGACACAAAACACTTGTTACACATTGGAGGAATAGACACTATTCAAGCGAGAGTTACGTTAGTTTGTAAGTGTGTCTGCCTGCCATTATGTCAGTATGTCTGTCTGCTACATATTTTTCTGCTACCACGTGTAATTAAAAGCACTAAAATGCAAACCCTCGGGGTACTAAATGCACGCAGATGTCTGAGTACATGCATTGCGCATGCATGGGTTGGTACCACTAATTGGTGAGCTGGGCTTACGCGTCATGTTTTACTCGTGTCGTGGTCTCTAGCTAATTAGAACTCTCTGAGTCCTAGTCTAGCAGGTTAGATAGCATAGCGAGACTCAACACTTGGCCTCCATGATAACTTCTATTGCCTCAAAAATATGTGAACAGGCAAAATGCAGTTGAGGTAAGCTAGTTGTAATTTGCATATTTCTATTTCACTCGTGCTCGCGGAGAGTCTGACACGTGCTAGCTACAGCAGTAGATACCATGCATGAGTCAATACATGACCTTCGTTGGGACTTCTTGTGCCTTAAAGATACACAGGGAGCAAACCCTCTGGGGAGAGCCAGTTTCAGGGCTAAACTGGCCTATATTATCAAAACTCTGATTCTTGTAAAAAAAAATTATTTATGGCATGAGAACAAGCCAATAATATTACCTTGTGGAAGAAATGTGCATGATCAAGTTAAAACTGGTGTGTGTGTAGCCTCCCAGTCCAATTTTTAGTGCTTACACAAGGATCACCTATCAGGCATTGCTCACACACCTGAAAAGCAAACATTGCCCTCTTCCCCACTGGACCACAAACATATTCACAAACTGTTCAGGTAGTTATCTAAAATTAAAAGCATAAAAGTGCAAAACTCTCAGCTCCAACCCATTCATACACATGCCTAGTACCACCAATTAGGCTTATGCATGGTCTTAGTCTCCCCATAGTAGATCATGGAGAGTCAGGTAATAATAATAATACTCAGGTGGCTGCCATAGCACTAGGGCCATAGACCACCCACCCAGAGCAATGGGCGGAACCGTTAACAAACGAACATATACCATATGAACATGAGCTGTCTGTCTCACCTCCCAGACACCTCAACTCACCCATTCCACCAGCGACACCCTGCAGCTCCCCAGGCGCAATCTGAGACTGGGTTTGTTGTACGCGGGGACTATCGCCGTATAACCTAACCTTTCTTAGCTCCCAAACATCCACAATAAAATCTTTAACAAGGCCAAGCAAAGAACCAAATTTATCCTCCCACAGTTCACTCCCCAATATAAAGGATGCTTTCCTGAAACTATCAAGCGACTGGAAATGCTCAAACCCATCATCCCCAAGCTTCCCCTGCAGGGCAACTAAGAAATTGCTCCTAAGACTACTATATGCTGGACACTCCCACAACACATGACTCACACTTTCACACTCATCATCACACAACAGGTACTCCTTCACCCCCTCCCTCCCCCTATGCCTACCCAGTTCCTCATGTAGCCCATGCGTGCCTGACCTGAACTTAAACATTAATCTAGACCCAGCATCACTTTTCCCATGCAAGTACTTCTTGAACTCTACCACCTTGTTAAATGTCTTATACAATAACAGCTTTACTTTGCTATTAACCCCTCTTCAAACTTTCTAATCTCCCTCTCATTAATACTGTCCTCTATTATAGACATGGTTCTCAGATATGAACAGTCTTGGCTTGGCGCACACTGAATCACACCCACTAAAAACCTCTCAAATCCTAACGAAAGGAGCACATGTCCTTGCTCATGCAAACAGTGAACAATGCACCATTCACTAAGTAGCACTACCTTACAGAAAGTCACCACAGCTGTTAATATGTACACATAATACGAAATGAACATCAAGACACGTGTTGTTCAATTTATGAATACACCGACATTATTTTCACAAATTTTAGCTACCCCTCACGACAAAGCCAGGTTCTGGACATTGCTGAAGCTAGCAATGAGTAATACATATGATAGTGTCAGCATTGTCAATGGCAAGTGTTTAGTTGTGGCACAAACATATTCCACAGTTCTGTACACTTCAATGCTCAGAATGTCGACACAAACATGAATAGTTAGTTCCTGAATCTTTTTTCAAACAGGCTAAATACACGTGTTCCAGGTCAGGCTATCAACTAAACAATTCACAATGGAACGAGAATGGCAGTGCATAACGCGTATCAAGTGTGCTTGTTTCCACTTCTGGTGGAATACTCTGATAGAGAAACATTGGGACACCAATGCTCCCGGCACCATAAGAGAATGGCCGTGCCTAGCTCGATTGTCAGATACTAACTAGCAATTGGGGGTTCTTCATTTTACCTGTACATAAGTGTCTATCACTGAGGCTGAGGGGGTGTGTACCAAGCCTGAACTCTCTAGTACCACGTTCCGCCCAATTGGCAGTTACTTTACTGGTTGCCGGTTGAATGAAAAGCACTAAAGTGCAAACCCTCGGCAAACTGCGCATGCGCGGTACCACTAATTGATGGGTTGGGCTACTATGGTATGCGTTAACTTGTGGTCACCCGCTAGTAGCTCATGGAGAGTCTGGCACGGGCTAGCTACAGTAGTAGATGGCATGCGGGAGTCGATGCACGCCCTGTGTTGTGACTTCTTGTGCCTTCAAGATGCACAGCGGACCGGTCGAGGTAAGCCTGTGCTAATTTGCATATTCGCTTGTTTACTTGCTTTTCACACCATACCTTCTGAATGCGGCACAAGCCAGTGTAGCGTTGAACCCATTGGTGTCACTTTTTTACCTGTTTGTTGCACGTGGTGGCAGAAAATGTGGTAACAGACGGATGGACGGACGGACGGACAGACAAACCAAGTACTCTAACCTTCGCTGCGCTGAGGGTTAAAAATCCAGTCTCCAATTATGCACCAAGTCTTGGGTGTACACAGGAAACTGGCCATGGCTCTATGACAATGAACCCTTGCACCATGTCAGTTTGTAATGCTTGTCTTGTGTGTGGCTGTTTCACTGCTAAAGTGGCACTTATACAGAGCAGATGTCTGGCCCACCATAGTAGAGTGCCACATGTTTACACACTGCTGTCCTCTGGTTAACCTAACTGCGCAGTTAAACCCAGAGCCATGTTACACTATTCCATCCTAGTGAAAGTTGGGATAGAACGAAGTTGGACACCCAAACAACATATAATATACTAGGAGCTGTTGGGGTGGGGGAAGGCAACAGGTTATGGGTGTTATGTGACAGCCACATGCTTCCCTTCTTCACCTTTAGGTTTCACTCTCACAAAATAGTTATTCAACCAAGATTATCCTCCTGTGTAGAACAAACACCTTTCTATACGCCTTACATAACTAGTACCCCAGCATACAGGCAAGTAATTATAATATTATACCTGTCAGGATCAGGAGTTTGCCCTCCGAGCGGGGTCCGAATCTCATCGTCTTCAGCAAAAACCAGTCGTGGGATCTTCTCCCCTTCCTTGTCCTCTGACTCGCTCTCTGCCTCGGCACCAAAGTCCGGCTGCTCTGGGTCCTCTGCCACAGTCGTGCCGTCGCTCATCTCTCTCACCACCAGGGACACGGGGGCCGCCTCCAGGAGAGCGTTCCACTGCGCCGGACACAGGAGGAGGGCCGAGCCACGCGGCGGACTATCCCCGAGGGAGACGGGTAGAGCAGCGGTTAGTTGTTGCTGTTCTCCTTCGTTCACGGACACCGTCTGCTTGTCTTCGTCGCTTTGGCATGTCTGTGGATCACTCATGGCTGTCTGTACAGGGCTATATAGCTACGATCGACGCTCTGCAACCCAGACTGGCGGACGTTGTAGAGAGCAGGCTATAAGGCGGGGACAGCCGGCCACGATTAATCATGCTCGCAGAGGAGGCGGTCCATACCAGTGGGGTGTGGTTGAAAGGTCACGTTTATCTCGCGGAATCTCCCTCTGAACACCTCTGTCTCTGATCACCTCCCAGTACTCGCCAGGGTAGCAGCTCACCGCCCCCTCCCAACTTCATCCTCAACAACTTCCAGCCCTACCTAAAACCAACTCCATATCCCTCGAAACTGGTCGGGAACCTCGAAGGAAGTAATCCTATCCAGGTACACTATTCCCTCCAAAGTTGTCTATCAGAAATTCTCAAACGCAGTCATGACAACCACCTCAGAATGGCCTACAAATCTGCAAAGAGAACCTTCAGGGCATGCCTTCACCTACAGAGGAAATGCCTCAAGAAATATTTCTGGATACCAACCTCAATCCCCAGAGATTCTTTCTGTTCATAACCACAACACCGCCCACAGTATCCATCCATTCTCTGCCGGCATCTCAAAACAAAAAAAATGAAAACATCGCGGAAGGTTGGGCCCGTTACTTTGAGAAACTAGGTAGCGAGATCATCCCAGAGAAAGACTCTTTACCACCAACTTGGGAGTACTACAATCTGTCTCCTCATCATCAAATCTCGCACCTCAGAGCGTTGCAGTTCCTGCAGAAGGGACTTCTTCTCACTCAATCCCCTTGGTTCTCACGCTAGCTGCCTCCACCCCCTGCACCTCTACCATACTGCCTCCCCATTCTTCTGTACGGATGTTAAGTGTGGTCACTCACACAAGCAGAACTGATGCTACTTGAGAGAACCCACAGAAAGACAAGTAAATCTAAAATGGTGAATATAGGGATGGCATAAAAAGTAAGGAGGGATGACCTAGTGAACGTGATGCAGTAGTACAATGGATGATGGCTACATACTTCGAACTGACATCACTTGCTCGTGTAAAATTTCCTCCACACAAGCCCTATATTGTCACGAAGTATGAGTGTGGTCCCTTGTATTATGCACAGCTATGATATATTTATTACCATCAACTCGGTTTACAGCTGTGACTGCATTGTCTAAGACTTCTACATTTGCAATGCTTGGCCATCTACAGAATCCCTTCACCATTGCCCTCGCACTTTACACCATTTAAAATTAATACCACAAACACTTGAATGTGTATCTGAAGCATTCACTCGTTTACCTATAATCAATAATGCATTTACTGATGTTTGTATTCACATCCTCACCATGTACACATTTGTTAAACACTTCTGGCAGCGATTTTTTTACCAAGTACGTAATTACTATGAAACAGCTAAACCTAATACTGACAATAGAGGGAATTAACATAATGGTAGTAACAGTGGAGTATGTATGGTACGAGAGACAAAAAAAACGAGTGAGTTACTGGCAGTAGTGGCAATAGGTGGTCGTGGCATTAGATGTAGAGACAATATATACCAAGTAACTGAAAAATTCTTCAAATTAAGGAAGTGTGGAATATAGGGATGCCATAAAATGCAAGGAGACAAGACAGGGATGACCTGGTGGTCATGATGCAGTAGTAAAATGGATAATGGCTATATACATACTTCGAACTGTCATTGCTTGCTCGTGTAAAATTACATTAGTGCACCAAGTTTCATTGTGATCATATCCAAGTTATAGGCACTGACTGCATTAAAAAGTCTTTTGCCTGAGGCTGTTTTACAAGCTTGTAATTTCTGTTTTGATGAACTCTTTTCATGGTACATCAGTATACCAAGTTTCATTGATAGAGGACCAACCATAAGCAAGTGAGAGGCACAAACACTATTTACAAGATTTTATTGCCTGAGGAAGTTTGTTGTTGTTTACAAACTTGTAATGTTTACATTTTGGTACTAATGATGGGTTTCATGTGTGTACAAAGTTTTATCATTCTGGGTATTTGCTCTACCTAGTTAGCACACTTTATTGGTCTATATCGTAATGTATGGCCTGGGGCTATTTTTTTGGGTTTTCTGCATGTAACATTGTTTACAAACAAATTAGAACGTCGTCGGATTTTCTAATCTATGCAAGTTTCATAAGTGGTTTTGATATACGCTTGTCTAAACTGAACAACGAGAAGAAGAAATTTGAAAACTGACTTATTTTGAATAATAATTATATCAAGTACCGATTATGCAATTTAAGCCATTTCTTGGATACATGCTCTTTGTGACGATACGGATCAGTCGGATGTGTCAAAAGTTGGATCTCATTGAAATTACTTCTTCACTCCTCAAATTCGCTAACGGTACCACGCATGGAGATGAAACTTGGTACGCATGTGTGTAACGTCGTTTCCATGACGACCACAACGATAAATAGCCTCAGGCACTTTTCTTTAAAATTACTTTTTCACTTCTTGAACTTGCTAACTGCAGCACACGTGGTATGCATATCATTTCCATGACGACAAGAGGCATTTTTTCTTCTATTATTAAATATTTATAGGGGCTTGCCCCTTCCACAGAGATAATACGTAGTAGTATATAAAAATGAGTGGAGACAAGTAAATAAAAAATACTGCGGATTAAAAAAAGAGTGCATAGGGATGGTATAAAAAGAAAGGGAGACAAGATAGGGATGGTGCTTTATTGGTCTATATCAATAAAGTGAGTTAAGGACTCCCACAGGTCATTACAACAGCCCTATATCCTCGTATTCGTGCTTGACCACGGAGTAAAATCTTCCTCGCATAAGTATCAGCAACCCTGCATACTTGAATTTGGTTTTCTCGTATTATACTATATTTTCCATGTAATGATGTTATGCATGCACATTGTTTTGGTCAGCTGATTATTACGAAAGTATATATACATAACTGCTCGCACCTTGATGTGCATACACTCCATGGGAATGTAGCATGACAGATCGATGAAATGTACACAACGATCATTATTAAGTAGTACAGTACTTAGCAATACTCTTTCATAACCTTCACTCCCACCGTACGACGATATGGGGCTGTTGTGGGAGTCCTTAACTCCTCGCTAGCATCTCTGTGCTTCCACAAACACCATCCCTATCTTGTCTCCCTTTCTTTTTATACCATCCCTATATGCACTCTTTTTTTAATCCGCAGGATTTTTTATACTAAGTACTACCGTACTTAGTGATAGGGATTGGAATGGTACCTAGCATCATAGACGTATGGGGCCATGATAGGGAGTTTGTTCATCTTCTCCTTCTTCAGATTCAACACCCATAACTCAAAAACGAAACAACATATAGTAATGAAATTTTGTAAGAATGTAGATATCCGTCACCCTAAGAGACTGGTCATACTTATTTCTTTGTAAACAACATTGTTTACTGTAAACAACAACAAATAGCCCCAGGCAATACATTATAACGGGATCGCATGTGTCAGTATAACTCACAAATGGTAAGAGCTATGTGAACGAAACATTGTAGACATAATGTATTCAATCACCAACATCAAAATCACAACAATACATGTTTGTAACAACAACAAATAGCCTCAGGCACTTTTCTTTAAATTTACTTCTTCACTCCTCAAACTCTCCAATGGTAACACACATAGAGATGAAACTTGGTAAGTATGCCTATTGTATCATTTCCAGGACGATTACATGTTTCAATGACGACCGCATTTTGTTTGAAAAAGCCTCAGGCAATTCTCTTTAAAACCACTTCCTCATTCCTCAAACTCGCTAACGGTACCACGCATGGAGATGGAACTTGGTACGCATGTGTGTAACTTCGTTTCCATGACGACCACAACAACAAATAGCCTCAGGCACTTTTCTTTAAATTTACTTCTTCACTCCTCAAACTTGCTAACTGTAGCACACATGGAAGTGAAACTTGGTGCGCATGTGTGTAACATCATTTCCATGACGACCACAACAACAAATAGCCTCAGGTACTTTTGTTTAAAATTACTTCTTCACTCCTCAAACTTGCTAACTGTAGCACGCATGGAGGTGAAACTTGGTGCGCATTTGTATTACATCATTTCCATGACGACCACAACAATTTATTATTTATATATATAGGGGCTTGCCCAGTTCCGCACAGATAATACGTAGTAGTATATAAAAATGAGTGGAGACAAGTAATTAAAAATCCTGCGAATTTAAAAAAGAGGCATATAGGGATGGGTATAAAAAGGAAGGGAGACAAGATAGGGATTGGATACATGAAGCATGATTAATGAACAGATTTGAGTACGCTGACACCCCCAACCCCATCACATAATCCCTATATTGTTGCCTAGGTGAAGTATTAAACATTCACCATTACAATACTCAGAACTTACAATACACTACTGAGTAACCAACACCCTTATAGAGTCCAAGTGGAGTTTAATTAAAGGGAATGTGGCAGTATAAATGTTACTAAAAACAACAGGGACACAGTGAAAGAATGCTTGCTTTTAGTAACCTTTAGCCCCTATAAGAGTAACACACCAGGCAACAATATAGGGATTATGTGATGGGGTTGGGGGTGTCAGCGTACTCAAATCTGTTCATTAACCATGCTTCATGTATCCAATCCCTATCTTGTCTCCCTTCCTTTTTATACCATCCCTATATGCCTCTTTTTTAAATTCGCAGGATTTTTAATTTACTGGTCGATATGTACATTTCTACAAAATTTCATGGCTTTATCTCTTTCGGTTTTTGAGTTATGCTGGTTGAACAGGAAGAAGAAGAAGAAGAAGATGAACAAAACTCCCTAACATAGCCCCATACATCTATGATGCTAGGTACCATGTCAATCCCTATACATTAAGTAAGTGACTACCGTACGTAGTGATAGAGACAAGAGATGTTACGATGTTCATTTACCATCAGGCCTTAGATTAGCAGCAACTTTAATTAAATGTACGATCAATGGTATGTTGTAGTTGTCAACGCTTCAATGGTATGGAGGGAAATTAAATTATGTGAAGAGGTCATTGCTTGGACAAGGTTTGTGTACACAAGTGTAGAATAGATGGAAGCATTTGTAGGGGCGATGAGTTAGCAGTTTACATGTGGGTGTGAACCGTTATGCTGAGAGGCGTTCGGTTGGCAGATTTTAAAGCGCATTATTATAACACATACATACATTGCAGTTATGTGGTTCAGATCATGTCACTGCAGTTATGTGATTCTAGGAGCATGTCCAGTGGTATGTCCTACATTTCATCGAGCCAAGTGAACCTTACTCGGGCAATCATTCTTTGAGCATTGCAGACTCCAGCTAGACCATTGTGATGGATTGGGAAGACTTTCCTCCTCTGAAGATTAGGAGCTTACACTAGCAATCCAGGGGTTGCACCCAGCAGTCCACTTCCAACAGCATCACTAGTTCTCCAGTGTTGATCTTCCTATACAGCATCATCAAACATTTCAGTAAAATTTAGCTAGCTACTCACAATACCATTCATCAAGATCTTATGAAGGCATTAGTAGAGGGACATTTGTGACAATCAATTTTAACTTGAGTTTTCCATAAACTAAAACCTGCAAACTCTGGTCATCCAAGAAAGCGGAGAGAGACTCAGATTGTGCAAAGAGGAACACATCATTTCGATGTGTGGAGTATGGGTGGTGAACAGTGCGACATGGTCGTCAACGATGTCAATTTCAGGCCAGATATAAACTCGGACATTGCTTCTTGTATGTTGATTTCTCTCTCTCTATGTATGTGTATGATTGTATGATCATGAGGTTGTTTAACCTCTCCTGTTTAATTTTAGCCCGAAGGTATGTTTTTACTAAACGAAGAGGATCTCCCGCTCATTGCTGGAATGACAAACAATAGCTGCAGGAGCCTGAGTACTTGTGGGGAAACGCATCAATACTCTGAGATCATTTTTCTCAGGGTGTCGTATGTGAACTCACAGTCAGTCATGACATTCTTCAATAAGGCTAATTCCTTGCCATCGAGGCCATCACCGAAATGAGAGACAATGTCACGAAGATCTTGAGGTGAGGCGAGTTCTCCTTTGGCTGCAGATAGCAATCTTAGTGTATAGCACAAATGACTCTGATTGAAATCTACGCTCTATCTCCCCAGTCAAAGTGTCAACAACTTCGAAATATTGCCAGTCCTCAGGTGTATGATCAGCATGAGTTGTTGCATTGGCCTGATCAAAACGTTTGGGTGCTTTTGTTCTCCGGGGTAGTGTGGGCTCATCAATCTTCAGTTCTGCAGCTTTTAGTATTAACTTCTTGCCAGATCTCTGAATCACTTCTAAAACCAGCAACAGTGACTGCAACATATTTCTTGGCTTCAAATTCAAAAACATGTTGTGCTTGAATTGCTTTGCTGAAAGAATCTGTCGAGCTTAACACCTTCTCAGCTAGAGTAACACCAAACAGAAAAGAGAACCTTTCCATTACAGCTAGCAATCCCCTTGCTGATGCAGTGGCTTCTGAATTCCCTCTTCCACTATATCTTCTAATACTGATTGAATGACAGTATTATTCAAAAGCACAGAGCGTGGTGACCTGCGCATGCGCATTATTCCTCGTCAGCACGAGTGTTCTCAGCTCTAACTGTCCAACGAGTCGGACAAAGGGGCTTTACTCCAGGGGTGTCAGGAGACAAATCATTCTTGAGTTTCAAGAGCATAGCTTTCTTCTTAGCGCTGTACTTTAAAATGAAATGAATCAGCCATAACTGCAATTGACCTACAGGTGTCTTGCACTGCCAAATTCATTGAGTGACCCATGTATATGGCCCTAGGCTCTCAGTTTAGTAGCTACTCCTGCACGTCGTCCAGCCATATTAGCAGCGCCAGCGTCACACTGTCCTCTGCAATTCTTCAGTTGAATATTGCATTGAAGCAGTAAATCAAGGGTGAGGTTTGTGATAGTGTCGGCATTCGTCTGGTCAGTAGCATACAATCCCACACAGTCTTCATTAATTTCAAGGGTTTGAGGGTCCACATACCTCAAACCAATTGACACCTGTGTACAATCATAATAATATCTCTCAAAATCAGACTCTATGCTGGCTGTATATGTCCCAAGTTCCATTCACCTGAGCTATCGGAAAATTGTTATCGTTAAAAAAATTGGAATCCTCACAACTTTTCCATTCTGATGGTGTCCCTTCACTAACCATGAAACCTTATAGTCTAAAGATAGCTGTATGTCCCATAAGAAAAGTATGACATAAGTAAAGCATGGGTGCCTATTATACACAACCACTTCAGGGGCTCAGGTGAACGCAAATAGACTTTAGGTATACCTGCTCCACAAGGGCAGCATCTGTTGCCTCATGGGCTATGATTGAAAACCAGTTGCATGATAACACATCACAAATGATAGCCCTGAGAATTTTGTGGCCCAAAATTTGAATATTTCAATTTTGCGACATATATGCTCGTCTGCGTCCAATCCAGGACTTGAGACACTCAGATTCCTTTCTCCCATAGACCTACTAACTGTTAAAAAGTTTCCCTTCTCTTCAATATGACCCCGAAAAGACAGCGCCTGACGTGCAAGCTATATACTCAATTGAGGTAAACTAAATTTCTAGGCAATGCCTATTGTTTGCCTGATCTGTACCGATTTGCTTGTCAAGTTGACTATATACTTACGTTGGTTTGCTTCATGTGGTGATAAGCTGCTTTAACACAAAAATATTCTACATAAGAAGCAGTATGCTTTGTGCGTTTCATTGTCCCAGTGCAACAATTTCTCTTCATCAAACCATTTTTAATTGAAAGAACGGTACGGTACTCTACCTTATGTTTTTACCAAACTGCTTAGGGGGAAAACTTTTTAATCTTGGCTGATTAGGTCGTAAAAGTAAGTCCAAGCATTCCACGAAATCTGTACTGCACGCATGCATCGTGAGTGCCTCTTCTTGAGACTCACTACTCCGGTCTTGCTCTGGGTCTTCATCGTTACTTAGTTGCTGACTATCATCTTCACCAACTGCCGCTGAACAGGTAGAGGCCAAAACTGTGCTTGAACCTATCTGGGTGCTCTGGCTAGATGACAAATATTTCTCAATAGAGGACTGCTTCAACGACATTTCAAGTCTTGTCATGCACTGACGATCCCCTGCACCTTGCAAACGCAACACACATGCACACAGACGGCGCGGTTCCACATGGCACTAAGGGATGGGTTATAAATGACTAGCTATCTGTCTTGGTGTCTTAATGACTTCACATCCCCTTCATTTCAATGAAATGATTTTTCCACTTGAGGGTATACAAATCAATTTGTTGACCTTTAAGGACCACATACTACACACTGCAAAGCATGCCCCTTTATATGTGGGAAGTACATTGATTACAACATGTCTATTTCCTGATGTGTGTATTACTCCTATGAACATTAGAAACTAATTGATAAAAAAATTAATGTAGCAGTGGAGGGGATTGCAGATGAATTAGTTTTGTTCAGAGCAGAGGGATGTGTCGTAAGGCTGTACGACATCGTATACACTCTGATCTAAACACGAGAAGTCGACGGTAATAGTCTTCCGGCTTGGAATGTATTGCCTACAGAGGAAAAGATAATTATTATAAGATATTCGGATAAGCCCACACTAAGGCACACTCCTCTATAAATCTAATCACAGCAAGCATGCTGAAGGAACCTTAACTTTCCACAAGTTCAGTTTACTTGCAAAATCTCACGTGTTCATATTAAAGAAATAGTAGTGAAAATCAAGAGGTATTATTCACATACAGTAATTACTATATTTCGTGTTTGGTACAAATTACTTGGTCTATCTGCTTTTTTTTACCACACATGATCAAAACCCACAATTAGAGTTGTTCTTGCTCTCTTTAACCTAACCAGGTTGTGGAAGTTTGTGTTTGTTTCAAGCACAACCTAAATAAGTCTTCAACTTCATTAACCCTCGGCTGCGCGCATGCGCAGCGAGAGTTATTGTAGTCAGTCTGTGTGTGTGTGTGTGTGCGTGTGTCCGTCTGTCCGTCTGTCTGTCCACCGTTTTTCTCAGTAACCACGGCAACTCTGAGCGTGAAACGTGGACATATTATCAAGTAGGAGGCATGCATGGTAAACTAAGATTCTGGAGCAGAGAAGGCCGGGGAAGCTGGTGAAATGGCCGGCCGAGGTGAGTGTGCGTCAAATAGAGATCGCTGTATATACTGCTAGATGCTTTGCGAATGTGAAGAATATTTGCTGGTCTGATGGTACAGTTGAGTAGGATTGAGATTGCCGGTGAAGTGAGAGCAGCACATGACCCACACGCCCCAGTGAATCCATTCAGTAAAGGAGTCACTGAGGTAGTGTAGCTAGTAGCCACTGGCAGCTCAAATAAAGAATTAAGTGGTGAGGGTTATGTACTGTCAAGTACTTTCACTTTGCTGTAGTAGTAACTAGTATTGAACACGTGCACATGTGCAAAAGTGCAAAAGAATGTAGACAAAGATGATTGGAATACAGGATAGGGTTCACAAAATGAGAGATAAGATGATTGGAATTAAGTTCAATACAGGATAAGGTCCACAAACTGACAGATAGGATGTTAGCCATGGCTCTATATAGATTCTTTGTAAGATACATGAAATAAAGTGAGTAATTTTTTATTTATACTGAATGGAGTGACTTTTTCGCAGTTTAATGCTGTGGACAGTGCCATCAATGGCATGCATTGTAAATGGGTTTGGCCTTCGAGAGCGATGTTGAAGTTATCTCCGTGCAGTCTTTAGTATCACATATGTTGAGCAATATAGTTTCCATATGCTCGAACATGAATCCTTTCTTCAGATGTTGTTTTCACTGTAAAGTTGGCTGCAAGCAGATCCTTTGCTTCAGCTATGAATGGTACCGTGTTGCATTTAGTACATTGTGCAACCCTGTCCTCGCCCTCAAGTTTCACAACCTTGCATCTGCAATTAATGCATGATTTGAATGAACTCATGCAGCTCCACTTACTAATTAGCTATCATGCAAGTTGAAAGTTTGAGAAGATTCAAGAAGTATTTCACAATTGTATGAATCCTTTATATTGTTCTGTAGTTGAGAGAACAAGCGGTACAATGGACATGAGTATGTTTCAACGCAGCAGCGGTGGTTCCACTCCCGCTAAGTTAGAGCTAACGCCTTACTGGTAACATCGCAAATATAGCGCAATTTTTCACGATCCGTATCTGCTGCACGTGCATGTGTTGCGCTGAACAGCTCTGCCGTTGAGAGCTCTGCCGAAAAGAGCCCAGCCCACCTGTCCATTATAGGAGGTGTGTTTCTATTGGAAAGTGTCGTTTGGTGCATGAGGCTAGTCAGTTTTCTGGAATTCGGATGTTGATTGAGTCCATGGTGGTAGCGGTTGGTATACACAACGACTATTGTGCGTTATAATGGTAGATGTCCGCTACTGGGAGAAACAATAAATTGTATGTGCTCAGGAGTTTTTGGATAAAAGTCCAAATATCCATGAAACGACGAGCGGGAAAATAAACGCTGGACAGCGACGTTTCTGCGCATGCGGGTCGAAAAGGCCGTAAGAAGAGAACAAGGGATCAGAGTAAGGAATATGGCAAGTCTTCGTTGGTTGCATGTTTTGTAGCTATATTTGCAACGATCTATGTCCACAGATCCCGACGGCGATCAGGTGGTTATCGATACCGATATCGATCCAGACACGGTCAGGGACGAACCATTTCATGAAGAGGATATGAACATACCGCTAGTGCTGCCAGTACTCCACTGGGCAGACATTGTCATGCTCTTAGAAGACCTCGAAGAACCAACAGTAGTAAGTTCCAACGAATCCAGCGGAGTGGCTGTGAATAGATATTTGAATTGAAACATTCTGCAGGATTAGCATCTATTACATTTGAAAATGTTGATTGGTGATAAAATATCACTTTTTTTTAATTATTCATATCATCGGTAGAGACAGAATAATGGCTGTTTTTGCTATATCACTAAGTACGGTAGTGCTTAGTATATAGGGATGGGCATGGTACCTAGCATCATAGATGTATGGGGCTATGATAGGGAGTTTTGTTCATCTTCTCCTTCTCCTCCTTCTTCTTCTTCAGATTCAACACCCATAACTCAAAAACACAACAGCATACAGTAATGACATTTTGAAATAATGTAGATATCCATCACCCGAAGAGACTGGTCATACTTATTTGTTTGTAAACAACAACAAATAGCCCCAGGCAATGCAATATTATGGGATCACATGTGTCAGTATAACTCACAAATGGTAAGAACTATGTGAACGAAACTTTGTAGACATAATGTCTTTAATCACCAACAATAAATTTAAATGTTTGTAAACAACAACAAATAGCCTCAAGCACTTTTCTGTAAATTTACCTCTTCACTCCTTAAACTTTCCAATGGTAGCACGAATAGAGATGAAACTTGGTATGTATGCCTATTATATCATTTCCATGACGGCCACATATTGTTTGAAAAGCCTCAGGCAATTTTCTTTAAAACTGCTTCTTCACTCCTCAAACTTGCTACCTGTAGCACGCATGGACGTGAAACTTGGTGCACACGTGTTTTACATCGTTTTCATGACAACCACACCAACAAATAGCCTCAGCCACTTTTCTTTAAAATGTACTTCTTCACTCCTCAAACTTGCTAACTGTAGCACGCATGGAGGTGAAACTTGGTGCACACGTGTTTTACATCGTTTCCATGACGACCACAACAACAAAAAGCCTTGGGAACTTTTCTTTATAATTATTTCTTCACTCCTCAAACTTGCTAACAGCAGCACATATGGAGATGAAACTTGGTACGCATGCATATTAAATCATTTCCAGACGACGGGTAGCTGCGGAGGACGCGGGTAGGGGAGGTAGCTGGGAGCGAAGGGTCAACAGTCAGGCGACCAGAGACGATTTCAGGCCGCCGGTTGGGAGACCGCTGTCCTTGCATAGCTGGATGAGCTGCGTCTTGAGCAGCGAGTCAGAGTCTGCATTACGGAGATCGAACAGTGTGGCACATCGGGATGCCGTATGTCGGGAAAAAGAACTTTGAGAAGAACTTTGAGTGGCTTTGGCGGGCAGAACACGCTGCAAACACTGCGATACGCGATAGTGTGAGCACTGCTGTGCTGCGCGTCTATTTTGTATGCGCGTGCTTGAAGCCTACTTCCGTTTTGACCGTAATTACCCTTAAATGAAGCATGGTTAATGAATAAATTTGAGCACGCTGACACCCCCAACCCCATCACACAATCCCTATATTGATGCCTGGTGTGCCACTCCATTTGTACTCAGTTAGTAGCATGACTTTTTCGTATTTTCAAGTTAGAGTATTGTGTAATGTTGAATGTTAAATACTTCACCTATAGGGATTGTGTGATGAGGTCAGCATGCCATTAACCATGCTTCATGTATCCCATCCCTATCTTGTCTCCCTTTCTTTTTATACCATCACTATATGCCTCTTTATTAAAATTCGCAGGATTTTTATTTACTTGCCTCCACTCATTTTTAGATACTACTACGTATATTTTTGTGAAAGGGGGCAAGCCCCTATTAATAGAGGAAATGCCTCTTGTCCCCCGGTTGTAATTGCGGCAGACCTCCCTGGCCTGGGTCTGTGTGGTGTTTTTTGGGCCTGCCGTAGGGACCCTGGCTTTCTTGGCTGGCCCACTAGGGGGGAAAAAGAGGGCGGTCAGAGGAAGAGTGGGAGGAGGTGAGGCAGTGGTCACACCAGGCCCTGGGGCGGGCTTTGCCAGACTCTGTGAAGGTTTTGGTGTAAAGTGTGGGTCTATCTAGCACCAGGAGGCCAGGCGAAACCTAGCTGCCTTCCTCCTGAAACCAACGTCATATGCCATGCATGCGGATAGATTGTACTCTGCATGGCATGTGGCGATGATGTAGAGGTACGCCATGAGGTCCATTGACCGCTGTGGCTGGTGGGATGACAAAGAGTGGGAGTAGACGGCAAAGCACCTTGCCCACTAGATAAAGGAGGAGACCTGTCTTTTCTTTGGTTTCCTGGGGAGGGTAAGCCTATTGTCCTCCCCTAGCTCAATATGGACAGGAGTCTCCTCCGTACCCTCTGACTCTAGGGTATGCAGCAGCACATTTAAGTCCACGAACTCACCGGAGGTCGCTGCGGTAGCAAACCTGGCCGGTATAGTGGGGATTGAGCCGCTGTACGGAGCCATCTGAGGGAGGGTAGGGTAGGTGGGCAGGGGCACTGTTGCTGGGGTCTGGGTGGGAGGGACCACAGCCACAGGGGGAGCTGCTGCCAGTCCAGGTATATGCTGGGGGGAGAGAAAGGGAGGCTGGTAAACCCATGACAGTGAGGTTGAAGTGGTGGCACTGGGGCTGGAAGACTGCGGGGCTGCCATGGATCCCAGCAGCGGCAGGAGAGTTGGGGCGGAGCCAACGAAAGAGACCTGGCTGGAGTGCGGCGAGGACCCGGTGGCGGTGGGCTGCGGTAGAGTGGTAGTCAATGGGAAAGGGGGAGGGGCTGGGGCGAAGGCGGACGCCGACGGAGGAACGAAGTGCGCTAGCACCCGAGCCGCGGCTTGCCATCATGTGCAGGTTAGACGGCTGCAGGCCAGGGCCAGCGTGAGTGGCAGGCGCCAGACGTCAGCGGAGAGTGAGGCGGCGGCGGTTGTCGCGGGCAGGCCGGCGGAGGCGGTCTGCGGGAATCCGAAGGCCTGCTGCGAACCAGCGTTGGCGAGGTGCTCCTGGGGCGACTGCCTTACCGTCACATGTGCCTCTCATGGGTCACATCCAGTCACCTCCTGCCCCACCACTTCACCCACAGAGCCTACCTTTCCACTGCAACATCAAGGTCACAGCCTCTTCCCTCTTCAACACTCTTCCCCCTCTGCCGCCTCACTGTCCCATACCTCCAACCTACACACCTGTGAACTCACCACTACTAGCTTCCCTCCTTACATGTCACCCCAATAATGACTTCACCACTCACCTACTCCAAGGCTTCACCTGGGGATTCAAGGTTGGATACACAGGCCCACAGTGCCTATAACTTGGTTATGATGGGTCCTCTCACAATGAAACTTGGTGAATTAATGTAATTTTACACGAGCAAGCAATGTCAGTTCGGAAGGGTGTGGGTTATTGTCGCAAAGCACGAGTGATCTCTATCGTATGATGTGCAGCTATGACTCGTTTCCTATGCAAGTAAGACTGGTAGCAAATGCCCTCTCTGACAGGTCTCCAGTTTTGAATCGACTGCGCTTACTTCAACGTTCACTCAACTACAATGCTGCTTTCCCTACAGAATTTGTTTGCCAGTCTTCAGACTACATATTCAAATCTCATGTCATGAGTAAGAGTGGCGACAATATAGGGCTTGTGAGGAGTAAAATTTACATGAGCAAGAAATGTCAGTTTTGAAGATGTAACCATCATCCCATTGTACTACTGCATCACATGCCCATGTCATCCCTGTCTTGTCTCCTTGCTTTTTATGGCATCCCTATATTCCACACTTTTTTATTTTGCAGAATTTTGTATTTACTTGTATACTAAACACTACCGTACTTAGTGATTAGTGATAGGGATTGACATGGTACCTAGCATCATAGATGTATGGGGCTATGATAGGCAGTTTTGTTCCTCTTCTTCTTCTTCTTCCTGTTCGACCAGACAGTAAGTCTTCTAACTCCATCTTTCGCGAGCGTTACTGAATCGTTTTGTATGGAAGATTTCGTCATGGAAACACAGACACAGTGGCTCTGCACTAAACATGTTAGTTACTCCGTATACTCGGGAACTACGGGATTTCAATGAACCCTCGGGCCATGCGTCGGATGTGAATTCCCGGTGCGGCATTGTAGAACCGGTTAGTTGAGTGAACGTTGAAGTAAGCACAGTCGTTGGGATTCTGTGACGTCGCTGCAAGACTCCGCGTCCGAGAGTAGCGCTCCTAGGGACGGGCCGTCGGCATCTAAAAGGCGTAGGTACAAACTTCCTGCTGAGAGCCTCGCTCTTTGCATCATCTAAAGATTCAAACCTCTGCGGAAGTAGTGCACGTAGCCCTCTTCCTTGTCAGCGAGAGCCTACGCCGATGCCGACGGCCCGTCCCCAGGAGTGCTACTCTCGGACGCGGAGTCTTGCAGCAACGTCTCAGAATCCCAACCCTCGACTTCCAAACGGAAAGTCTCTGCCATTCGCTCCCTCAATCGCTCCCTCGATCTGTCAGCGTCGATCGTGTTTGCCTGGCTGAGCGGCGTATGATAGAACGGCACATTATGCTTGCGCAGGTTCACGCGCATCGCCTTATTTGGGTGGATGCGCCATTTTCGCGCGCGGTTTCCCCAGCAACGACCAATCAACGGTAATAAACATTTTATTACACCTTTTGTCGTGGTGTTGCGGTTTATCCACCCTCCCCTCTCGGGCGCTACGGTGTGCTCAAATCTGTTCATTAACTATGCTTCATGTATCCCATCCCTTTCTATCCCTATGCCTCTTTTTTTAAATTCGCAGGATTTTTAATTTACTTGTATTCTTCATCTTCTTCTTTAAACCCGCTATCTCCTTACCGGAACAAGTTGAAGTTTTTACTGAACGACTCCAGATTCGCCGGAGGTGTTCACGGACATCAAGTGATCATTTCTTTTATGTCGCATGTCGCTACAGCAGATCATGGAGCTCTTCCACACAGTGACACTGATTGACGCCATTTGCTGCTGACTCAGCAGTCCAGCAGTTTCAGGGGCGTTTCCTTATGCGAGCGCACACGTGAGCGCTGCGTTATGCGGCCTCGATATTACACCCTTGTTCTTCCAGCAGTCTCGCGGAGCTGGCTCCTTTTGGACGGGCTGGGCTGGCTTCGCGAGACACAACTTTGTTGTTGATTTGCGCGGGGAGAAGCAGAGCCATTGTTATATGCTATAGACACATTGGTTGTCAATAAATACAGCCTCTGTGTTTCAATAGTTCCCATTGTTTGCCAGAGCTTTTGATAAAAGTGGAAACAAGAGGAAAAATTATTTCTTCAAAATGAAGGAAGATGGTGTCACGTAGCGTTGTGTGTCTGAGCTGTGTAGTGGCCCCTTGTTTACTTAACGGTGCTTCCAGCCATCCCTATATCCCCCTTCATTTTGAAGAAATGATTTTTCCACTTGTACAACTAACAAACACTAGAATGGGGAATATTGCTTCATAACCGAGAGCTCTTACCTGTACTTGATTCCCGCCATGTTCAGCAGGCGGCGAGATGCAATAATTTCAGGCTTATCATGATACTTGTCACTCATAAACACCACTTCCTTTCATTCCAGATTGAATGATGAGCTTCGCACATTCGTTGCAAGGAAACAGAGCAACGTACATTGTGCAACCTTTTACATCTGATGTGTTTTTGTTGAGAATGGCATTCAGCTCAGCATGGCACACTGCGTAAAAGGAAGACAGGGTGAGACGGAAAAGAACAGATAACTAGGGACTAAAAGGGAGATACACAGACACAATCAAACTCTTTAAAGGTAACATCTAACAATAGCATAGCACACAAGACTTGTCAGCAAAACACCCAATCAGAATGCACCTCGCTTTGTAAAAAAAGGACTGTGAAATAATAATTACGTTGCGGACAGTGATCACATACGTACGTAATTATACATTATTTGCAGCAAACAACCGTTTGTGCAGTTGTGTGGACCACACTTCGTTAGCTCATTGGCTGTGAGCTCTAGCTATAGGGTTCATAAACCCCAACTAGAGCCAAATATTTACACCTGCTAGCTGCTAGAGCTCTCTGGCTGTGTCTATTGAGGCTCTTTATTACACAGGGAGATAACTGGTAAGAAAGTGGAAAGCTAACCTAGACTTACAAAGCTATTGTCATTAATGTCTCTCCAGAGAAGCTAAGCAATACTGATAGATACCTGCAGATGGGGTGTGCCACACTTGACTCTGTGGCTGAGGAACCACTGCCTGTCAAAAGCGGATTAGTAGAGAAGTCAAAAACCTCTGGCCTAATGGTGCTGTCTTTATTCAGGTGTACACTACGTGGAGTTACCGATGGTGTGTATGATAGCAAAATGGACATTCTTGAGTAATTCTGTAAAGCCTTAAGTGTTTGCATACGTAGTAGGCGTTCTCAACACAGCAGTGAGTGTACTAGCCGGTGGCTGCTGCACACATATTTCAGAGAGAGCGAGTATTTCCACTGTCATGTATATTCAGAGCCGTCTTTCCTGTACTTGAGTATTCTAGTGGGAATGCAAAGCAAAAGCTCCAAAAATTACTTTGACATGTATTCCCATTGGAAATCCTGCATCTAGAAAATCAGAGCTACTTCTAATGGAACATATTTTAGGTGCTGACTGTGAAAATACATCAGTTGTGGATGCTAACACTGAGTATGCTGCCCACACTATATGTCAAAAGCGTAGGTGAAGAAACTGTTAAACCTTGCTTAAAGTGATCAGGAAAGGAAGGTCATCAGATATGCAGTATTTCATCTCACACCTACTGTAGCACGAAAGGTTTATGGCTTCCAGAATATGGGTGATTGAGCAGCTCATGTTTAAACACGCATGCAAGAAGCAGCTGCTATCAAAGAAGTGTTTGAAGAGCAGATTTCAGTTCAACTAAGCTGCTTTTCCCAATTGTAGCAGTGATAAGGAAAAAGTGATAGTTGAGGAGACCGAAACAATGGTAACTGATGAAGATATGAGTCTTTGAGGCCTTTGATGCTGATCAAAGGATCACCAATGAAAGAAACCGAGAATGTAATGCACTCAAGGGAATGATTGCAACAGAATCAGATTCAGCTATCCCCTTTGATCCCAATAAAGATGAAAAGATCTGCAAGAAGGAGCAAAGTACGTTGCCAGACATGATTTTCTGGGATGTCAGAAATCGAAGAATCATAATACAATATTGTCTACTCCTATCCTGATATTGGCTCGAAGTTTGTTGATAGTTTTAATGTTGGCGCAGATAAATGGAGGCGGACTGGCTTACTCTTCGATGGTATTGAGTACAAAGTCAAGATCACCTCCAAGTATATACAAGCGCAAGTTCTCTTTTATGGTACAGTTTTGCAGTTGTGTGCAACTCGCAATCATCGTCGTCTTTCTTCATCCCGCTACAACAGTGTTGCACAAGTGACAAGTCGCCGTGGAAGAAAGGGGTTTACGCTCAAGTTTAATCCAGACGCATACTGGAGCAATCTGCTGTATCGGTCACTGAATATTTTTTGCGGGAGCAATATAATGTTTCTCAATCGTGATGATGCTGCTGGATTCAGATTTGATGCACTGACTACTCATCACCAGTATTCTACTCCAGTGGTTAATCAACCCCCACAACCTACAGAGGTTATGTGAATTGCAACCCCTATGTCATCCAATGTGTATTGACACATACATAGAGTGTTGTAATGGAGCACCCTGTGGACCGATATTCGTTTGCATAGGGGAACTACGTGTCAGAAGACAAAAAGAGAACACTACATTGACTGGTGAATAGCTGCATCTTGTTGTGTGATATTTGGTTGAACCCTTACACGTTAAGATATGACATTTTTGTGACAAGGTCGTAATTCAGCATGCTGGGCCACATAGAGGAGTTTGACAGCAGCAAAGACTACAAGCCGCAGTACTTGGAGCGGCTCGAGTATTTCTTCATCGTAAATGGGATCACCGAGAAGGAGCGTGTGGTGCTCCTGTTGGTCATTGGCGCAGCAATGTACAAGACTCTGTGAAACCTCGTATCTCCGAGTCAGTGGTACCCTTCGTTGCGGAGCTGCAGTCTCCCGCAAAGTTCTACAATTTTCAGAGACACTCTCGAAACAATGCTACGCAACCATATAGTCTGCGGGATAAACGATGACGCTATCCAGAAAATACTACTCTCTGAGACCGGTCTCGACTACACAAAACCAGACAGCAATGAACGTGGAGACAGCTGCACAGAGCGTCAATGAGCTCAAGAAATCTGATAGTCCTCAGACTGCCAACCATCCCCAGAGTGCACAACACAAGCGTATCGCCATCTGAACTTGGTTCATTAACCCTCGGCGCGCATGCGCAGCGAGGGTTACGGTAGTTGGGTTTGTGTGTCTGTCTGTCTGTGTGTCTGTTACTCTTCATCTCACTTTTCGAGTGTTCTTTCGTCTCACAAAGGATACCACCTACTGAACGGGTAATGAAGGTCAGAAATTTCGAACGATTTTCTCTGAAACTGCTCCGTTGCAAAGCTAGAGCGCGAAAAAGCCAATATGCAAATACACAACGGACGGGGGCTTACCTCAGTCGGATAGATCCGCGTGCTCTGCGTACTTCGGAGGCACCAGAAGATGCAACGCAGGGCGTGTATCGCCTCTCGCATACTATCTAGTAGTGTAGTTCGCCCGCGTCAGACTCTGCGCGAGCTGGCAAGAGACCACTAAACCTAAACCCAGCCCATCAATTAGTGGTACTGCGCATGCGTTTACTTACTGGTGCGCGTCACAGTGCGCCGAGGGTTTGCACTTCAGTGCTTTTCATTTTAGTCAGTAACTACCTGTTTTCACTACGGCAGTCAAGGACACAATGTGGCCAATTGTCGGGTTGATGGGACGTGGTGTCACCGTTGTGGAAAGTCAGGTCATCTTCAGAGAGCTTGCAAGGGCAACCCATCGTAGCTAAAGACCCACTGTAAGAAGCAAAAGAACCCTCGAACTGTTGGGCGATTGGGGAACGAAAAGGGTGGATGAGGAGGAGAGTGGAAACGACAAGGGCAAGGCACGTGTACTCTCTGAAGTCCATCAATACACCACCAATTCAAGTGAAGATGAGTGTGTCATTAGATACTGGAGCGGCTATGTCACTAGCGTAAGCCACATTTAAAAGTTGTGGCTTGAGAGGGAACTACACCCTTCTCAGCCTGGGGTTACTGCTAATACTCAGCTTCCCTCAGTCGCACTGGGCTTACCTCGACCTGATCCGCTCACTCTGTGTACCTTGGAGTCTCAAGAAGTCACAGTGAAGGGCGTCTATCGACTCCCGCATGCTACTTACTTGTGTAGCTAGCCTGTGTCAGACTCTCCGCGAGCTAAGTGTGGACACCACGTAAACGCATACTCTTGTCCCAACCCATCAATTAGTGGTACCGCACATGTGCAGTGTGCCGAGGTTTGTACTTCAGTGCTTTTCATTTGGGTTATTATCTTCTGTTAGGGATGGGTCTTTTGGGGTGCATTTGACAATACTTATTAACACACGTATTTGTTTTCAAACTGTAAAATAGACAGTTTATATATTGAATACCAGTACATCTCTGGAATTGATTTACCCTCCATTATTAGAGAACTGCTGCACACGTGGCTAAAAAGTAGGTTTGAGGATAAATAATTAATTACTGGATGAATGAAAAGCACTAAAGTGCAAACCCTCGGCGAACTGCGCATGTGCGGTACCACTAATTGATGGGCTGGGGCTTTTTATGCCTTTACTTGTGGTATCCCGCTAGTAGCTCGCGGAGAGTCTGGTACGGGCTAGCTACAGTAGTAAATAGCATGCGGGAGTCGATACATGCCCTTCGTTGTGACTTGTTGTGCCTTCAAGACACACAGAGCGAACGGATGCGGTCGAGGTAAGCCTATGCTAATTTACATATTGGCTTGTTCACTTGGTTTTCACGCCATAACTTTAGAACACAGTAGTTTTACGAAAATCGCCTTTTTTAAAATCAGCACTGAACCCGATCATATCGCTATTTACCTGATTTCGTGCGCACGGTGGCAGAAAACGTGGTAACAGACAGACAGACAGACAGACACACTTACGGGACAACTACCGTAACCCTCGCTGCGCATGCGCGCCGAGGGTTAATTAGTTTTGTGCTTAGATTACTAATGAACCATCACTGCAGAAGAGGTTCTGGGCTGTTGTGATGTCTTACTATCATGTGGCTTCACAAAACAGATTGCTCTCCTCAAACTCAGCGATATTCCTTCACCCCCAAAGAGAAGAACATGTTTCTCCGTCAGTAGCCACTTTGGGAATGAAGGTTACATGTAGGGTAATCGTTGATGAGTACAGGACTCCATTGGCCATGTATAGTTCCATCAAAGCACTGGCATAAGAGAACCTTCAGATTGTCACCACTATCAAATGATCATGCACATTGGTGCCGACAACTTCAAAGTCAGCTGCTGTGACACACCAGTAAAACTGAGTGTCCTCGCTATCACACATAGTGTCGAGAAACTGACCTTTCTGTCCAGTGCCGTGAGGTGAAGACAGGTGCCCAAGATACTTGCAGTTAGAGACTTCTTCTTTGCAGGGCAACAAACAACTGAAAAGTGGTGTCTTTAATATATTATATCCTCTTCTGTCTATCATTTCAGCATAGTAATCATTGTGATGCAGGCGGTAAGCGGCCTAAATGTTACAGTTCATCTTCAGCCATCAATCGAAGCCCACCCTGTGTTCACTGAGCACTGGGGTATTAGTACTTTTACAAAGTGAAGAATACAAGCAACCCCAGTGGCACAGAGTTACAGGGAAGCTCACATCATATTACAGCCCTGTTTACACGGACAAAATTGAATCTGTTTAGGCTAAATCGGTTTACAAACCGGTTCAAAGTGTCCGTGTAAACGGGGCTATATCCACCACAATCGGATCAAGTCAGACACCCATCCGCATACTTTAACAAACTCGTTCACTTGGTCCTTTGGACTAGCACACCGAAGTGGGCAATTCAAAATTGGAATTAAGGAACTGTTTTCATTACAGCAGATTTAGGGAACGCGTGAGGTCACACGGTTAGCCCATGACCAGCATAGCAGCCTCACGGGCCTGCTCGAACCAGCATGTGGCACCACGTGAGATCACGTGGCCGGGCCAGGTATCTGTCGCTACTCCATCGTTGGGCGCACGTGGGCTGGGCCGGGGCCCCAACATGACCGCGGACACTCCCGCCGTGTCTGGCTCCTCCAAATATTAGAATGGGCGAGCCAGAGTTAACAAGTATTCAGTGTCGGGTAGAGGTCGAAAGTATGTATGGTTTTCTCTGAAGCTGCTGCGTTTATTACACCGTGAAACATGAGCAATACTCTTGTCCCAAGCCAATATGCAAACATAGCACGAACGGGATGGCCCACCTTAATCTGATCCAGTTGCTCTGCGTACCTCGGAGGCACCAGAAGTTGCAACGGAGGGCGTGTATCGCCTCTTGCATGCTATCTTGTAGCCTGTGTCAGACTCTCCACGAGCTGGCAAGAAACCACCTATAAAACTAAACCCAGCCCATAAATTAGTGCTACCGTGCATGCGTTTACTTACGCATAGTGTGCCAAGAGTTGCACTTCAGTGCTTTTGATTCACTTTATTAATTATTCACGATAGTTATGTTACAAAGCCCATGTGAGAATTGATAGTGAAATACACACCTGTCCAGCCCACGTGCATCCAATGGTACTGTACAAAGTATCGTAGAAAGCATGGGACAGTTATCGCTGTTCACGAAAGCGCACTGTACTCATGCATTCAAGCATTCATTGGTCAATGAAAAAACACTGAAGTGCAAACCCTCGGCGAACTGCGCATGCGCGATACTGCTAATTGATGGGCTGGGCTATTAGTACCGTTTACACGCGGTCTCCCACTAGTAGCCCACGGAGAGTCTTACACGGGGTAGCTACAGCAGTAGATAGCATGCGGGAGTCGATACACAACCTTCATTGTGACTTCTTGTGCCTTCAAGATACACAGAGCAAGCTGACCCGGTCGAGGTAAGCCCAGTGTTATTATGCATATTGGCTTTTTCGCTTCTTTTCACGGCATATCTCTCGAACGCAGTTGTTTCAGCAAAATCGCCCGTTTCTTTTTCAGGCTCGCGTAGTTTTGACACCGCTGGTATCGCTAATGGACCGCCTCATAGCCTGTAGTGCCAGAATAAGCGTTGACACACACACACACACCGACAGACAGACAAACCAACTACTGTAACCCTCACTGCGCATGCACGCCGAGGGTTAACTACAGAAGTGCTTGGCAACGGCACGTGGCATTAAAAATGGCGGAGCAAGTCGTATTCAATGTCAAGGGCTTGAATGGCACACTGCAGCTGCACATGCAGACACGGCCAAATGACGGGTGAGTCCAGTGCGTTTCATATTGTGCGAAAGCTTTACCACTTTATAGTGCCAAGAATAAGTTAGCACTTTAGTGGTACTTCATACTTCTGGGGTAACAAAGGCAGCACAGTTAAAAGGTGATAATTGCCACAGAGAGAGAGTGTCTTAATGTAAATGGTTACATAATAATTCGTAATCATAAACATGCACTCACATCTACGTTTAGCAACAGCACGAACAGACATGAAGAGCTACAGAGCTGCAATTGCAAGGTATTGAGCGACTTGAACAGAGGCCAGCAAAAAGCCCACATTTGTACTCTGTCCCTTGGTAAGTATGCAGTAAAGTCTCTTTGCATGCAGCTTAAACATGCACCAATGATTGTACAGACGGATGGTCAGCCTCACAGACACAGTCCTATTGCTCTGTGCAACACGTAGCTCTTCTCTGTCTAAATGACAACTGCTCTTCCGTTAAATTAGTATTCTTCATACATTCATTCCCGAGGGGGAATAACAACAGAGAAGGATTCTGGTATGAATAACATCTGCTAATAACCGAATGAGAATACGAAACCCATGCAGATAGGGTGCAACACACACAACACTAGACAAATGCAAACCTGAAAAAGTGAACTTAAGTATTAATTCTAATTCCTGGGAGACACATAAAACCAGAGAAGGGAGGTGAGAGGAAGCACACAGTTAAAGGGAAGGGTGAAGGCAAAAAGAAGTATACACAGATACCATTGCCCCTGTTATGACTCTCACCATATGGATATTTGGTATCTAGTCTGTCAGGAGCTTCACGCTGCCACGGTAGCTCGTCATCACTACAGTTGTTGGGCATTCCGTTGTATCCAATCCCTACAATCTTGTGCTCTGGGTTTACTATGCAGGCCCCAACCTATAATACATATTATACAGGAGTAACAGAGCAATGTGTCCACCAAAATAGCAAAGCCTTGCAAAAGAGGAGTTGGTTAACAATAAAAGTTGCATAAACCACTACACACATGTAATTTTGCATGTACAGCAAGGGGATTTTAGTTAAGCAAGAGCCCAATCATACGTAGCTGCCTACACATCACCCTTGTTCAGCCCTCAGCATGTAATGTAGAAATTGCAATGCTGGAGTGTTGGTCCATATCATTTCAAAATCTCGAACTAGTGTACATGCCTGTGAGTTTGGGTCTTTGCTTCTCTGTGCACTCAAGAAAGCAACGGCCATGAAGTAGTCTTCCCAAGACAGGTAGTCCTTCCTCTTCTTCAGCAAAGGGGAAGATAAAGATGAAGAACAGGCTCTTTTGCGGGCCACGTCTTTGTCACTGGGTACACCAATACAAAATACAACGAACAGGGGCATGTGCAAACATTACACCCACACCCATGTGCCGGTCAGTATCGCTACATCATGGGGCAGTGAAGTCAACGTTTCTAGCGTTACTAGCTGTCTATTTGCAGAATAACCAAAGGTTTATAGAGAACCCAGCAGAATGTTTATAGGTTCACCTGCAACAAGGTTACTAGGTTGACTGGCACAGCAGTACTTGTGGTTTTTCGCTAATTCTCCCAAGGGCTACACTACTTCAGTAGATGGCCATTGTGGGAGTCGACAATCACATGCTGTTCTAACTTATGATGTACACAAAATGCAGAATATCAACGTGGTTTGTTGTGCATTGTGGCAGAAACATTGTACAACTGTAAGTCTTAGTGTGCATGTGTCAACGAGGTAACGAAGCAAACCAAACAAGATGCACACCAAGGGTATAATATCCAGAAAGAGTTACCCTCAGCTATATAGTCAGGCTAATAAGTTAAAGGGTTAGTTAGATATCACGCTCAGGTTAGCTGTTGCAGAAAACCAAAGGCAGAATTTTGCTGCTATCGCACTGCATCCCATTGGTGCCGGGCTTAGTTTAACGGAAAGGAACCATGCCGGTGGTGACAAATTCCTCGCTAAATGGAATGTCCTACCATGCCCGGGCCGATGTATAATACTGGTGAAGCAGCCCCACCCTCTGAAATCCCAATTACTCGTGGGCGTGCGCGTGCGCGCCTTACCGCGCTACTAGGCTGCACTGTATTGCACGATCTCGCGCTTCCCCTCAAACAGCCGTCCCTTCAGCGTTCTGCTTCTCAAACAATACATACCCTGTCTCTACATCAGGCAATAAAGGTCCACTGTGAGTGTCCATCCCGTTACAGCGCTCGTCACTGCCACACGACATCGTACCCAGATCCCACTGATACTACTAGGTAGGCGATGAGCGCAGACAGGTCGTAAGGCGCCTATGAAGCTCCCTTCCTCCGAACCGAACTTTATAGGTCGCGTCGTCGACGTCCCACCACGCGCGTTTGGCGCTCACGTGCGAATTGAGCATGCGCATAGAACGACCTGATCTCCTGGCGGCCCTTGACTCTCGTCACTGCATGCAGCAGAGGGTGGAGTTGGTAGGAAACCGAAGAAGCAATGAACCCAGCCATCATTCTGGTTGGCCTGGCTGCCATGGGAGGACTTATTTCACTCGCTCTGCACAGAATTGAGGAGGGTAGGGCAGCATTATCACCATAATCTATCAATTCCTGCTAGTATGGTGCTAAAATGTGAACTTCTCTTTTTTATAGGTCATGTTGGAGTTTATTACAGGGTAACTCTCTTTTGCATCTAGAGATGCACTGTAAGTGTTGATATAGAGTGGTGTACTACTTCGCAGGGAGGGGCTCTGTTGGAGGGTACAACTGGACCAGGGTTCCACCTTATGCTACCACTCCTCACCACCTTCAAACAAGTCCAGGTGCTGCTACTACTAGCACAATTTTAATTACTAGGTGAATGCAGTGCATTTTTGGCGAGCTGGAGCGATCCAACTAATGGTTGTGTGCGTGCCCAAAGAGTGGTTACGTCTCTGCCGGTCAGCGGTTCTCATCTGCTGGAGGCTAGTGTCCCTCTATTCGGATGATCGTGCTGCCTCTCTCCCGCCCCCTACGTTGAGACAGGCGTGTCTCCCTCTCCTTGGCTGCCGAGAAAACGATTCGTCGCCATTATTGCAGAGGTTTACGGGGGGAAATCACACAAATGGTGCACCATGTTATGACACAAATGGTGCACCATACTGTTGCATATGTCTGCATAGTCTGTAAGAAGCTCCTCATCCTAGAAGGCTGTATTACAGTAGTGGATTGATGTTCTTGCAGGTTACATTGCAATCTGATGAGGTGAAGAATGTTCCATGTGGTACGAGTGGTGGTGTGATGATCTATTTTGATCGAGTGGAAGTCGTCAACATACTTAATGCTGCACAAGGTTAGTGATGTGCAATAGTGCTCTGACCTTCATTGTTCATGTGCCATACACATGTGTTCTGTGTCTCTAACATTATAAAGGGTCTAAGATACAGATACACATATACTGTAAACATGTGTAAATCTTGCTTCCTTACAGTACATGAGATAGTGAAGCAGTACACAGCAGACTATGACAAGGCCTTAATCTTCAATAAAGTACACCATGAGCTCAACCAGGTTTGTCCTCCTATGATGCATGCAATAAAGGATTATTTGATGCAAACTGTTCCATTAACCAAATGGCTTGGCATAACATTTCTGTGATTTTAGTAAAAGTGAAAGCTATCCGTGCAACCTTCCCTTTGTCTGCACTCCGTTTCATTCCCATCCTGTCTAAGAGAATATGCTGTCAAATACCTTACTATGTGTGAACTTTGTGCCTCTATGGTCAGTATATTATATGTACCACAAGAATGTCCGGACAAACGAAGAAACGCTATGTTGCGGGTATATTAGCATGTGAGGCGAGCCTGCCTAGTTTTTTGAATGCAGGATTTTTTCCATATTTGCCACAATGATATACGTGGTACTAGTTGAACTGAGCGTTGCATTCGTTATATAATTCATTGCTGGTGGTCACCACAAATATTTTGTTGTGGCCAGTGAGAAAGGGGACTACTCTGACTTTAACAGAAGTAGCTGGGATTCTCGCTCAAACTATCTTCACAGGGATGTTGCCGGCAAGTATCAGCAGTGTAATATGCATGCATAGCAGCATGCTATAGAAGTATGGTATTAGATACTCAGTTCTTCTTGAGCTTCCATAGCCATTCTTAGCTATTTATGTAGCTATGCACAGTGTGCCTTAACGAATGATGCTTGTCTCTGCTGGCTCCGTGTATATTACTTCTATCTACTGCTGTGAAGTAATCAGGCAGTCTTCGCAATAACTCATGTCGTTGTTGCGACTTTGTGGTGTGTGTGCTGAAAGAGAGGCCAGATCTGCTTCGATCCAGAGTTCTTGGACCGCAGGTTCCATTCTATTAAAGTTGGCTCTACCCAGCAGATAGGGGGTTAGAGAACCACAAAAGCCCTACGCAAACCCAACACATGTATTAGTGCCCTCACATTTATTGAACAACGTGACGCGCTGAGTCATCCATCATACATGTACATACTTCATTCTTCTACATCTGTCCTTTGGCTGATGGCCATGGTACTCTGAGAATGAAAAGAGCTCTGAGACCCTATATATTAGTGGTGTACTTCTGGCGAGTTTTGTATGGGTAGATAGCGGTGTAGTGCCAGTGTCCTGCTCGTGCTAGGGAGCTTGTAGTACATCTAATTGCGAAATGCATACGTCACTTCCTGGCGGATTGTGGAGTGTCGCGTGCCACCAATAAACATTACGCGAAGGAGACATTAAAAATGGATAAAATCAAGTGGTAAAAACATTCTTGTCGGGGTACTAAATCTATTGTTAAAAGTTAAAAAAACAGTGTTGTAGTTATGAGAAGGAATAAGGTAATCATTCTCTTAAGAATGAAAAAGCCACTCCACTTACTAGTAGCAAGGTCTTTGTTAAATAAGCAAAGGGACAAGCTTGAAAATGTGTGCTGATGAACACCAAGCCTAACTGTAGGGGAAAATAGCTGACCGGGTGTATTTGCTTTGCCTTTGCCTAGCTACTGTACCTTACCTCGTTTGTTAAAACACATGTAAACCTTGTTACTCTCCATTGTTTTCATCTATGTACGTATGTACATCTTTTCTCGCAGTTTTGCAGTTCTCACAGTCTTGATGAAGTATACATCAAGGAATTTGGTAAATTGGAACCAGTCTGCTGAGCACATACATGTACTAAGTTACTGCTCCTCACCATTACAAAAAGCATAATGCCTGTTGACTGACACTGTGTTATTGTAGAGCTAACACATGCGGCTGAAATGAGTTTATCTAACACAAGAGAGTACTTCTCTAAGCGGGTGCGATAAAAACGAGTTACTTAATCACGTAAGTGTTTGCATGGAAAGCTTTCTTCAATGTACATCTCGTTCTTGATCTAGCCTGGTTGACTGAAAGAATTGTGTTGTAGCTGATTGCACTGGTAGCTCTGTTGGTAGAGCTCACCTAAGAAGCAGAGTGTTGTGAGTTCCAATCCCGCCTAGGGCAGCATTTGTTTTTAGAGGAGTTGTCCTGGGTGTAATTGACTTGTTTGCTTTGCCTTGCCTTTCTACCTCACTTTGTGGTTGACACATGTATGTGTATTAATTGTGGTTAGATCAGATTGATGAGAACCTGAAGAAAGCTCTGCAGAGTGAACTCACCACAATGGCCAAAGGTCTGATAGTGTTGTCTGTTCGAGTCACAAAACCGAAAATCCCTGAGTCCATCAGGAAGAACTATGAGCTCATGTGAGAGTAGTCCCACCGTATATTGTCAACTGTTTCAGGAATAATTGTGCATTTGATCAGGACTCTAACAGTACAACAGTACAATTCTGCCATGAATTTATTAGACCGAATACCCGGGATTGGAAAAATATAGTAGGGGTCAAAAAACGTTTCCAATTTCGTTCCGTTTCGTTGAGCTTCCATTCCCTTCTGAAACGCCGTTCAGTTACCGTTGGAATGAAAAGCACTGAAGTGCAAACCCTCGGCGCACTGTGACGCGCGCACGTAAAGTAAACGCATGCGCCGTACCACTAATTGATGGGCTGGGTTTAGTTTTAGCTGTTACTCGTGGTCTCTTGCCAGCTCGCGCAGAGTCTGACGCGGGCTAACTTCGAAATTTCTGACCTTCATTGCCCGTCCAGTAGGTAGTATCCTTTGTGAGACGAACGAAAACTCAAGAAGTGAGATGACGAGTAATAGACAGACAGACAGACGCACACACACACAGACCCAAGTACCGTAACCCTCGCTGTGCATGTGCGCCGAGGGTTTAATGAAAAGCAAACCCTCGGCGCACTGTGACGCACGCGTAAGTAAACGCATGCGCCGTACCACTAATTGATGGACTGGGTTTAGTTTTAGCTGTTACTCGTGGTCTCTTGCCAGCTCGCGCAGAGTCTGACGCGGGCTAACTACACTACTAGATAGCATGTGAGAGGCGATACACGCCCTGCGTTGCATCTTCTGGTGCCTCCGAGGTACGCAGAGCACGCGGATCGATCATGCCGTAATAAGCCGTTGTGTATGTATTTGCATATTGGCTTTTTCCCGCTCTAGCTTAGCAACGGAGCGTTTTTAGAGAAAACCGCCTTTATTTTCTGACCTTCGTCGCCCGTTGGGTAGATGGTATCGTTTCTGGGACGAACAGACGTTCGAGGAGTGAGATTAGGGCTGAGGAAATTATGCTCAAATATTTGAATTTTATTCTACTCCTGGATTCTTCCATTATGTGCAATTTATGCTCCTATTTTGACCAAATTATGCTTGAAATTTTGAACACAGTATATAATTGGCGTATGTACGTCGTCAATTAGTCACCCTTAGGAATGTCAATTAGTCACCAAAAGGAAGTGTAACTTCTGTCGTTCGTAGGAAGTCTAGCTTCCGCCGTGCGTAGGAAGTCAGGCTTCGTGCATAGTCAGTAGAGCGCGCGCACGAGCAGCCTCAATCGGACACATTGGCGCGGCAAAATATGTGCGTGCGCCTTCCTAGTATAGAAATTATTCCTGGAATATTCTCGGATTCGAGCAGCCCCAAAAAATTCCCAAATTATGCCCGGCATAATTTCCGCACCCCTAAGTGAGATATAGAGTAACAGACAAACAAACAGACAGACCCAACTACTGTACCCTCGCTGTGCATGCGCGCCGAGGGTTAATTTAGTTCCGTTTAGAATCGTGCAAGATGCGAAGGCTTCACTGTGAAGATGTTTCTTCTAGCACCTGCCTGGGTACTGCCTACTCGTTTCGCGTTTGCGACGAAAAAAAACCTTGTTTCGCTCCCCCGCTAGCGACTCTCCACCGCATTTGCGGAGGGTGTGTTACGCGGAATTCACAACGGAACGGCAACGGAAACAGAACGGAACGATAGTGAACGGCAAACAGAAAGAAACAGAACGAAATTGGAAACGTTTTTTGACTCCTACTGTACATGCTGTGACGTAATGACTTAACAAATCTTGAAAACGTCTGAAGCCGTTGCCGCTGTTGTCTCTTGCTGCAACCAGGAAAGAAAGCAACTGTCTGAGTTTTGTGGTATGGTCGAGTAAAATACACCTATGTAATTGTTGCAGAGCTGTTGCTGCCTTCCACCGTGCACTTAGCCGTCAAAATGGCTGTTTTTGGTGGGTTCTTCGTTGGACGTGAAGGTGGCAGCTATATACAAACAAGCCTTTGGTAAAATTGTAGCCACAACAGTTCAAAAGCTACACGGCCGTAGTTGCATTAAGGTGCGTACTGCGCTACTGCCATGGCTTGCACATTACAAGTTTCTTGTGCTTTAGCTTAAAGCAACAGTATCACTTTTGTACCATCTTGTGTTCTTCTCTTGAGGTCTGTAAGAGCAGCAGGTGTAACATTGCTTACCCAGATTTTGTGCCATTCTCCGTCATTCCTCTTTCTCTTATGATTCTACCTTCTATATATAAAGGTGCGATCTGTTCACTGTACGTACAGTACTGACAGAGGGAAAGGGTTGTTGTTGGTGCTTTAGGTGTAGTTTTGCACATGCGTCTCTACTGTGCAGACCGCATGCACACGCGTGATTGTATTCACTTCTGGGTGCGAGGATTGACACAGATATTGCCCCCATTGCCAATCCTGGTTACATAGTCTACTAAATCTGTGGTTCTGCCACTTTACTGATTTCATCATTGGGTCACATAGGGAGGCAGAGAAGACCAAGCTACTGATATCTCAGCAGAAGCAGAAGGTTGTAGAGAAAGAGGCAGAGACAGAGCGCAAGAAAGCCATAATTGGTTATTTTTTCCGAAGTGTGAGGATGTATGATCTGCATCAAAGCACTGCTGGGAGATTTTAAAGTCTATTTGACTTCACCTGAGACCACGAAAATTTGTCATAACTTTTTATATCCAATTGTGAAAGCGCTAACACCATTGGAATCCTTTATGCTTCTGAAGGTATCCTTCACTAACCGTATAACCCAAAGTTAGCTGTATGTCCCATAAGAAAGGTATGCCATAAGTAAGGTATGTTATCCTTGTATAAGCAGTTTACATAACAACTTCAGAGGCTCAGGTGAACGCGAATAGATTTTAGTGATGTCCTTAGGTATTCATGGCAAAAAGACTCATGGTGTCCGCTGCTATTAACTCCTGCAGAGGCAGAGAAGGTGGCAGAGGTGGCAGAGATCCAGTACAATCAAAGAATCATGGAGAAAAAGAAGCAAAAGGAAATTTCACAGGTAAACTGAGCCCTTATGGCCAAACATATGTAAGTTTCAATACAGGCAGTTATTAGCTACATAATCAAGTTCATTGTTACAAGCCTACAATATCGGGCATTGTGCATTCTGGTGCTGTATGCTTACTGCTGTGCTTTAAGTTGAAAATCATTTCTTAAAATAAAGAAGGGATTGATCAAAGCACCAAAAAAGGAACAGGGGGTCATTACACAAAAGGCATACAAAGCTACATGACACCATCTGTGTATATTTGCCAGATATTTTTTTGCCTATCAATGAATGGAACAAAGATAGAGGAAAGGTTTCATGTGTAGCTTTGTGTGTCTTCGAGCCATCGACGATTTTTGTGTATAACTATGACTATAGTTATTGTGGTCACTCGATGTGCATGAATCAGGAGGTGTAAGCACAAGCAGGATGCATAATAAACTACACCTACTTTTTTCTAGTAAGGAAATGACTAGCTGTGTATGTTGTACAGAGGTTGACCATAAACAAATTACTAACTTGTTGACCTCTGCCTGACAAAGTGCAAGCACAGAGTTGGAAGCATTTGTAACATTATGCAACCGTAACATGACTCTCAGTGCAATATTTGCTGAGTCTGCAGCCTGTCTTTTGGAGAGAATATACGACAGAAACAACCTTTTCCCAGCGCACATCACATAAATCATGAATATTTTTACTAACAATGCGGGTATCGGAAAAGGTTTGTATTTGAGTAGATCCGATTCAAATGGGGGATAATGATGAGCCAGCCAACCCTGGTGTACCCCTTCTATCCGACAGCTACAGTGTGGAAAACTTGACGATCTGTGCCACTCAGTACATGATAGCTAAAACTGAGCTAAGCATACAGTACAATCCTTTCTACAGCTTCCTGCCAAATTTATTGTGCAACCCTTCGAATTTCGAGCTATCATACTTGCCGATGTTAAGGATCAGCACCCTGGTGGCACGTTACCTGCATTCCTTACACCCAGTATTTGAAATTCCTGTGCGATTTATGTGATCCGTTCCAACATCCTCAGGTGCTTGCACTATCCACATTACAAGTGACAGGGAGTTGGGAAGGCAGCCCATTAGCTAATGGACTGCTCTAAAAGGCAGAGAGTAATGTACGCGCAGCATATAATTATACAAACAATCCGAGTACAGTGCTGTGGCGTGGCGAATCTGTAGCCGTTTAGTGAAAAAATCAGTGCTTTAAAAGTTGAAGTAAGGAGATGGCAGGTTTGAAAGATGATATTTAAAAATGATGAAATACTTTGGTGCAAGCAAATTCTCGCGCAGAGAACTGTAGGCACGTATATAAAGTCTTTGGGCATAGCTAGATAAGGCTTTTAGTGTTTTTTGTTGAAAGCATGGCAAGTCAATCTCGTGACAAGTTTCACAGCATTTTCTGTGCAGATAACACTTAACAGCCACAGACACATAAATGCCTCCATAAGTCCACAGTTTTTTTTATGGGGGTTGTAATACTTATACATGATTTATGCTTGTTGATGGAGATAGCCATGGCATCAAAAGGGTTCGTTTGCCATCCCAGAGTGTCTACCAATGCTATAATTCTGTTCTGGGTCCCCAGCCCTAAAAACAAAAGTGTGGTGTACTTCCAATTGTTATGTAATAGTGACCGTGAGGTGAAGATAACTGTTAAATCCTACAGATTGAGAATGAGGCCCACACGGCTAAGGTTCTTGCTGAGGCAGATGCTGAGTACTACCTTGCTCAGAAAACAGCTGAAGCTAACAAGGTGCTGAAAGGTTTATCATACTCCAAAAGTTTCCATTTTTCGTTGGACTGGTTTTCTATCCTTAGTCAATGTAAACTTTATTTCTCTCCAGCTGAAACACACGCCCGAGTTCATGGAGCTGGCTCGCTACCAAGCCTTGACCACCAACACAAAGCTCTACTTTGGTCCAAGTCTGCCTTCTTTTTTCATGCAGGGTAGGGAGGAGGGGCTGTTGTTGCCACGGCAGCAGACTTCACCCGTGGAGGAACAAACAAATCTATAATGACTCTATAGCTGCATTAAACAATATTCCTGGCCTATGTGATGTGTGCTGGGAAAGGTCAATGGACAAAGTTTTATGATAGAGCCACAAAAGCACATTAACCAAACCCACAATTGATTTTTTGTTTTACGCACACTAATTCTCTTGTCTTACTGAATTTCAGACTTCTCTTTGTTTAATAGTTGGCAGTGAATGGCAGTGGCTTTGGTCAGGATGTGTTTTAACCTTGCATCATTATGATGTAATGCAGAAAATATAGGTGGGGTAGTATGGGACTAGCCAGGTGAATACGTTATCTGGGTAAGGATGATAATGCAGCTAATTGGGGTGAGGGTAATGCAAGAATCGGGGTAAGGAGAGTAGTAATCAATGAGGGTTATGCAGGTGCCAGAAGGAGAGGAGTTTTTTTAAACAACACACATCAGATACTGAGAACGTAAAAGTTATTCCATCCACAGTTGTTTTTGGAGAGGATGGGGAAACCTAATCTGCCAGTGAGGGAACTGTTTCCCAACGTGTGGAGGAAGATACTTGCTGGCGCGAGAGGGAGATAGTCAAATTCATGGGGAAACTCGGAGACGGTGATACTTTGTTTGATCTGGCCCTTCGACTGAGCTTTTGAGAATTGGCAGAGGAGGATGATAGGAGTGGAAGGCACTTCATGTAGCTCAACTATGAAGTAAAAGTAGCTAGAAGAGATTTGTCAAAGATCAGACAAGGCTGAAAGTCATGGGGGATGGTAGCAAAGTAATGTAATGGATCAGGGTGCAGATATGGATGATTCCGAGTGATTGTTGGAGGCCAGAGACTTGCATAGGCATCCCCGAGATTGTTCACAGTATAGTTACGAGTTCTCTTGAGTAGCCTGTGTGAGTGACCACACTTTACACCTACACAGTTGAGAAATATGACATCATAATATATTATACAGGCACATATGCAATGGGTGTGAAGGCAACCAGCATGAGACCCAAGAGCTTTAAGATAGAAAAAAGGCCCTTGTGCAAGAACTATATACAGTGGTCTGATGTGCAAAGTTTAGAAGATGAGACAGAACGAAGCACTCGAAGGTGACATTGCCTATGAGCAGCGCTCGCAGAGACGACTGTGGGCACGATTTGCAGCCGATTCACATGTTTGACTAGCACTGCTGACTTCAGGGCATATCGCTACTGGTGAGATCAGTGCCGATGTCTGCAATCAGTGCCAGATTGTTGGCATACATGTGGCCGCGACAGAAGATATGCCTAAAATTGATGCACCACCAGAGATAGACAGTGGCTTTTTTGTACTGTTCCTTGTATTTATTTTGTCTCGTTTCCTAACTCCTATTTCCTCCGGTTCACGCAGTTCCTGCAGTTCCTCTTGTTCCCTCTAGCTCCCCTGGTTTCTGCAGTTCCTCAGGTTCCCCTGGTTGCTGCCGTTCCTCTAGTTCCCATTCCTGAAGTTCCTGAAGTTGCTGAAGATGTTCCTGCCAGTTCCTACTACATACAAGTAAACTAAAAATCCTGCAAATTTAAAAAAAAGAGGCATATAGGGATGGGATAAAAAGATAGGGAGACAAGATAGGGATGGGATACATGAAGCATGGTTAACGAACAGATTTGAGCACGCTGCTGACACCCAACCCCATCACACAATCCCTATATTGTTGCCTGGTGTGCTACTGTTATTGGGAATGTGACATTATACAAGGGGTAAAGGTTACTAATTCTTTCACTGTCCCCCCGTTGTTTTTGGACTTCATAATTATACTGCCACAGTCTCTTTAAACTCCACTTGGACTCTAACGGTGTTGGTAGTAGCATGACATAATTTATTATAATTGCTGAGTATTGTGATGGTGAATGTTTAATACTTCACCTAGGCAACAACAATAATTATAGGGATTGTGTGATGGGGTTGGGGGTGTCAGCATGCTTGTATCCCATCCCTATCTTGCCTCCCTTTCTTTTTATACCATCCCTATATGCCTCTTTTTTTAAATTCGCATTACTTGTTACCACTCATTTTTAAAATTATACTACTACGTATAATATCTCTGTGAAGGGGCAAGCCCCCTATAAAATTAATAATAGAGAAAAACACCTGTTGTCATCATGGTAATATGCATGTGTACCAAGTTTCATCTCCATATGTGCTGCCATTAGCAAGTTTGAGGAGTGAAGAAGGAGAAGGCTATTTGTTGTTGTGGCTGTCACGGCAACGATGGAATACTCATGAAGAAAATTATACCATGTGATGCCAAGAGAAAAAAGATGTGGAGCTCAGGACAGCTGTTTCGGGCTTGTTGGCCCTCATCAGTAGAGCATACCGCAACTTTTCTCTTTGGCATCACAAGTTTATAAAGGCTACCAGGAGCGCAGCACTTGTGGTTTTGAAATCCCCACAAGCCTTTGCTCAGGCTACCAGGTGCATGAAATTATAGTTCATAGCATACCAGCCATAGGTATATATAGATAGATAGATAGAGAAATAAATAAATAAATAAAAACCACCACCAATATATCCACAAATCCCATAAAAAACACATACAAAATACACATGACATGACATGGGAGCAGGACACTGGGTGCCCAGATTTGAGAACTGGGGCGGTGGGTTAAAATGCCTGGAGGACTGAGAAATTTAGCTCATAATTGAACGTGACGGAACTTCCGGGGTGAATTCCTCCGCCATTTTGTTGACGTTTTCTATGGAGATGATGTCACTTTTCCAAGTGCTGAGTATATACGTTCGCGCTGAGATGAGGAGGGCGGTAGCTACTATTCGCCCGTAGAAATGTGTATGCCGTAGAGAAATGTATGTAGATGTTGGATATCCCTAGGCAAATGACATGTATGAACCCTGCTTGCACACGTGGGGGCTCCGGGGGCTGGAGCCCCCCTATATTTTCTCGGGCTTGCGCGAGCGTAACAGCGATCGCGCGCAGCGTATGCTTTTTACGCACGCGCTTTGGAGCCCCCCTTTGTCTGAACATCTTCCTACGCTACTGTATAGTCTTTAGATACAACCCCCCAGTACCTATAATTATAGCTTCATACATGTCGGTTGCCTACGGGTATCCAACAAGGCATACACGGCAGATTTGAACGGGGTAAGCGCTGAACGAACCGGAGTGTGAAGCGCTACATTATAATACCAAGCGTGGCCGCATACAGTGCTGGAATCCGAAGTTATTCTTGATTTTGGAGGTGAATTCTCAGCGCGAACGTACTTTAGTAAGCCAACTACGGCACTTGGAAAAATCACATCTCCGCAGACCTGCTGCATACAAAATGTGAACAAAATGGCGGAGGAATGTACCCCGGAATTTTTTATTTTTTTTATTTTATTTTTTTATTTTATATTCATACACAATAGCCAAAAGCTAATACATGGTGTATGAAAATTAACGATTAAATATTTAGCCATTCCTTCAAGGATGATCTGAATGATGGGAGAGTTTCAGATGATCTTATATCAAGAGGTAGCTAACTTGTTCCAATGTGAGCAGGTATTAGTCACAAATGAGAAAAGATACGAGTTTGTACGGGAGAAAGGTTGTAAAAATAGACAGCAGTATGTAGACTGAAGAGAAGAGGCTCTTGGTAAAAACACATTTGGGGGGAAATCCATCAGGTGATTTACAATTTTATACATAGTACAAAGATTGATATACTTACGACGAATGTCGAGTGACGGGATATTGCAGATAAACAACAGAGAAGTGTAATCTAGGTCCCATTGCTTTACACAGAGTCTTAAAGCAAATTTCTGAACTTTTTCAAGTTTCTTAATGTCTTTAAGTAAATAAGGATTCCAAACCTCGCATGCGTATTCTAGACATGGCCGAATGAGAGATATATACAGCTGCAGAAGATTTGTAGACGATGTGTGAAGGTAGAATGTTCTGTACAGAAGACCAAGCATTTTCTTAGCTCTGGTACAAAAACCATGGATGTGCTTACTCCAGGAGAGATCAGATGTTAAAGTAACACCAAGGTATGTGTAGTGAAATACTCTAGCGATAGCCTGTCCATTAAGAAACAGAGCAGGGGGATGTATTGTATTTCTTTTCCTTGTCACAATCATAAATTTTCATTTTTCGGGGTTGAAGGTTAGAGATCTACTGGCTGACCACTGTAACAAGGAGTTTACATCTCTCTGTAGTAGCACGAAGTCCATAGCATCATTAATTGGCTTGAAGAGTAGAATGTCATCAGCATAGAGTGTAATTTTAGACCCAGGTGAAAATACCAAATCAGTAGCACCATTTACATACAACAGGAAGAGTAGTGGCCCCAGGACTGAACCCTGGGGAACTCCAGAGATCGCATGAATGTCAGAGGAGGAATCTCCATTGATCACAACTTTTTGGATTCGATTGGTTAGGTAGCTACATATCCATCTCAGTAGAATGGGGTGGACATCCATCTGCTGTAGGACTGACAAAAGACAACGATGAGGAACAGAATCGAATGCTTTTTGGAGGTCTAGAAAAATGGCACAGACCTCCTGACCTGCCTCTAAGTGTTTATGCCAGCTATCAGTGACAGAAAGCAGAGCTGAGGTAGTTGATCTCCCAGAAAGGAACCCCCACTGTGACTCAGATATTATGTTTTTCTCCATTATCTGGTCCATCAATAGGTGTTGGACATGCTTCTCTAGCAGTTTGCTTAAGATAGATAAGAGAGAGATAGGTCTGTAGTTTTTAGGGTTTGCATTATCTCCTGGCTTCGGTATAGGTACAATGTTAGACATTTTCCAGAACACAGGGAAGCAACCAGATTGAATGGATTGATTTATAAGTTTTGCAACCGAAGGTGCGATACTTCTAGCCACGGGTTTAAGCATTCTAGCAGATATCCCATCAGGACCTGAGGACTTACTAACATCAAGAGTCTCAATTTCATGCTTAATCTCTTCGACTGTACATAGAAATTCATCAGGGCATGAGTTTAGCCCAGTTGCAAACTGATCAAGATCTGCGAATGTCAGAGGAGCAATGGAAGAATTTAAAGATTTCTTAAACGTATCAGATAGAACATCGGCCTTTTCTTTACTAGTAAAGGCTTTTTTACTGCCCTGAACTAGAACAGGAATAGAGGTTGAGCTCTTAGTCAATTGATGGACTCTTTTCCAAAACGTTTTTTGGTCCACTGTGTTCAAGTTTCCAAAAAGTTCTTCTTTGCAGATCTCAGCAATTTTGTGAGCTTATTTCTTACTGATTTGTATTTGCTGCGAACTGTATGACTGCCATTCTTTTTCCAAGCCCTAAACAAGGAATTTTTCTTTTTTATTAATCTCATGAGTCTTTTAGTTAACCATGGCAGACGAGCACTTGAATGCGAGAGTCTGGGAATGCACTGTTCCATTATATGCAAAAATTGGCTTTGCCATTGTTGTACAGTAACGGAGATATCACCAGAAAACAATGAATCCCAATCAAAAATGTCAATCATACGCCTTGCTTTCATATAGTCACCTTGGCTGTAGTTCCACAAAGGACGTTTATTTCCTTGACTCCTTTCAAAACACATCACCTTTACCGCCAGCTGAAGACCACTATGGTCTGAGGTCCCCAGAGGTGGAAGAGCAGAACATGTGTACAAAAATGACATGGAGGATATAAAAATCAAATCAATCAGAGACGAACCAGATGGGGTGTTACGAGTACTAGATTGCACAACTTGAGTAAGATTAAATGGAGATAGACAGTACATTAAATGGGTGTAAAGGAAAGAAGTAGTACAAAAATAATTTACATTGAAGTCACCAATTAGAACGAAATAATTGAATGAAGAAGGGTTAAGATTGGAAAGATTTTTAGATAGAGAGTCAAAACACTTAGCAGAAGCAGAGGGAGGTCGGTAATACAGAGCAACGCAAAATTTAAGAGTAGATTTAGGAGGACAAACTGAAACAGTCAACAACTCAATATCAGTTACACTATTACATAAATCAACGATCTCTGTCACGTCTAAAAATCTGATAATCTGGGATCACAAGTTCATTGTCTGAAATATCATTTGACAGCCATGTTTCAACAATGCAAATCACATCTGGAGATTCTGTTTCAGTTATAGCTCTCAATTCATCAATTTTTGGCAGTAGGCTACGTGCATTGTAGTAGACAATGTTCAATTCATTGCTGCAATTTTTTGGAGTCGGGTATGCTCCAGCTACTGCTCGAGGCTGTTGGCCAAAAAAGACATATTTCCTCCATTTGGAACATTGGAAGCATCAGAGGTAACTGGGGGTGTTCCCAGACTCTCGCATTCAAGTTGCGTTACGTTCAATTATGAGCTAATGAATTCCTAATGTAACTACAAAATTGAATATAAGATGAACAAATTGGATGAAGGGTATCTGATATGAGTTCATTAGTACTTATCGGAGTAACAAGATGACATGTTGTTGCAAGTATGCAGTAACACAGTTCAGCTATGAGAGGAGCATTATTGTGCATTGAACATGAAGGGGTGGAGTGTCTTGCTTTGATAATAGCTCAGAGGGATCCTTCAACCTAGAAATGAGAGTTCTCCTTTAATCCTGTGATGTACGAGATATTTGACGGATAGCCTGGAGGGATGGTATTACCGATTTAAAAAGATAGAAATGGTGAAATGATTATATTAGAAACATACCACTACTCTAGAGTGACTATGTATAGCTACCACACTCACATATTCTGTACGTTGTTCAATAGGCTGGAAGATTTGTTTTTAAAACTCTCCTTTATAACGAGCGGTGGGAAGGGGGTTGTAGTTGCTGAAGTGATGGAGTGAAATATGGCAATACAGGTAGCATGCTATCAAATAAAGCTTTCTTCCAGAGATGCAATGTTCATTGCGTAGAATTCTTGGAAAACTGTTTATGATCTGGTGATTGCAGTGCGTCTTTGAGCTGCTGGCAGTGTTTTGAGGTGTTGGTAGTTTTGTAACAGGGTTACGCTTTAGCCAATTGGACTTCTCATCAAATGACAATGCTGCAACCTCATCATCAGTGTAATAGACACCATACTGTCTAGCAATGGTTTGGATCATATCAGGGCACTTGAGGTCTGCTGCTGACAATGTGAAAAACCACGTTGGTGTGCCAAGCTGACGTATCATGGCTAGTAGGTCATAAAGTGTATGCTGGTAATATGGTGGGGAACCACGAATGTTTTTCATAAAGGAATAAGCTTTGTCTTTACGTACATACTGGCTTAACACAGTGTGATCTCTAGCTTGTGCTGCAGTAAACTGTCTAGAGGGCTTTTGTCTCCAGGCAAAGTTATTACCATCATCTAACACTTGTTTGGCTTCCACAATGTACTGGGCAACAAACAGATAATCAAGGTCTCTAGCAAATCTGCCGTCAACATCCAACAGTCTCTGATAGAAAAATTTTTCTGTAGGTTAGCTTTTTAGACCTTTCACTGCTAAATGTACCTTTAGCAAAGGGGAACTTTTCAGGATTGGACATGGCTTAAAAGTTAGAGTCTGTCATTATATTGAGTGGTTTCTCTCCTTCAGCTGGTGCTACACAAATGATTTCTCTAGAACTCTCAGGATTTTCAACATACATCGTGGTGGCCATAGGGGCACCACTGATTTGCCTTCTATGCTCATCCTCTTCAATTGTTGCATCGTCTATACTTTCATCAGCTACTGGGGGATTGGTATTGGCTTGTTCTGACACAATAGGACTATTTTGCTCAACACTGTAACCACAAACAGGGAGTTTGTCTAAACCAACATAATGGTACTGCAAGATAAGGCCCACAAATATCTCACACTCAGCACTGCAGCTGCCAGGGTGACTGAAAACATGAGATGATTGCTAGATAAAACACTGATTTTGACACTGAGCATATCAGCAATTGCCTGCATAGTTATGTGGTCACCCCAGGCTCCCTGTCTTAGACATCTCACATATTTCTGCCATCTAAGTTCAGTTTGCAATTGAGGGTCAGCTACACTGTCTATAAACTCATCTTCAGCAGTAGGCTGCTCTGTGTCTGCATTACAGTCATCATCCTCAGAGGACACAGGTTGGCACAGGAAATCACGATATAGAGCTACATTTGCTTCTAAATGGTCTACTACCATTTGTCTCAGTTGATTGCTGTTAGCACTGCATACACCATTAGCCTGTAGCTGATACGAGACAGAGCTGAACATACAGCCACCATCGTATAGTACATCATGAATGGTAAAACTGTTCTGATGGGCTAATGTTTTTAGCTGTTGTAAGGCTGTGGAAAACTCATTGCTATCATCAGAAATGCTCATTGGTTCATTCACAGCTACATTTGCAGGACCATTGCTCTCATGCTTCTCACGTTCAGTACCCACATTCTCGTCATCTTGCTCAACTAAATACTGGCAAAGCTCTTCATCATTAGCCATCACTTCTTCCACCCATTGTTCGTTAACATCAATGTCAGCATGCATACAGGGGGTTGTTGGCTTTCAGATATCTTAATTAAGAATGACGTAGCTGCTGTTACAGTGAAATATGAACGCTTTTTTATGGTCCCCTGGACTTCGAGGTTCCACTGTACTTGTAATGTCGCACACATTCGAGGCCAATAGTCTCAGGCAATGCTTCTTTGTCATTACGCTCCATTCCTCTCCCTCCCATGCAGCACCAGTTGTCAACATTAATTTTCTCAAGTAAAAAGCAAACATCATGAAGCTACAACAATAACTAAAAAAAGAACAGGAAGAAAAGGAACAGTTATTAATGAACAGTTAATTATGTGAAATCTTCAATATATATCTCTGTCTGGATTGAATGCAAGAGAGGCTATTTCAGCTCTCATCAAAGCTGTTTCGGTTGGGGGCTCTGTTTGTGCCATGGTTGTGACCAGTTCTCCTGACACCAACCAATACTAAAACCTGAGCAACAATAGATCCATCACAAAAATCATAATTTTGTAAAACACCACAGTCAATGCACCTCCCTAGAGGAGGTGACCCAAGTTCAACACGCGACTGACATCTAACACATACTTTAAAAGACTCTAGTTTGTAAACAGCAACAATTTTGGGCCTCTACGATATTACTGTCACCAACAACAATAGGCTGTACAGCCTCAACAACATCTTTTGCAGCAACAATCTCTGAACCCTCTCTAGACAATCCAAGATACTTCACGCCATCATACTCCCTGATCCGAAAAGATTGGAGGCTGTAGCTTTTACCCTCCTCCAAACTCCCAATGTGCTCTTCCCATAGCTGAACTGTGATACTGTCAGTATGATCACTCACAACAACATTTTGCTTGGTCTTAGACCCAAGAGTACTTGGTTTTTCGCACATCATCACTTTGACAGTTACAGACACCAGTGTATGAATGTCAGTTTTCTCAATGCCAGAGAGAGTAATCTCCACAGGTTTTACCACTTTGTAGTGATTTGGCGAAACAGAAAAGTGTTTCTCAGATGAGCAAATATTTGTGCACCCCTTCAGAACAATGTCGAGTTTGCTTGAATCCATAATCAACTTTTTTATTTGACAATCTTGAAAAAAAACAGGCTGCTTCATTGCCAGAAAATCATCCAGCTTCTTTTTTTGGACCGGTGAAAACCCAACAAACCGCAAGGTTTGGGTACCGTCACAAACTTCACCATCGGTTACCAGCACTACGTGATTTCTTCAGTGGTGAAAGACCGGTTATAACACCATGCAAATCAGCAGACACTGCCTCATCTTCAACTTTGCTATGGTCTGAATACTCCAACTTTCTTTTGGTCATGCTGTCTAGCAAATTACTGATGTGTCCGTAAGCAGCGTGCACTCCCTTAAATACCGTTAGACACTAAAACCGGGCCAGACCAGTTTAAAACTGGACTATACGTGTTCTAAAATCTATTTTTACAAGCACCCCTACACAAACTAACACGACTCTAAGCAAATGTACTACACGAACAAGCCGAAGAGTGCCTTTCACAAAAAAAGAGTTTTACATAGATTAGCCTCACAATTTACGTTCTTCTTGCTACATATACCACACAGTTTGCAAAACGTGTACACAGTTTGTAGTTAGCAAGTAGACCACATTGTCAAAAGCATTCACAAATCATACACTTTTACAATGAAACAAATTTGTGAACCTGTGAGCCCTATATACATTCCTATCAAGTTTCATCCAGTTGCTCAAATTTTGCATAAATCTGCTAATAGCAAAGACATAAAAGTGCTGAGTATTTCTGAAAATTGGAAACCGACTTTCACTTGCACGCTGTTGTAAGCAAATGCAAGGCAGGACATACTGACGGCCAAATATTCCAGCCCCATCCTCCGCTACCCACTGAGATGTAGGCTAGCCTGTGTTAGGCGACAACTGACGACGCATGGTCCAGCCCACCTACCTTTCAAAACTACGAACATTTTCCGCCGAGGGTTTGCACTTTTAGTTCTTTTCATTTGTAGTATAAGTTGAGTATTTTAATGGTGAATGTGTAATACTTCACCTAGGCAACAATGTAGGGATTATGTGATGGGGTCAGGGTGTGAGCGTACTCAAATGTGTTCATAAACTATGCTTCATGTATCCCATCCCTATCTTGTCTCCCTTTCTTTGTATACCATCCCTATATGCCTCTTATTTAAATTCGCAGGATTTTTAATTTACTTGTCTCCACTCATTTTTATATACTACTACGTATTATCTCTGTGGAAGGGGGCAAGCCCCCTATAAAAATTAATAAGAGAATGCCTGTCGTCATGGAAATGATGTAATACGTATGCGTACCAAGTTTGTGTGCAGCCGTTAGCAAGTTTGAGGAGTGAAGAAAGAAAAGGCTATTTGTCGTGGTTGTCATGAAAACGATGTAATACGCATGCGCACCAAGTTTCACCTCCATGTGTGGTACCGTTAGCGAGTTTGAGGAGTGAAGAAGTAATTTTAAAGAAAAGTGCCTGAGGCTATTTGTTGTTGTGGTCGTCATGGTAACGACGCAATACACATGCGCAGCAAGTTTCACATCCATGCGTGCTACAGTTAGCAAGTTTGAGTAGTTTTAAAGAAAATTGCCTGAGGCTTTTTCAAACAAAATGCAGTCGTCATGGAAACATTTAATTGTCATTGGAATGATATAATAGGCATACATACCAAGTTTCATTCTATGCATGCTACCGTTGGAAAGTTTGAGGGGTGAAGAAGTAAATTTAAAGAAAAGTGCCTGGGGCTATTTGTTGTTGTTTACAAACTTGTAGTTTCTGTTTCGATGAACTTTCATCATGGTAAATAAGTGTACCAAGTTTCATTGTTAGAGGACCAACCACGAGTAATTTATAGGCACAAACACATTTTACAAGTTTTTATTGCCTGAGGCTGTTTGTTGTTGTTTACAAACTTGTAATGTTTACATTTTGATACTAATGATGGGTTGCACGTGTGTACAAGGTTTTATCACACTGGGTATTAGGTTTACCGAGTTAGAACACTTTATTTGTCTCTATCATAATGTATTGCCTGGGGCTATTTGTTGTTGTTTACATGTAAACAAAATTGTTTACGAAGAAATAAAAATGCTCTTGCACGACCTGTCACGGATTCCAATGTCTGTGCAAAGTTTCATATGCATGTCTTACCCGGTTTTTGAGATACGCTTGTCTAAACTGAACAACAACAACGACAACAACAAGAAGAAGAAAATGTAAATGTGACTTTTCTAATAAATCAAGTTTATGCGATTTTAGCCATTTCTTGGATACATGCTCTTTGTGATGATACAAATTAGTCTGATGTGTCAAAAGTTGGATCTGATTGTAACTGAAAGTGAAACATGAAAATCTCAAATGTATGGACATAATGCAGGACAACCTGTGTCATCCCTATCACTAAGTACGGTAGTACTTAGTATACAAGTAAATAAAAAATCCTGAGGATAAAAAAAAGAGTGCATATAGGGATCGTATAAAAAGAAAGGGAGACAAGATAGGGATTGTGTTTGTGGAAGCACAGAGATGCTAGCGAGGAGTTAGGACTCCCACAGGTCATTACAACAGCCCTATATCGTCGTATCGGTGCTTTACTACTTCCTCGTGAATATATCAGCCAACCTTGCATACTTGAATTTTGTTTTCTTGCGTTACACAATTTTTCCATGTTTCCATGTATAAGCTTATACATCCAATGTTATGGTCAGCTGATTACACTTCCACCTAAATACGCACTCCATGGAAGTGTAGCATGACAAATCTATCAAAGGTAATAATTAGTAAGTACTTCATTACCTATAGCAATATTCTACAGACTCTCTCATCACTCCCACTCCCACCCTACGAAGAAGATTGAAAACTTTCCCTATCATACATCTATGATGCTAGGTACTCCCACCGTACGACGATATAGGGCTGTTGTAATGACCTGTGGGAGTCCTAACTCCTCGCTAGCATCTCTGTGCTTCCACAAACACAATCCCTATCTTGTCTCCCTTTCTTTTTATACGATCCCTATATGCACTTTTTTTTTAATCCGCAGGATTTTTTATTTACTTGTCTCCTCTCATTTTTATATGCCTGAGCTCTCACAGAGCTTGTTGTCTCTTTGCGCATGCCCATCAACCGCGCCCTATATACTCGCGTCACGTGGCCACAGGGCAACGGGTGTGCAACTAACTCAGCATCACGCGCGCGTGCTCGTGCGTGTCCCCAGGCGGCGGTTCGGAAAAAGTGGAGCGAGGATCATAGAGCTAGCATGCAGGCCCCAGTTCAGCAGCAGGGCAGCAGACTAGCAGCAGGAGCACCGAGAGGTGAGTGCATGCACACCATTTCGTGTAGCGCATCGTCATCCTCCAAACCTGTCACAGTCCTCCCGTTTGTCCCACAGAATGAAGTCGTCCATGGAAGATGGGGATGGGGAAGGGCCGCCTGGACGACTACTGTACTTAGTGATAGGGATGACACAAGTTGTCCTGCATCATGTCCATACATTTGAGATTTTCATGTTTCACTTTCAGTTACAATCAGATCCAACTTTTGACACATCAGACTAATTTGTATCGTCACAAAGAGCATGTATTCAAGAAATAGCTTAAATCGCATAATCGGTACTTGATTTATTCAAAAAGGTCACTTTTCAATTTTCTTCTTCTTCTTCTTGTTGTTGTTGTTGTTGTTGTTCAGTTTAGACAAGCGTATCTCAAAAACCGGGTAAGATATGGATATGAAACTTTGCACAGATATTGGAATCCATGACAGGTCGTGCAAGACCATTTTAATTTTTTCGTAAACAACAACAAATAGCCCCAGGCAATACATTATGATAGAGACAAATAAAGTGTGCTAACTGGGTAAAGCCCATACCCAGAGTGATAAAACTTTGTACACACATGCAACCCATCATTAGTATCAAAATGTAAACATTACAAGTTTGTACACAACAACAAACAGCCTCAGGCAATAAAATCTTGTAAAATGTGTTTGTGCCTATAACTTGCTTATGGTGGATCCTCTAACGATGAAAGTTGGTACACTTATGTACCATGATGAGAGTTGATTGAAACAGAAATTACAAGTTTGTAAACGACAACAAACAGCCTCAGGCAATAAAAACTTGTAATTAGTGTTTGTGCCTATAAATTACTTGTGGTTGGTCCTCTAACAATGAAACTTGGTACACTGATTCACCATGATAAAGAGTTAACCGAAACAGAAATTACAAGTTTGTAAACAACAACAAACAGCCTCAGGCAATAAAATGATGTTTGTGCCTATAAGTTGCATATTGTGGGTCCTCTAACAACGAAACTTGGTACAATGATTTACAACGATGAGACTTCATCGAAACATAAATTACAAGTTAGTAAACAACAACAAATAGCCTCAGGCAATAAATACTTGTAAATTATGTTTGTGCCTGTAACTTGCTTATTGTGGGTCCTCTAACAATGAAACTTGGCATGCTGCTTTGCTATGATAAGAGTTCATTGAAACACAAATTACAAGTTTGTAAACAACAACAAACATCATCAGGCAATTAAGTGCTGTTTTCCTATAACTTTGTACACTTATCTAGTTTGAAAAATGTAGATGACGACTAACAGACCGAGGCAATAAATACATGTTACTTTTTATATGGGCATTATGCCCCAATGCATGTGCATGCCGTAAAAAAAGGAAAGGAGACAAGTAAATAAAAAATTCTGCGAATTAAAAAACTGTGGAATAGGAGGGACAAAAAGCAAGGAGACAAGACAGGGATGACCTAGTGTATGTGATGCAGTAGTAGAATCGATGATGGTTACATCTTCAAACTTACATTGCTTGCTCGTGTAAATCTTCCTCCACACAAGCCCTATATTGTCGCCACTTTTCTCACAACATGAATTTGTTTAGTGTGAGGACAATGGTGAGGCTGAGACACATCGATCCACTCGTGCATAAGAAACGAGTCATAGCTGCACATCATACAATAGAGATCACTCGTGCTAGCAAGAGATTTTAATGACAGTGCATTTAGCCGCCACTCTTTAGTCGAGTCCCCTCTCTCAAGAATAAGGGATTTTCTGGCGGGCCATGAACACAGCATTGTAAAACTCATCGTTTGTTGAGCGAACATAGAAGTCTTAGACTGCACACAATGCAGTCACACCCAAAAACTGAGGAGCTGTCAGAGAGGGCAACACCTGTGTATCACGTGCTTAAGAGATGAGTCATTCTATGAGGGAACACAGTCATGCTTTGCGACAATATAGGGCTTGTGTGGAGGAAGATTTACACGAGCAAGCAATGTAAGTTTGAAGATGTAACCATCATCCATTCTACTACTGCATCACATACACTAGGTCATCCCTGTCTTGTCTCCTTGCTTTTTATGGCATCCCTATATTCCACCGTTTTTTAATTCGCAGAATTTTTTATTTACTTGTATACTAAGTACTACCGTACTTAGTGATATACTAAGTACTACCATACTTAGTGATACATCGTTGAGATTCTGAAGGGGTTGACTTGACTTCAGGGTCTCTCTCTGTAGCCGATTTCAGGGCGGGGTTCACGCGCATAAACTCCACCTCCTTGGTATTTCTTCGAACGCGGTTCTGCAGAGTTTATGTCGTCCCAAACCGCTTCTTGAGAACTTCCGTGGTGTACAATAACCGTCCGTGTCTTTGGAGGGATTGATTGGAACGATGTGGCGGAGCCGATGGAAATGTTAGAGGTCATGGACAGTGCAGGATACTCGTGGGAGGAGGTAAAGCCTCCGTCGCCATCTCCTCCTTCCGCAGAGAATGCCCGTCTCATACCTCCAGATCCTGTCTTGGTAAGGACCGAGCACGTTGTCGTTGAGAGGATGTAGGTGGTGGGCCTTGGACTACATCTAAATCAGCAGAACACGGGGTTGTAAATGGAGGTTGTTGGGTCATAGTGGGGACCATGTACTGCATTCTTTTGTCACATTCCTGAATTTTTTCGGTTACCACCTAGGACTAGTGTAATAGGCTAGGACCCGGACCTTTAGGATGCTTGCTGCCCAGATGGATCATGATCGGAGCCGGACCTCGTCTGGGGCTAGGGCTAGAGCATTGACAAACTCAACCAATTGATGCCCTAGTCCTAGCCTTAGACAAGGTCCGGCTCTGATCATGATCCATCCGGGTGGCAAGCAAAGTAAGGTGCGAATAGCACTTGCCTAAAGAATGCATGTAGTACGCAGACTCCACACTATGACCGTTTGTTTGTACTAGGAAAGTACACCCCTTTTCTGTTACACTTCACAAAAGGGTTTAGAGCTAGTGTGAGTGAGTATGTCTCTGTGTTACCAGTTCCCATTCTATTGTATGGCCATAACTACCTGACAAAAGATAACCTGTATCTGTGAGTTAACTTGTGCACTTTCTCCTACAGGATGGCACATGTTCTAAGTACTACTTACATATTCAACATCGTGTGGTAGTAGTATTTACATAAGTTGACTTTAAGTCGATGAAATGTGACTTTGCTGTGAACAGGTGTCGATGAGCATTTGCTTTAATTTTGCAGTTTAGTTTGCTAATGGGGTGGTCTGTCAATTTTCCAGGTTAGCAGGTGTAGCCATCAAATATTTATGAAGACTTTCAGTTGGCCTCCTCAAGTTGCCTCACAGATATAGGCAAGACTCAGGAGCATCCTTAAGCATTACGTGTCCACTCTAGTCTACCAATATAAACTGTAAATTCTTCCCCATTGCTGCCATAGAACCAAAAATGTTCACAGCGTTTTAACCCACTGTGGTGTTTTACGTAATTAATATATGCCAAACAGGTTTGAAATTGTGCTGCACGTGTGCGTGCATCCTGGCACGAAGTGTGCTGTCCATTTGTAGGTTGTGCTACGTGTTTGTCACCAAGGATAATGGAGAGGAGTACTAACTGACAGTGTGAAGCATAATTATCTCTCTGCTTTCCATTCTCATTGTTAACCCTCGGTGAGCATGCGCAGCAAGGGTTACGGTAGTCGTTCTGTGTGTCTGTCTGTCTGAGGTGGCTTATGAGCGATACCAACAGCTTTAGCGGTACATGGGCTAGAAAAATATAATGGCGATTTTGCTGAAATGACTGTGTTCGACAGCGACAAACGGGCACGGTCACGGACCGCGTTGCATGGCCCAACCTATCAATAAGCGGTGCGCATGCATATATTAGACGCGATCAACGCAGTAAACTGGCTCACCTCGACCTGATCCGCTTGCTCTGTGTACCTTGGAGGCACAAGAAGCCATAGCGAAGGATGTGTATCACCTCCCGCATGCTATCTACTACCGTAGCTAGCCCGTGTCAGACTCTCCGTGAGCTACGTACTAGCGGGAGGCCGCAAGTAAACGCCAATAGCCCAGCCTATCCATTAGAGGTACTGTGCATGCGCAGTTCGCCGAGGGTTTGCACTTTAGTGCTTTTCATTTTAGAATCACACATCCGTACACGCCTCACTTAACTGTTTCATGCATGGTGTTCAGATCAACACCTGAGATGCCGTTTTGGGCTCGCTCCTGCTTGCCAAAAATTAGCTGCATTCGCTGGCTACTACTTGTACACTCGCTGTGCCTTGGTGGCAACTAACACAGTATAGCTTTAATGCTGTATAATGGCAAGATTAAAATAGAACGTACTGCCTTAAAAGTTTTGTAGAAGGCAAGTAGTGACCAATGTGCAAGTTTTACTGGCTGGCTGTTGGTTAGCTGAAGAGGTTTATTGCAGTATTACTTATGATGCAACTACATACCCTGGATCCATCTCTAATGGGGCTGTGGGTATTTATTGACATGTACATGTGCTATAATGCACCAACTGCACATTCCCAAAGGTTTACACCTCTGTGCCGTTATTACTACACGTCTGTACTTTTTACGTTTTGTTATTTTGCTTGAGCAGAACGCTTGTTTACATTAAATGTGTTTTGCTTGCCTCGTTCCCATGCCATTTTTATTTGAAGAGACAAAATAGCTTGACACCATCTCTTTGCTCATTCAAGTATTCCGTGAAATATTCGTAACTGCTTTGCACATAAGCCCAAACATGAGCACAAGGTGTGTTTCACTTGGTAGAAAGTAATTTCCTTAAACGACTGCTTTCAAGAGATACGGCGCAAACCAGTGAAGTAAGCAACTCTGTTAACCTGCTTACCTAAAAATTGCCTGTTCCACGGCACCAGAGGAGGCACAATGTTCCTCGTAGCCAATCCAGCGTTGTTCCAAGAAGACCTAACTGGTGTTTATAGTGAGAAACTGACATTTTCAGTGCGCGACTGTGTGGCATGCCATCTTCCCACTTTTCTGGAAAGGAGGCATAAGTCAGTCCTTTTGAATGGCACATCATCTCCGCTGTGCATGTGTACAACAAAGGTTAGTGAGTGTTTTTCTCCCTCTCTGCTACCATTTTGTCTGTCAACAAGCTGGCCAAAGAGTGATACTAACAGGCTTGAATTACGCCAGTGTGATTTATACCTACATAATTCCTAGTACAAAGGTGTGGCATTAGAAACAAATGAATAAGCTAAACTATACTGATTAGCACTGGCTGACCTCAACCAGAATCATTGTTAACCCTCAGCGCGCATGCACTGCGAGGGTTACTGTACTTGGTCGGTAAGTTTGTCTGTCTGTCTGTTACCGCAACGACACACAACGAGACAACGAAAGAGCGATACCAACAGGTTCATCGCTACACTGTATTCATTTTAAAAAAGACGATTTTCGTATAACTACGGCGTTCAAAAGTTATGGCGTGAAAAGCAAATTAACAAGCCAATGTGCTAATTAGTATTCGCTTACTTCTAGGAAGCGAGAAATAAACGCATGCGTGTGTTACACTGGCGGGTTGCGCACAATGATCACGTGTTTTTCGCCGTAAATGGCACCGTTGAGTGGCCATGGTTTGAGGGCAGCGCTCGAGGATATTTCTTGTCGTTTCTGGTGCAAATTCTTATTTGAGCTGGCAATCAGCACTCGTCTACATTCCGAGCGTTGTAGGCTGAGGGGACTGACCGATGGAGAGCGCGATAGACGCCTGAAGATGTCTGCAGTGTGGCACAACAGTACTCGGTGGCGTGGAACCACGCATGTGACACATAGCCCAAACCACAAACCACATACGTGGTTCCATGCCGCCGAGGGTTTTGCACTTTAGTGCTTTTCATTAACCCTCGGCACGCATGCGCAGCGAGGGTTGCAGTACTTGGTTTGTCTGTCTGTGTGTCCGTTCACGTTTTCTGCCACTAGACGCATCAAGATCACCAAAACTCTACACCAACGGGTTCGGCGCTACATTTGCTTGATTTTAAAACTGGCGATTTTCGTACAAACACTCCGTTCAAAAGTTATGGAGTGAAAATGAAGTGAACAAGCCAATATGCAAATTAGCACGGGCTTACCTCGACAATATGTGCTTGATTTGCGTACCTTGGAGGCACAAGATGTCACAACGAAGGGCGTGTATCGACTCCCACATGCTATCTACTACTGTAGCTAGCCCGTGTCAGACTCTCCGTGTGCTACAAGCGGGAGACCACGAGTAAATGCATACTATGGCCCAGCCCATTAATTAGCGGTATCGCGCAAGTGCAGTTCGCTGAGGGTTTGCACTTCAGTGCTTTTTCATTACAACAGTATTGAGTCTCGCATAACCTATAATGCCTATGTACCTATACATGCAGCTGGTGTGAGATGCCATGCATAAATCGACCGCATGGCCTATCCAGGCAATAATTGGATGTGTATGCGTATTGGCATATTCTCACACATACATACTTTTAGTGCTCTGAGGGTTTGTGCTTTAGTGCTTTTCAATGGTTTATGCCTCTAATCTTAATCGTGATGTTTTGTGGTTGACAAAGTTTCTTTTGTGTCCATGTGTACCTTCTTTGCTAGAAACCTCAGCAACTCTGCGGCCACCTGAGTAAAGCTACCAGAGGGCCGATAAAGACATGGAAGAGTAGATGGTATGTTTTGTGAATAACAAGTAGTACTAGGCAGCGAACATCAAACTGTGTTTGTGAAGCGTATACTGCTAATGAGTATTATAGCATCCGTGTTAGTACAGCAGGCATGGGGAAATACACACAGTGTGCGAATAACAGAGAAAGTACAGCAAAAGCAGTGTTAGAAGAGCATATGCTCAGCTAGTCTAACATGAGTTTAGAAGTCATTCTGGGATGAGTGCTCACCTTGCTGAAGCAGAGAAGAAGCATGCATGCAATGTCAAAGTTATTCACAGGTCACATAATAAACAAATCAGCCTGCTATCATGAGTAACGTAGGTTGTCTTTTTAGCTCGCTCCTGCTAACTGATTATGCTGGAGTATGTGACAGTGGATGCAATAAGCACTTTTATCTACAACTATGTTGCTATACTTTAAGATACATCAGGTGAAAAACACCAAGATACTGTCTCAGGCCAAAACATGACATTCGGTGTGGTTTCTGCATGTGTATATACACTTCACATATGCTATTATGCAATTTTTCAAAGGTTTGTCTTCGAGGACCACCGATGCTGTCTTTTTTACTACAATAGCCAGGCTGACTTCACTCCTCAAGGGTATGCCTTTGTGGTGATTTGTTTTGTGTCAGTGAACATTTGATTAATTTAATCGTGAGTGAGTTAAGGCTAAACCTGTATAGGTGGGATATTGAAGCTTAATTCGGGGTGGGAGAGGGACCACATTGACGCTACGTTTGTGCCTCAGTGGATTGTATAAAAGCTAGAAGAATGTAAGACATTTTGGGCAAGTGGACCGCATTTAGAAAACAAAGAGTAACTGTCAACCCTCAGCGCGCATGGATAGCAAAGGTTACAGTACTTGGTTTGTTTCCACGCTTTTTCTGAAACAACAGGCTAGGAAGCAATCTAAGAGTGATACCAATGGCTTCAGAACTACCACAGCCTCCACAATAAAAAGGTGTTTTCTGGAAACGACTCATTTCAAAAGATTCGGCTTAAATAATCGAAAATGCCAATATACGTACATAATCAGCACATATATACGTATTGTATAAGTAAATAAAAAATTCTGCGAATTAAAAAAAGTGTGGAATATTGGGATGCCATAAAAAGCAAGGAGACAAGACAGGGATGACATGGGCATGTGATGCAGTAGTACAATAGGATGATTGTTACATCTTCAAACTGACATTTCTTGCTCATGTAAATTTTACTCCACACAAGCCCTATATTGTCGCCACTCTTACTCATGACATGAATTTTGAATAGTGTAGTGTGAAGACTGGCAAACGAATTCTGTAGGGAAATCAGCATTGTAAAACTGGTTAGTTGAGCGAACATTGAAGTAAACACAGTCACGATTCAAAACTGAGGACCTGTCAGAGGGCATTTGCTACCATTCTTACGTGCATAGGAAACGAGTCATAGCTGCACATCATACGATAGAGATCACTCGTGCTTTGCGACAATATATTATAGGGCTTGTGTGGAGTAAAATTTACATGAGCAAGAAATGTCAGTTTAACAATCATCCCATTGTACTACTGCATCACATGCCCAGGTCATCCCTGTCTTGTCTCCTTGCTTTTTATGGCATCCCTATATTCCACACTTTTTTTAATTCGCAGAAATATTTTTTTTTTGTCTCCTTTCCTTTTTTTACGGCATGCACATGCATTGGGGCATAATGTCTCTATAAAAGTAACATGTATTTATTGCCTCGGACTGTTAGTTGTCATCTATATTTATATTTCACTTCCAAAGTAAATAAGTGTACAAAGTTATAAGAAAAACAGCACTTAATTGCCTGAGGCTGTTTGTTGTTGTTTACACAAACTTGTAATTCATGTTTCAATGAACTCTTATCATAGTAAATCAGTGTCAAAGTTTTATTGTTAGATGACCCAAAATAAGCATGTTAGAGGCACAAACATCATTTACAAGTATTTATTGCCTGAGGCTGTTTGTTGTTGTTTACAAACTTGTAATTTCTGTTTCGATGAACTCTTCTCATGGAACATCAGTGTACCAATTTTCATTGTTAGAGGTCCCACCATAAGCAAGTTATAGGCAATAATATAGTTTACAAGTTTTAATTGCCTGAGGCTCTTTGTTGTTGTTTACAAACTTGTACTTTCTGTTTCAATCAACTCTCATCATGGTACATCAGTGTACCAAGTTTCATTGTTAAAGGACCCACCATAAGCAAGTTATAGGCACAAACACATTTTACAAGTTTTTATTGCCTGAGGCTGTTTGTTGTTGTTTACAAATACATTTTGATACTAATGATGGGTTGTATATGTGTACAAAGTTTTATCACTCTGGGTATTAGCTTTACCCAGTTAGCGCACTTTATTTGTCTCTATCATAATGTATTGCCTGGGGCTATTTGTTGGTAAACATAATTTTTTTACGAATAAATAAAAATGCTCTTGCATGACCTGTCATGGATTCCACTCTTTGTGCAAAGTTTGATCTCCATATCTTACCTGGTTTTTGAGATTCGCTGAACAACAACAACAAGAAAATTGAACAGTGACTTTTTGGAATAAATCAAGTACCGATTATGCAATTTAAGCTATTTCTTGGATACGTGCTCTTTGTGACGATACAAATTAGTCTGATGTGTCAAAAAATAGAAAGTGAAACATGAAAATCTCAAATGTATGGACATAATGCAGGACAACCTTTGCCGTCCCTATTATGACAAGCGAATTAAAAATCCTGCGAATTTAAAAAAGAGGCATATAGGGATGGTATAAAAAGAAAGGGAGACAAGATAGGGATGGGATACATGAAGCATGGTTAATGAATAGATTTGAGTACGCTGACACCCCCAACCCCATCACACAATCCCTATATTGTTGCCTGGTGTGCTACTCTTATAGGGGCTAAAAGCAAGCATTCTTTCACCGTGTCCCTGTTGTTTTTAGTAACATTTTTACTGCCACATTCCCTTTAATTAAACTCCACTTGGACTCTATAAAGGTGTTGGTTACTCAGTAGTGTATTGTAAGTTCTGGGTATTGTAATAGTGAATGTTTAATACTTCACCTAGGCAACAATATAGGGATTGTGTGATGGGGTTGGGGGTGTCATTGTACTCAAATCTGTTCATTAACCATGCTTCATGTATCCCATCTCTATCTTGTCTCCCTTTATTTTTATACCATCCCTATATGCCTCTTTTTTTAATTCGCAGGATTTTTAATTTACTTGTCTCCATTCATTTTTTATATACTACGACGTATTATCTCTGTGGAAGGGGCCAAGCCCCTATAAAAAAATTAATAATAGAGAAAAAATGCCTGTTGTTGTCATGGAAATGATATGCATACCACGTTTCATCTCCATGTGTGCTGCAGTTAGCAAGTTTGAGGAGTAAAGAAATAATTTTAAAGAAAAGTGCCTGTGGCTATTTGTTGTTGTGGTCGTCATGGAAATGATGTTAGACACATGCGTACCAAGTTTCACCTCCATGCGTGCTACAGTTAGCATGTTTGAGGAGTTAAGAAGTAATTTTAAAGAAAAGTGCCTGAGACTATTTGTTGTTGTGGTTGTCATGGAGACGATGTTACACACATGCGTACCAAGTTCCATCTTCATGCGTGCTACAGTTAGCAAGTTTAAGGAGTGAAGAAGTAATTAAAGATTGCCTGAGGCCTTTTCGAACAATATGTGGTTGTCATGGAAACATGTAATCATGATGGAAATGATATAATAGGCATACTTACCAAGTTTCATCTCTATGTGTGCTACCATTGGAGAGTTTGAGGAGTGAAGAAGTAAAAAGTGCCTGAGGCTATTGTTGTTTACAAACATATATTGTTATAGTTGTGATATTTGTGATTGGATACATTATGTCTACAAAGTTTCGTTCACATAGCTCTTACCATTTTGTGAGTTATACTGACGCATGTGATCCCATTATATTGCATTGCCTGGGGCTATTTACAGTAAACAATGTTGTTCGCAAAAGAAATAAGTATAACCAGTCTCTTCGGGTGATGGATATCTATATTCTCTCAAAATTTCATTACTTTATGTTATTTATTTTTTTGAGTTGTGGGTGTTGAATCTGAAGAAGAAGATGAACAGCCTGGGTTCTTTATGGCAGAGCATTAAGGCACAGGGCAGAAGTGACAAATGACCTGAACTGGTCGGTGGTCAGCACGTCCCTGTTCAATCTCAGTTCTTGGGGGAGGGGTTGCTGTGAAGCTATGTGCAGAGTGTGCTTAACGTGAACAGCACACTGTAAAGTAGTGCCCTCGGCGGGTGCTAGTATGTAACAACAACGAGTTAGCAAGGTTAAGGCAGAGCAAACAAGGCAACTACACCGAGGACAGCTCTTTTCAATGAAAAGAAGAAAAGCTGCCCTGGGTGGGATTTAACACGCTGTCTACCAGGGCAACTCAGCTGGTAGGGGTTAAAATCTTCAATACAAGACAAAGACAAACATCAACCCATTGTGCTATGGCACTATTCTCGCTGGGTAGGCATGCTGGTGCATTCTTCTGCAGTTCATCCTGACATGGCATATGATCCAGCTGGTGGACGAGGCATGTACACTCCACAGGGGATTTTCCCCCTCTTCAATGCCCCGAGTAGGAACCGCTGCAGTTTCCAGCACTGCAAGTTTGCTGATTTTGCCGAATAAATGACAATCCTAAATTTGTCAGTAACTTAGTGTTACCCCCTCCTGTGTGCATTTTGCGCAAATCCATGGGTGGGCTTGGCTGCAGTTATATTTTTCTGCAATGATGTTAGGGAGCAATGAAGCTATTTTTTTCAAAGCAAGTTTTGGTATGTAGAAGGTTCCGTGGCTGCTGTATCTTATGCTACAATTATTACCTGTTGCTAGGTCGTTGCTATGTTTATTTTAGCACAATAAATCAGCTACCCACCCAAGAGGGTGAGAAGGTGAGAATATCCACTGTGGTTAGGGTAAATAACTAAGGAATGGTGTGAATATCCACTGTGGTTAGGGTTGGGTATCAATGTTCTTATGTCGACGCTGACAGATCGAGGGAGGATTGAGGGAGTGAATGGCAGAGGCTTTCCGTTTGGAAGTCGAGGGTTGGGATTCTGAGACGTCGCTGCAAGGCTCCGCGTCCGAGAGTAGCGCTCCTGGGGACGGGCCGTTGGCATCGAAAAGGCGTAGGCACAAACTTCTTGCTGAGAGCCTCGCTCTTTGCATCATCTAAAAATTCAAACCTCTCTGTAGCTGCGGAAGTAGTGCACGTAGCCCTCTTCCTTGTCAGAGAGAGCCTACGCCTTTTAGATGGTGACGTCCCGTCCCCAGGAGCGCTACTCTCGGACGCGGACTAGTCTTGCCGCGACGTCTCAGAATCCTAACCCTCGACTTCCAAACGGAAAGCCTCTGCCATTCGCTCCCTCGATCTGTCAGCGTCGATCGTGTTTGCCTGGATAAGCGGCGTACGATAGAACGGCACGTTATGCATGCACAGGTTCACGCGCATCGCCTTATTTGGGTGGATGCGCCATTTTCGTGCGCGGTTTCCCCAGCAACGACCAATCAACGGTAATAAACATTTTATTACACCTTTTGGAGTGGTGTTGCTGTTTTACCCGCCCGACTCCCTGAGGGTGCATATGTCACAAGTAATGGCGTGTATCGACCACATGCTATCTAGCGTAGCTAGCCCATGTCAGCCTCTCTGCAAGCTACCGTGGAGACGAGTAAGCGCATAGTACTCTTGGCCCAACCCATCAGTTAGGAGTACCGCCCATATACCTTGCGCCGATGGTTTGCACATTAGTGCTTTTAATTAACCCTCGGCACGCATGCGCAGCGAGGGTTATAGTACTTGGTCTGTCCGTCCGTCTGTCAGACTTACCTTCTGCCACCACGCACATTTTAAAATGGTGATTTTCGTTAAAAGTGCCGCGTTCAGAAATTATGGCGTGAAAACCAAGTGAACAAAGCCAATATGCTAATTAGCAGAGGCTTACCTCGACCGGGTCCGCTTGTTCTGTAGATGTTGAAGGCACAAGAAGTCGCAACAAACGATGTGTATCGACTCCCGCATGCTATCTACTACTGTAGCTAGCCCATGTCAGACTCTCCGTGAGCTACTAGCGGGAGACCACAAGTAAATGCATACTATTACAGCCCAACCCATGAATTAGCGGTACCATGCATGCGCAGTTCGCCGAGGGTTTGCACTTTAGTGCTTTTCATCATTCAATTAGCATCACACGCATGCACATTCCTTGTATACTTTTCGTTCCCTTGTAGCTTTGAAGCTGGTATCGCTTATAGGCCGCTTTCTTAGATACATGGACAAACACACAGACAGTCGAAGCACTGTAGCACGTTTTTGCTGCTAAGGGCTAATGAGAACTAGCAAAAAATACAAACCACACATGGAGAAAATGGGAGATATGCTTTTTTCGTGAGAGAATTGTAGCTCAGTGTTTTGTGTTATAGACTCCCTGTCACTATGCCTGGGATCCCTGGATGTTGTACTTGTTTAATTAAGTGCCCCTTTTCCATTGCAGCTGTATCAACATCAGCAATGCAGTGTTTTCATACTCGGCAGAAGATTCTGCAAAGTTTCAGTTTGAAATCAGAGCGGATGGTCGAGTACACTATCTACAGGTATATGCATACAGCAATTCCTAGTTCTACACTGTCATAGTTAACAAAGGTTTTTAGTTTTACTGTTGACAAAACACCTAACATTCAGTGTTTGATCCATGCATACATACGAAGGACGGGGTCGCATTTGATTCGTTCATACCCTTGTGCCCCGTCGAAACTGGCCACTTGTGTACGACCTGTACACTGCATACAAGCAAAGCTGTCATGTAAGGTGTTTGTGTGATAACTTTAACTGATAAAACTCTGAGAAATTATATTCCACAAAAGCTTTTAAAATGCCCTTTTTTCATGAGCACCAATTGACCACTCATGTACAACCCCATTTACTACAAGAAAGGCTATTGTATAATGTGTTTGTGTGATGACTTCTGGCCATAAGACTCTGACCAACGAGATTCCACAAAGTTTTTATAATGCCCTTTATTGCACACTTATCACAGCAGTATATGTATGTAGTTGTCAACAGTAGACAGACTGAGAGAGATGGCTGTGAATAAGGACATAATTATGGCACGCATTCGTTTCAAACTCTGAGATGGTGGCTGCATCCTGTAACTTTATACACCGCCGTGTAAAAATGTCAACGTGGTGTAAAAATATTTACACCACGCTCTGTAAAATTATGCCTGGTATTAGTTCCAAGACGTTTGACGTAAGGTCTGTGATCTGGGAACGAGACTTTCTTTTCTTTTGTAGCCTCCACTGAAAGGGAGTAGCTTATTGGGGGGGCAAAAGTTGGGTGGCAGCCAGAGGAACCTTGCGCTCAATGGAGATCGTAAACGAACCAGTAATCTTCCTCTGCTGAGCGGGGTCATCGATCCAGTCAACCACTAGGACTCTGCAAGCTTCACTGCATCAGTGCCCAAAAGCAGAGCGATGGTGCCTAGATATTGGGCGGAGCTGTCGCGTGCTGATGAAAGGGCAGGGCACAGGGAGATGAAGTGTAGCCAGTTCCACAGAGTTTGGACGAGCTGTCGGCGGGCGAGCTGTTGCTGAATCTGGAGACCTCTGCTTCCAGCCCGTAGCAATTTACTAGGAGACGGATCCGAGTGTTGTTGCACTTGGTTGTACGCTGGAAGCCTCTGCAGATTGTGAGATGGGGGATTGGTCTCCCTAGCTTAAGAGTGGAACACTGGGCAAGAGGGAGGTGGTTACAGTCTTCAACAAACTCAGAGTAAGATCTGCCATCCTTCTTTTCCAGTGATGATCTCCATTGGTGGTAGACCATACTCTTGTACTAGGGACTGGAGATGTGGGATAATGCTGCTTAGACACAGCTGATAGTGCGGAGAGTCAGAGGAGAGGGATGCTGAGGGAGCCCATGATGTGAAGGAGAGCTTTGGTGTTGCAGGCTATTGGGAGGCGGACGATAGTGATCAGAATTTTTCGGTGGACACGCTCTAACATCAGGAGTTCGGTTTTTGTTATGTGCCATAATTCGCTTCCGTACTGTAGGATTGGCGGGTAGAAGATCTTTTATAGCCTTTGCGTTGTGACAGGGTGCAGACAGCCAAACCTAGAACCCACTGCATTGCAGCTGAAAAAAAGCACTCCTCCCAGCACTGCAGTGCTCAGAGGTGCATGCAGATGACGATGGAGAGACTGTACGGAGAATCCCAAGATGGTGCTGGCTGCCTTTCTCATGGATCTTCTCACCAGAGACAAACCACTACCGTAGATGGCGGTTCTTCGCACGAGAAGCTGGAGGTTCCCCGATTACGACTATGCAGTGGTACCAGTTGTGAACTATCATCCATAAATACTTGGGAAACTCGAACTTAGGTGGCTTTAGGAGCAGACCATTGTGCCACACTGTATAAAATGCCTTCTTCTCATCTACGAACTCCACATAAGCTTCCTTCTGATCACGTAACAAGCGGATAGCCTCCTGGAGGACGAATGCAGTATGTCATTCTGGGCTTAAAACCACCTTTTAGTGGGTGGATCAGTGCCTATTGAGTGGAGACACGAGTCAGGATGTGTTTCTCAAAAACTTTACCGATGGCTGATAAAAGGGTTATGCCTCTGAAGTTGGAGGGGTTTGACAGATCAGAATTCCTCCGCTTGGGGACGGGGACGATGAGGCCTTGATAGAATATAGATAGGAGTGGCTGGGAAGAGTCAGCAATGGTGGCAGCTGACATAGAAGGAGATTGCAGCTGAGAATTGCCTGCTGGAGATAATTCAGATGAGGTTGGGGTTGATACTGATCCAATAGAAGTGGAGGACGAGGGGATCAACAGCTAAGAACGGCAGGAACTTCTCGGAAGGTCGTGCATGCGCTTAAACCACTCAGCCAAACCCAATTATTACAACCCAATTAAGCGTACGCGCTAAAACATCAACATACACGAAATACTGGTGTATCGCTGTAACCTATCGCGTGTTCGCTTGTCCATTTTACCACGAATTCTGTGCGCATGTGTCCTCCTGCAGCAACGCAACGAGCCCTTCCCACCTTTTGCAACGGTTTTTCATCTACACTGCTGCACATGGATTGGATAATAATGCCCGCTCGCGGGAAACCTTCGCCTCTTCAATATCTGCAAACTATGTCTCTTCTCCAGCTTGGCCAGATTATATTTGGTGGGACACCACGAATCATTGCCTATCTTCGACAACATAAGTTGCTGGCAACCACAATGGATTGCACAGACATTTACAGCATGTAAATCATGAAGAAATTGCAATGCATGCAGGTGTCCAAATACTCCGATGATTGAGCGGCCGTGGGAAGATGTGTCAGATGGGGTTAGCTGGTATTGCCCGCAATGCTATACAAGAAAGAGCACCAGAAAAGATAGCTTTTTTTAGAAATCACGACTCCCACTGCAGAAGTGGGTGATACGGATGTACATGTGGGTCAGGCAATATCCAGTCACAGATGCCTGCAAAGAGGCTGAAGTTGGGGAGCATACAGCCATTTACATCTACCAATGGCTGCGGGAAGTTTGCTCCCAGGCCCTCTTGAATGGTCCACCAATAATACTCGCAGGCCAGCAGACTGTGGTCGAGATACACGAAAACCTCTTTCGCCACAAACCAAAAGTAAGAAAAAATGTAAAATTAAGCATGATTCACTATAAAGACACTGTAGCACCATCGTGGCAGAGCAGCAACTAGAGAGGTGTAGGTGTTTGGGCTGGTGGATACGTCCCACACACTGGCGTTGGGCTACATGGAAGTGGTACAAGACGAATGTTGCTGCACATAGTGTGGTAAACCACTCCCTCAACTTCGTAGAGCCGGTGACAGGCGTCCATACGCAACATGTGGAGAGTTATTGGTGTCGTGTGAAGACCAAACTGAAGCGCATGCGAGGATGCCATGCCCACCAACTCCCAAGCTATTTGGATGAGTTCCTATGGAGTGAGAAGTTTGGGCAGACTGCTAGAGATGCACTGCATAACGTAATGACAAACATAGCTCAGCAGTATATACCCTGTGTGAGAACTATGAACAGAGTAAATGTCTCCTTTTCATATTGTCCTTGTACAAACATTTCTCCACGTTTGTGTAGCTATATTCCCTTAGATTTATCCGATTTATACCCTCACCCTTCCGGATATCCACCTTTTCATTATTTTTTTGGTCTTTGTATCCTGTCTAGATCTTGTTATTTCACCATTCCCTGCGCTTCTATCCTCTGCCAGTCCCGGAGGTCGTCCTTCTCGGAGTGTGCACTATTTAGAATGGACAAGCGCACGCGCAATAGTTTAGAACGGTACACCAGTATTTAGTGTATGTTGATGTTTTAGCGCATGCGCTTAATTGGGTTGTAATTAGTGGGTGTGGCTGAGTGGTTTAAGCACATGTGTGATCTTCGCAGAAGTTCCTGCCATTCTTAGCAGTTGATCCGGAGGGAGATATGGATTGTTCATAGTGCATTTGTAATAGCGACAAGGCTGCAGATGGGTTTGCAGGTAGGTTGTGCAGACTGGGACGAGCAGCTTAGAGGTTGACAGCTAACTGAAGCTCAGGGGGTAGTGTAATTAATGGTTGGTCAACTGGGGAGGGAGGCCGCTGTGCGGGGAACCCAAGCCTCTCTGGCTGGCACTTATAGATGGGTCAGTTGCGGATGAAGTTAGCCTTTGTGTTGGTAATGCTGACAAAAATTATGCCTGGGAATACGCACTATCATGTTTTTGCTTGGGTTAGCACCTTTCTTCCCTTTGGAAGTCACTGCGCAGCAGAGATGACAGGAAAACTGAGAGGGACCAGAACCCATACTGAACTACCGGCTTCCCAGCAGTACTGTTAGCCCCACAAACACATCGTACCTTCTCGGTATCTTGCGAAATGCCTCCGATGCAGACCCGGCTTAAGTGAGGCGGAGGTGCTCGGGATGATGCAGAGTAGCACCTCAAAGCAGGGGTGGTGGTTGTGACCACAGGTGTGGGCGAGGAGATGAGTAGTCGCCATACCGCTTCAACCTCTCTGCACCTGCGTCGAATGCAGCTCAACTTTGACTTCTGATCTAACAGGATGGTGGAGGACAGCAGCGAGGAAAGCACCGTTTCTCTGTGGGGTTGGGAGGATTTATTCCTTGAAATAGAAAGAATCGGGTGGCAGATATCGCTCTTCTTCTCCTAAATTCGACAAATATGTGGTGAAGAGAATTCAAATTGTAATTAGAACACTTGCCGCCATATCCCACTCTCTGGAAAGTGGCGATGAGGATCTCTGTGAGCTTCAGAGTTCCATAGATGTCGCAAGAAGCTCTCCAGTCTCTCTGGCAGGTTGGGATTGATGCTGTTGAAGATAACCTAGGTGCAACACATAGTGAAGCTGGGTATCGTGTTCCTAGAGTTGTAGATGGCAGGGGACGTCCCAGAGTTTTAGTTTCGCTGGAGCAGTTGCTTTACCTACATTCATTGAACTTCTCCTGGACTCGGAGGCGGAGGGAGGTGGGTATTGAAGATTCAGATATTTTGAGGTCTATGGATAAGAATGAGCAACGCAGCTTTGTTTGTCAAGTGAGAGAGGAATTTGCAGCG